TGAAATGTTGATTGACTAAGAAATACAATTAATACTCTAGATTAGATGTTTGTATTAAAAAAAAAATAAAGAAAAAAAAAAAAACTAATTTAACACTTTTCCATTTCTATCAACAAAAAAGTTAGGGCCCCACTCTATCTCATTTTCAGGAAAAAATACCCACTATATTCTATCACATCTACTTTGTCTATAGCTATCTCCTTTCACATCTACTTTTCTAATAGAATAACAATTAATAACGAAACAACAATCCTAAAGGCCAAAACACATGATAAGGTCAAAACTAATATGGGACGGAGAGGGTACAAGCTATACTTATTTTCTTACTGGAAATGTAATTTAAGAGATTGATCATATCATTTCTATAAATTAAACCAATCTCCTTGTCTCATTTTTTTACTGGATTGGAGTAATTGGAAAGTGACTACAATCTAAGGCCTAGTAATTCTTATAATAGAATTGTGGCATCTATAATCTGCTATTATTGACATCTTCTCGTAATATTCTTTCGATAATTTGGAGGCTGTTGACAATTAACGTACGTTCAGTAGACTTTAACAGAAGTTCATCTCTTAACTCAAGAAGAGGATGTATTATTTTGTCTTTCTGTTTCTCTTTTCCTTCCGTTTTATTCTTTCTCGTCCTAAACCCCAATCTGTCTGCAGCTCATATATGACACAATAAAAGCTGGAAATTCAGGAATAGCAGGCTTTGAGGACTGCTTGAGCTTTTTTCCTCCAGAAGTTTTCTCTGGAAGGTAAACTCCTTGACACACCCCAAGGGAAACTCTGATATTTTTAAACCTCATTATTGAAGATCTCCATATTATGCATCCAGATCTGGAGTATGGAGTGGGGGTGATGGCCTTTGGATTGAGCTATCTGGAAAAATGCATGTATTAGCACGTTTGCTAGCTCAGTTGCGTCAAAAGACAGATGACAGGATAGTCCTGGTCTCAAACTACACCCAGGTTATCACTTTTTTCTTTGTTCTCTATCAATTGGAGTACCTTATATTCTAAAATGCTAGGCAGACTAATGATTAGACTAGTCTTCCTTGAGACCATGCTCGTTTAGTGAAGAATTTCAACTTAGTAGGATTATCCTTTAGAAACCTCCTATAAAGGTGGACTTACTGCTAATTATATCTTTCTATCCTCTTTCCTGGAAGCCTCTTTCCCCTTGCAAATGTACTCTACTGCTGTCTTTTGCTTCGTATCTGTATTTATATTTAGCTGATTATCTAATGCGATTTCTGACCCTTGATCTCTTTGCTCAATTATGTCGTGGGAGAAGATACCCTTATTTGAGGCTTGATGGGTCAACGTCGATCAGCAAACGACAAAAGCTGGTCAACTGTTTTAATGATTTTTCAAAGGTCATTATTTTGTCCATAAAAATCTATATAAAAACTTTTTTGTGAAGAACTCTCATTTGTTCAAGTGCATTGCAGGATGAATTTGCTTTTCTCTTAAGTAGTAAGGCTGGTGGTTGTGGGCTGAACTTGATCGGAGGAAATCGATTGGTCTTGTTTGATCCTGACTGGAACCCTGCCAATGATAAACAAGTAATTTATGTCGTATTGGCAGATGTATTTCTGTTTTCTCTTTCAGATCTATTGAGTCCAGACTGGAGCATTGTGTCAGCGTTATGTTTATGTTTGCTTGTAGGCTGCTGCAAGAGTTTGGAGGGATGGACAAAAGAAGAGAGTGTATGTTTACAGATTTCTGAGCTCTGGAACCATTGAAGAGAAGGTTTTGTTGGACACATCTCTCATTTTACACTATGCCTTTTAAGAAATTCAGGGACTTGATTAGTTTCTACTTTCAAGTACTTAATATGCATGAATGTGCCTTTAGATGACTGCTGATTTATGGCATTATTCCCAATGGCATTTTTGTTTATTCCTCACTGTTTTGTCATAGAAGGACTGTTCATTCCTCACAACTGTATATATTCATACCTATAACTTGAATTATTGAGATGACTTTTTGAATCTTAAATCATGTGCAAAGGTGTACCAGCGTCAGATGTCAAAAGAAGGGCTTCAGAAAGTTATTCAGAAGGAACAAGGTGGTTGTGATAAGGTAATTTAGTAGAATATTCTCATTTGATTGCATTTTGCATTTGTTACAATGGCGAGCTCACTGTTTTCCTCCCCTATAATTCAGGGGAACACCTTTTCAATGGAAGATCTACGCGATCTGTTTACCTACAATGTGAATGCAAGGTATATAATGTTCTACGTTTATGTTATTTACAACATTTGCCAAAAATGGATGTTTCATATTATTGCAACAAATGTTTTCTTTCCTTTTAAAGTAGTCATTCTCTAGCTCTCTCCTCATCAGATGCATCTCTTTCTCTCTCCATTTGACACTTGCAAACAGATTTTACCTTGTAGCCTGTGCAACCTTCTAAAGTAGCAAATGGAGGTAGGGTTTTTTTTTTTAAGACAATTTACAAATGCTGTGAGCATGTGAAGCAATTGGGTGATTAAAAAATTAGATGTTTCTCGTCTGAATTTCACTTAACAATACCTGAAGTTCCTTCTAAAATCCATTTCAGAAGTAGTTTATTAGATTGTGCTAAATCACATATGTTCAATTTTGAATTTTAAGCCTGTTTAGTTTTATTTAACCCTGATGCCTTAAGTCCATAATGACTTGCTGCACAATAATATGGCATCAGTTTAAGTGTTGTGTGCTTTTTACAGGTCTGAGATTCATGAAAAGATGGATTGTGTTCGATGTAGAATTAGTGATACAACTGATACCATACAAAATGGCATGCTTAAGAACAGAGTGGAGGTCGATTGTATTGAATCAAACAGTGAAGGTTACCAATCTGGCCAAAATGCTGATGATATTGGTGGGTTTGCAGAAATTTCTGGATTGCATATGCTAAAAAGTTCTCAGAAACAGGTAGCTTTTCTAAAATTTCTAAAGAATTTGCCTTTCTTTAGTCTTGATTGCTTAAATATTTTGTTGGGGCTTGTTTCTAGGTGGGGTCTCCTTCTGAAGAGGATCTGCTTAACTGGGCTCATCATTCATCTCCCACTTCAGTTCCCGATGTTCTATTTCAAGCTGCAGCTGGTGATGAGGTTAGTCAAATTTTAAAAGTATTTCCAAATATCTTATGAAGTTTCGTCACCCTGTAACATCGTTTACAAGTTAAAAAAATGTATTAAAATGGATTTAACTGCTAATATAATATTTCTCTTGCGACGTTTTTGAATCTATTCTTAACTATGCTTTTCCCGTCTTTGCTTAACTGATTTTGCAAAGAATAGTTGTATTGAAGGCCAAAAACTTTAAGACTATCCTTAACAAGTTCTGTAATAATGTTAAAAATCCAAGTGTTGCCAGACATGCATGTTCAAGGAATATCAGTTAGAGTAATGCAACAACATGACTGTAAGTTTTACAATATGGTATGGTAATGCAGGTCACTTTTGCATTTACAAACCAAATAGACGGGAAGCTTGTCCCTGAAGAATCCATGCGCCCCCCTAAAGTACAAGGTATAGAGGAGAGTAGGACATCAGTCAATTTGAAATGGTCCAATTCAGAGGGTACTCTGAAGCACAAATTTTCGAAGTTATCAGAACAACAATCATCTTTGTCACATGGTAGAAATCCTGTGAAGAAGTTGCCACTGGTGTCAACCAAGCCTATACAAGTTGCACCTCTGAAATCAATCAAAAGTTCTTTAAAAGATGTGACAAATCTGTCATGGAGGTCTAACTGTCTAAGTCGCCTCTCAGCAGGCAGCTACCTCTGAAAAGACCATGTCATGTTAGAGAAGTCGTTGATGTTGTGGACCTGCTGTAATTCTGCCCGGGCTGCATGGCTCTTTGAGAGAGTGGGTTTTGGTGACGGTTACATTTCTGGTGGTATTAAACAGTTAAGGGCATAAAGGTTTATCTTACGGTCTACTTGTAACCAGTGAGAATTTCATTTTCCAATTTGGCAGTTTCAGGACTGTTTTTATGCTAGGACGAGTTCTACAAAAGCTGTACTTGGTCATGAAGTCCTGCATTCCTTTTGGAGATTCTGTCCTCAAGACTAATCTGCATTTGCTCCAAGGCTCAAAGCTAGGATTTAAGGTGTAATGACATGATGCACTTAGCTGAGTTGACATAAGACGACAAATTTTACCAGGAACTATGGCTGAGCAGCTGACACAGGTGTAGCAAAGAACTGTACAGCCCAGCCATATGAGTCGGGGCTGTTCGGTGTGTACCACAGTTGCTATTTGGCGTATTTGTCTTGAGTGTACAGTATATGCACTGTATCCTGAATATAGTCAACGGGAGTTCAAAGGATGATATCTTGGATCTGCTGTGCATTGATACTGGTAGTAGCAACATCCAATTGTGGTCGTTTTCCCCTTTTATGGTAAAATATTTCACTTATAGAGCTATACTTCTTCACTTCCTTCAACAGCAGTAAACTAACTTGTAACCCTATGTAATACAAGGATTGTTCACAATCTTAACATTATACGTAGTTCATTATACTTCATTTTAACATGTACTCTTCATATTGAAACTGGAACAACTACAAGTGCCGTCTGTTTGTGCAACAAAAGAACAATTGACGTATGCTTACCTACGCATGACAAAGTATACACTATTTTCAATTTTTTTATGTATATTCAAGATGGGAAGTATGTGTAATTCACTCGCAGCCTGAAAAAGAAATAAGACCATAAACCCATGCTGCCATGCATATACGATAAAGGTTAAAATTGTTTAAAAGAAAAAGAAAATCCATTCTTTCCTATTTAACCTCTCCTGCCTATATACTTTGTATTCTTTATCCAAAAACTGTAACAAAAATTACAATCACGTTTTGCACATTTAGTGTATTTTAGAAAAATACAAAACACCACCGACAGTGAGACATCGTCAGCTTTTATATTTTCGTTTTGAATTTTGTTTGTTTTGTAATTCTTGTCAAAAAAAAAAAAAAAATTACACAACACAAACCAAAGCACTTTAAAGGTTTTGTGTATGTTGGGATCACAATAGCACTTTAAACCTTTAACCCTGCACAAAATCAATACAGTCAATTACTAGCTTAAAGTTAAAACAAAATTTAATTACACAACACAAACCAAAGGTAGCCCAATCGACCTATCAGAATCCCAAAGTCCTGTTAAAAATATACTTATATCTGTATATATGTATAACAAACTATGTACATCAAATTGAAACCACATTCAAACATAAAGAATGCAGCTTCTAAAGAATAAGGAATGGAAGAGCACATCTCTAAGAACTATACAAGGCTATGTGCTTCTAAGAATTTAATCACCAACAAATGACTATTTACAATTTGCACAGGAACTACTCTTTAGTCTTCAGCAATTCCGATCCACTGGTGAAGACCGTTTGTCACAAGCCAAGTCTACACCTGAAGTAAAAGCATTGCAATTTGAGAATTTTGGTTCATGGGTGTTGAAACACAGATTTCATGATGTGCAAAGTTAGAGCCTAGAGGTTTCTATACACTAGCCAACATGAATTACACAAGACATATATGAAGTGGAAATCTTAATCACATATTAGAATCATGCTTAACACCAAATTTAAGAAAGCAGCTAAAATTTTAAACATAATCCTGAGACAGCGTGGATACAAATGGCATAAAATTAAGAAATAATGAACTGAATTTAAATATTTAAAAAACTCACTTTAAATCGAAAGTGCATCAGAATCCAACAAAGCCATTGTTGACTCTGCACAACTGATGCTGCAAATTTTTGAGAAGACATCAAAGCTCATCGAGAATGACTGGCAGTAACCCAAAGAGTTCATCACTAACTTTGTAGATTGTGTTAGCTAGTTCAACTTTGTTCCCAGGAGCGAGACGGGCCTAAGTACTTGTTCAGAGATTCCTCCTTATGTTCAAGATCAAGGCTGCAAATACATCAAGCATGGATGAGTATTTAAGATTTGTCAACGATGGCCAATGAAAAATGAAGAATAATAGATTTCAAGTAGACCTATTTCTGACACCAAGAAGAGCACAGTGCAGAGCTTGTGCAGCAGCAGATGCAGGAGCTATGGCTGCAACTGGAGCTCCCCTGACTGCACTCACAATAGCAGAACTAGCACCACCACCGCGCTGATACGCTTTCATGGGAGTATGAATCAGTGCAGAGGCAGTCTTTCCCAGACCATCACTAAGACTCTCATAAGCCTGTTGCAATCACAAGCATCAACCAATTACTAAAAGCATTGGATCACTAAACAGTCAATTGTTTCCTTATTTATAGAGCTAACAGCTGAAAGAAGAGTGACAATGCTACTTATACAAGTAATTCCACTATAAACCCGTAATTTTCATATATCACTTGCAATTACCTTTTTAATCAGGGATCTAGCAGGTATAATCTTATTGAGATTGAAGGACAAGGATTAAAGCCAAAAAGAGCATCATTGGAACTTTATAGCTGTATTCAAAGACTCAAAGTTGAACATAGCTCATTATTTTGAGCTACGAAGCACACGAAAAACTAACACAGATCCTAAAATCTCAGTCAGAGCAGGCCAATTTTTGCATATAACCTTAAATGATACACAAGATAATTAATCTTGTTACTTCAACTATAAACCGTCCAAAGCTAGTCGAAGTAGAATACATGTTAAGAGCTAAAGTCAAAGTGTTGCAAGTAAAATAAAAAACAGAGGAAGTAAAATATAACTAACAGCAAGATACCCCTGCAATGATGCCCTACACTAATATTTAGAAGAAATTATGGATTCGCTAGGACAAGAAGTAATATCAACATCAACACAACACTAAAGCTAGTCCTCCCATGGCAAGGAGGGGTTAAGGGATGTACACAGCCTTGCCCCTGCAATGATGATGAGGCTGCATCAAATAAACCTTTTGGCTAGAAATGCAATGCCCATTCAAAATGAGATATCTAACAGCTTTGTTCAAAGTGGAAAGCAAAAGGTATGGAAGAAAAAAAAAAAAAAAAAAAAATCTAAAACAAGATTTCCAGGATAAGCAGCTTCCTTGCTTGTAAAAAGTCAAAAAACAGAAATACTGTAATTGTTGACTCAACATTATAAAACAATTAAATCAAACAACTGTTTTGAAGCAAGGTATGCAAATGCTGACCCGTCGAAGTCCATGTTGAGCATCTTCTGGCTGATCAGAGCCACGCTTTTTCTTGACTTTTCTTCTGACAGGATGGGGCAATGACGGCTGAATGCGTGTAACAATGCATTCTGCATGTAGCAGAATCTCATGAGCCCCTGCTGCCAAATGCACACCAAGACCAAGAGCTTCAACTGAGATACTCCTAAGAAATGCCACAGTCCCTGAAAAAAATCCAAGCAAGATAGTTCATCAGTTCATATTTAGCAAAGGGTAAGCAGCATTAGGGACCGTTTAATTCAGCAAAGGAAGGAATCAAGTGTGAGATTCTGCTTGGACTTAAAAGGAAGAATATGACAGTGACAGTGTGTGTGTGTGTGTGTGTGTGTGTGTGTGTGTGTGTGTGTGCGTGCGTGCGTGCGTGCGAGTGTGTGTGTGTGTGTCCTCATTTTCCTTAATAGATTTAAGGCAATAAGCTTTGAGTTGAGTCTTCAACCCCTTTCTCTCTTTAACCAAAACCACCATGGCCACAGTGTCCTCTTTCATGAACCATAAAAACCACCTTCCCCTCTTGGTTATCATGACCAATGGACCATCACCAAGGTTGCTATTAAATTATCAAATGGGGTTTACAATCCTAGTCTTTCAACTGTGGACACAATGCAAGCAACAATATAAGGCAAAGCAAAATAAACAAACCAATGGAGTATATAATTTTCAAATGGGGTTTACAATCCTAGTCTTTCACTAGATTTTTGTTTTTTTATTATTAACTTCATAATTTTGAAGGGGTATATAATTGAAAACTAATCACTGGTGGCCTCAACTACAGACATAACTAGTAATTCAAAGGTGATGGTTGTTACCGTGATGGAATACAAGGGAAGACAGGATGAAAAAGACATATAGAAGTGGTTGTGAATATGGAAAGTGGTCACAGGAGGTTGAGACTATTGAGAGGCAACCAGGATAAAGGAGAGAAAGGGAGGGGAAGGAGGCAAGGAAAAGGTGGAGGGGGAATGGATTTTGGATGGCAGGCAGCAGTATTGCAGTAACGGTAATGATAGCGATAAAAGAGCAAGTATGCTTTTGAATAATAGACGGGGTAGATATTTCAAAGGAAACCAACCCTCCAACAGGTAAGAAGGAACCCTTACCTGGGAAGTTTATGGGGGTGGCTCACTGGTATTAAATTATTCACATTTGTTAAAAATCACTCTGTATGAATTTGATTTATTCTAAAAACCCAAATTGACCTGTTACTCCAGTAAAACAAGGCCTTACAATTTTACTTTTTCCATACCACTTTTGTAATATTTTAAACTCATCACATAGATCTCATCCTAGAGATTCTGTATTTTTCATACAGAAAATTTCCAGTAAAATATATATAAAAAAAAATAAAAAAATAAAAATAAAAAAAGGGGTTCTTCTTCCAATCTCATCAGTTCCAAGACAATGAATAAAATCCCTCAGAGAGCAAAATACTAAAGGAAAACAGGATTAATAATTAACAATTAACATTCAAGGAATCTACTAGGGAGCTAAATATCAGCTTGGGGAAACATAACAAAGCAAGGAAGAAATGCACATTGCTCTACAACACCATAGCTGGAATTATATCAAAAAGAGATACAGCTGACATCTAGTTTAGTAGGCACACTTTGATGTTCTTCCACAGAACCAAAAATCTTATCCAAATTTCTGTAAACAAATTTTGATTTTCATTAAAAATGTAAGGAATTTCTTGGCAGTAGAGTTAGAGAATTATGAAGAATAACAACATAAAAACCAATAGGAAAGTAGCCAACAGATCTCAGATTTATATAATCCATAGCATATAATCAAACTGATAGCAAGTGGATAAGACAAGTTAAAAAGCTACCTCTTTGTAAACCCTTCACTAATCTATGATCCCTCCTATAATTCTTCACTGGAAGAGAAACCAACTTCGCAGCACCAGAGCCCACAGCAACAAAAGATCGAATGGCAGGAAGTCCTCGCAAAAGTTTATGAATCTACATTTTCAGAACAATGACTTCATTAATTTACACTGGAGACACAGTGATACAAATCAATAAGTTTAGAATTACAGCTACAATTCACTTGTAAATTAAACCAAATTAGTAAAACCTGATTTTGCGAAATATCTTCCAGCCATTCACCAAGAGTAGTTTCACATACATTGCCCCATCCATAAATACCAGCAGCTTGAACATGCTTGAGATGAAGCTCAACCCCCTGCATAGATAATGAGGAAGGACAGGTTATTTCACAATCATTACATAGCTATTGAGCAACATAGAGTGGGTCAGATTAAAAACTGAATGAATTAGAATTTCAAAAAATCAATATAGTACTAGGGGAAACACAATTTTCATACTAACATGTTCACTGATTTTCAAGATTTGGTGCAATAAAATTAACATGGGAATATATTACCTTCCAAGGAACAAGATTTACAAGCTCCACATACTTCCCTCCACTTAACGCCGCAAGGTCAACACGATTAGGACAGTAGTCAACTCGAAGAATAATAGGCCGGATGTCAAATTTCTGCAGGAACATTATTGGCATTAATCTCCCCAGTCTATACATCCACATTAGAATAAAGACAACATATGGCTTACCATGGTGAACAATTGAGTACTTGTTATTTCAAAACCCTCTTGTAACTGAAATTACACTTTATTTTAAGTTAATCATATGGCTTACCACGGTGAACAATTTGCACACTTATAAAAATTAACTTTTGAGTATTCCAGCATGTAAAACAATGTAGCACAATTCAACTATTCCCCAAGTCCTTAAATTGTGTTAGGAGTATCGTTAAAGGGTAATAGGGAAAATTTCAAATTTAACTTACTAAATTTAAGAGACCCCTATTAGTTTTTGAGCAGATATGTGACCAATTATTTTGGACAAGAGTTATTATTTCTCACCTGTGACTCCTACACTATGCACTTCGGAGAATCTAGATTTGTTCTTAATAAGCAAGATATAGCTTGTGTAAGCCACAACAAAATCCAACACATGTTCCACATCACACTTTTGACCAGATACATGTGATTAAAATCTTAAAAGGCACATGACAACTCCTTCTACATACTTCTTTCATTTTCGTAGTAAAATTATCAGCAACTAATTCTTTCTTTTGAACATCAGATTCAGACTTATATATGACAAGTCAGTCCTAAGTCCTAACACTTGTATTCCTTCAGCAGTTCAGTATCTTGCATTCATTTATTTTATTTTATTTTTTTATTTGGAGGGGAGGACAGTAAATGAGCAAGTTTAAAACAAATAATCTCCCAAAGATAAGACTTGACAGGCAGATTAATACCTAGGTTTGAGGTGGGGAATCTGTATAGCAATCTGGGTTCTTCCCAGGCCTAAGAAAAGACGCAAGGTAGAGGATTGTTCGAAACAAAGCCAAGCCTTCACAGAGGGGGTAATTTACTACATGTTCAGATTCAACATTCAATTCCAACACAAAACAACCTAGGCTTCAAAAGCTATAAAAAAAATTCACTACAAGCTTTCTAGCCACTCCCAACTTTAAGACTAGCTGACCTAGGATAAAATTGTGAGACATTTGGTTTCCTATTCTTCTTCACAAACTCCCTACAGATTTCTCAACAGGAGACAAGTGACTATATAGTCCAGGTGGGCAATTAGATATTTGAATATAAAAAAAAAAATACACACATGTGCTAAATACTTGCCTGAAAGTAGGGAAGCAATGCTTCATCCACAAGGCTAAGAGCTTTCAACTTACTATCTTCTGCTGTACTAACATCTGATGAGCCTGAACATTGTGCATCACCATTTGAGGAATCGTCTGATGAATACTTGCCCCCAAAGAAGGAAATAAGAAAATCAAGCTGGCTCTGATGAAGATGCAATAATATTGGAAGGACAGCTATGCGTAACCTGCAAATCCAACTATTTGTTAAAGAGTCATTGCAATCATTAAAAAAAAAGGGGGGGGGGGGGGTAAGAACTGTCTGCAGTGAGATCCAATTTACATAAGCAATCCGGACAATGACCTGACAGACAGATCAAAACAGGTTACAGACCTAAAAGTGGACAACTAGCATGAATACAAATTGACCTCCCATAATATACACATTAATGGGATCTAATGATATGCAGGTCAATAACTAAAAACAAAAAAGAAAAGTTACAAAATAGAAGTAACAAATCTTTACAGCATAAAAATATTGACTTTTCAGACCACAGTCATGCTCATGACTTTGACTAAAATTTGGCCGAAGCGGAAAAATACTTAGCTACCTAGTACAGCAACTGCACTGAAAGCATTCAAAAAATACCTAGTAACTTTAGCTTCTGCCTAATCATGACATTATTTCCTCCATTTTAGATTATCTGACCTAGTGGCCTCTCAGCTAGCACCTCATTATTTGTCACCTAAAGTATCAATGCACCATGATATGTTTATTTAAAATACCAAAGAAACATCATTTCTGAATGTTAAATAAATTTGTAATACATATGCATGACCTAAAAGACTTGTTTTGGGAGAGGATGACTGTTAACTAGACCTGCAAAGCATAAAATATTCTATGACCATCCTTTCATCATGCCAATCTCAACACAACCAATAACACACAACCAAGACCGGCAGCAAAGTATCCACAGTCAGAAAATGCAATTTTGCTAACAGAACCCCTTTCCCTTATGGATTTTCAAGGACATTGTCCCACCATTTATTTCCAACTTTCTTAACAAAAAAATATATAAAGTCACTTGCTTGGTTGCTCCATTCAGAAAACAAAGGAAGGTATCATTAGACGGAAAGTGTCTCTACTAATAGCAACAGAGAAGTCCCGTTGACCAAAAAAAAAAAAAAAAAAAAAAAAAAAAAATTGCATACCGATACTCCTCAAGAGGAGTCGTGGGATCTGGCCTGACAGCTTCCAAGTCGAGTTTGAATGCCTTTGAGAAAGATTGCCTAGGCCGGTCCTTAGAATGATAATATCCAAGCACCTTGTAGATGAGGAAAAAAATGTAACTAAGAATGCTCTACAGAAAAGCAAAACAGAAACCTGAAAAGGTGCCCAAAGGCCATACCAGTTTCCAAGGAGCATTTCTGCTTTTGTCATATATGTGAAGATCTTGGATAGAAAGACATAGTTTTGATGCACACAAGTCCCCATCTGGAAAGACGTCATAATGGACATTCATGTTTGATAGTGAAAGCTCTAAACATATAGCTTCATCCCTTCCACAGATATCAGCAGAATGCCAAACAGTTTCCTCCAAGTCATGCCAGTCAGAACCAGCATACATCCGCCATTTAATGTCCACATTATCCAATAGTAAACGTCCTTTGAATCTTTGGCAAACGTTACCTTCCTCATGATTTCGCTTGCCTTCCAGAAGCTGTTTTGAGTGAGATTGACCAGTTTGATCAGGTACATAATTTTCCAAAATACTCAAGGATGTACTACCATACCATCCACATTTTCCTCTTTGGACATCCACATTTGCCCTACTCTCTGTATTAGATTGGGAATCAACTTCAGGAAAATGACTGTTAATGGTTAGTTCTGATAAAGATCTTAAATCTGATAGGCAATAGCCTTCCATAATCTCCGTCTTCTGTAGAATTGACGAGTGACCATCTTCCATAGAAACTCCATGACATGGATAGGTGAAGCTATGCCCCTCAAGAAATAGATCACTATCATTTCCCTCAACTGTATTAAGTTCTGACAAATCAGATGGGCTCATGGATTTTCCACTGAAAAGAAAGGCATCTTCAGATATTTCACCCATTAAGCCAACCAACCCAGAATCAAACTTTGAATCTGGACCAAGTTGCTGTACCTTCAGTTTCCTTGGAGAAGAATTGCTGCTGGTTTCTGATACTCCTTCACAAACATCCTCTCCTTGAACCTGTTTTAGAGAATTCCACCTGTTTTGCAAGTGGACAAGAGACTCCTCCATGTCTGGGGCATAGAGCTGCTGGAGTTGGGAAGCCAGGCGTATTAAACCAAGTGTTGTATCATGACAAGTACTGATGACCACATGAGATTCGGAACAATTTAGTTCCCATTTAACGTCATTTTCACAGTTGATCCTTAAAATAGCGTCAACCAGAGCCTCCCGAGCAACCTTGACATAGCCAAGTTTATGCAAGTATTTAACACCGTACTCACCCACAAGCCTTTCCTGCTTTGTTGCAACATGAACTAGAAGACCCACATCTTGAAACCGGATACTGTAGTCGTTTACTAGATTACCAGCTACCATTGTACTGGAAAGTGTAAAAGATGATGCAGCCAGCAGACAAGCAATATATGGCTCACATGAGTCATCATCAAGGTTAACAGATATACGAGATTTAGAATTGAGACATTCTCCACTCACTTCCAACTCGCATAAGTATGGCTCATAGCTCAATGCAACATCGATGAATTTTAAAACGAAGAAAAGCCTCTGAGAATCACCCTTCTGCTGATCAGATTTAACATTTTCGCCTGTTACAGGAGATGGCAAGCTAAAGAACGAAAGTATCTTATCAAGCCAATCTAAGCGGCCTCCTGGTGCAACAATGGTCCCACATTTCAAACGAATTGACATATGATTATGGAGACTCTCTGGGTCAGACATGTGAACAATATCAAAGCCAGCATGGCTGTAGGACAAAACATTTGAACCTTCTCCATCACCACGTCCATTTGAACTATCGCTACAAGATATCAGAAGAACATCCTGATCAGCCAATGAAGTAATAGAACCCCACAACTTCCCTTCACGATGAGATACCCAAAGAAAACTAGCACCACTGATAGCTCCAACATCAGAAACAGAAAGCAATTGCAGATTCTGGATTTCCAGTCTTAACCTGTGCCATGAACCTGGAAGTTCTCTCTGTAGTGAGCTTTTAAGGCAGTCTCCTTGGTCAAGTTCAATATGAATTTTTGCCAGACCACATTCCAGGAGTACAGATGACTGGTTTAAACTTGTTCCTCTATTTTCATAAGCTGTGTCACTACCTGCACTGGTTAACGCATCCATGGCCTGACTCAAAAGGTCAAAAAAACATAAATACTGAGACCTGCGAAGAGTAACCACCATGACAGGTACACCAATATGCAGAAAGAATTTGGAGCTCAATATCAGCTCTTTTTGTTTTTGGGAAGATAGATCCCCTTTTTTGTCCCTAGTTGATACAGAAGTAAACTCATAATCACTTGTCGCAGATGACATTTTACCAGCTGACCCATCAGATGTTGCTAAAACCTTTGCAATCTTTGTAATCCAAGGACCAGTGACTGCATCTTTGTGCCAAAGCATACTGATCAAACTAACCCAATGAGTTCCATTCCCAAGGGCTAGAATTAGATGAGAGCAAAGTTTCTGACTCTCCAACTCAGTGGCCTTACCAGCATCATCATCCACAGCACTAACGATATGGTAAACATCAAGATTAACAACATTTAACTGCACTGAGTGAGAAGGTGATGGAGTATATATCTTCCAAGGTGTATCCTCTCGAAAAAAAGTAGACCCTTCAGCCTTCAATTTCTTGGAATTTGATGGAGAAGAGAAATCAAGAGCAATAAATTGGTCACAGCTTACATAGCTTTTCAAACCTCCACCATTCATAAGAGGGAAGCATAAAATTATCTTAGCATGAGGAAGAAATATGCCCCCTGCCAAGCTTCCTTTAAAGGATGTAGATGTGACATCAGAATGAATAGAAGATTTATGCTTCTCTTCAAAGGCTCCAGATGCAAAAACAGCCTCGGGTTCTTCCTTTGTTGCAGAATTAACAAGTGCCCTTGAAAATTCCAGGACCATGTTTACCACATCAAAGTTCAACCACAATATGAAAGGTGGAAGCTTTAACGAAAACGAAATTTTCGTAGTTGACTGACCATCAAAGGATCTCGAACTCACCGCTAAAAGACACTGACTAGCACCAGAAGTTTCAAACAAGGTAGCCTTCACTGTATTGTTGCCACAAGCACAGTTTTGTGTACTCGATAAGCTAGATGGAGCATTCCCAAGCTTAGTTGCATCAGAAAATACCATACTCAATGGTTCAGAAAACAAACAATTTGAAGGCAGAACACCGAGAACCTTATCTTGCAAAGCTTGGATCATTAGAGTCTGATCACTCAAACCCTTCTCTTCACCGTACAAAGTGAAATCTGCAGATTCCTTTTGACTGAAGTGTTCATCTAAGACAAAGCGCTTGACAGTTGTTTCCAATTTCCACTCCTGAAGATACACCTGTTTGATTTACCAAATGTTCAAAGTTTAGTGAATATAACTTGGAAGCACAAAAAAGATAGACTATGACTTCAAGCACACAAATTTACCTGGACATCTATGAGAATATCTTGCAAATTTAAACACAGATGGTGAGCATCAAAATCAATACCACCTTGCTCATCAGCTAGCCTTCGCTGAGTCGACTGGTCTTCATCAGAAAAGGCTAATATTGTTGAAAGCCCAACAAGATTAATCTTGAGATTTGTTTGCACATGCTGCTGCTCTGCACAAAGAATAGAGAAAAAAAAATATATTACTGCACTATAGAATGCTAATTTCCAAGCATAACACTAGTGAAAAGAACCTCTTCTAAATCACAGTAAGGGTTCAAGATACAAGCAGAGAACGTAATCAGAATCTCAGAGAGACCATAGGAAGTGATATTAGAAGCTTTTAGTGACCATAAGATCAACAACAATATTTCTCAGAGCAATGGATGAAAATTATACTATTAGTGTACAACATATTAGCACAAAAGCCCTTCAAGTAAAATTTCATTCAAAATCAATAGTTAAGAAAAAAAGATATTCTAGTTCTTTCATATGCAAGATCCTACAACTCATCTAACAATTATTTTGAAAATCAAATGCTAGATATTACACTTACAAAAAGATCACGACTTCATCACTAATTAACAACTCCTTTCTACAAGGCACAACTGCTAGTAACACAAAAATTTTCTATAGTTCCTCCAGGGTTTCTCTTTCAAACATTGGAAGAACAATCTGTTATGCTTTATTTTTTTTGCTCCATTGAAATTCTTTGGAGAGCTTCCAGATTAGTCCTTTAGTTACTCATTCAGTGCCAATGTTCTTAGTTAAAAATCATTAATAAAACACAAAAGTGATAACGATACGAGATCTTAAAGATGCAAAGTACAGCAAAGCAAACAACTAACAAGAAGACTGAGATAACAAGCTTACCAGCACCAACGTTCAAAGATCCAGAAGCAAGATTTGATGCAGCAGTTATTGCGCTAAAAACAGAGCATGTCCAGTTCCACATTCCACTACTGCCCATGAATTGGGAACTCCTCAACTCATCCAAACATTCGAAAAACTGATCTACACTGCAGACAGCAAAAGGACAACTTGATTGAGAATTAAGTAAATAAAGACTGTACTTTTAAAAATAAATCCTCTATATATATATATATATATTAAAAAGGTTATCAGCATAAAAAGAAAGAGAACCTGGCTCCTAGATTTGCCTCTTCAATTCCTGGATTGTCATAGTTTCCATTATAAAAGGGCACCCAATCTGATATGAAACATGACTCCTTAAGAAGAACATCTGTAACCATTTCTTCCCTTGAAGACAAATTTAATTTAAGAGAACTATCAAATTCTGGAGTAAGGTACTTGTCAGACAGCACTGAAGAAGGAAAAGCTGATGGACTGCACTGAGATGTTGAGTCAGAGACAACAGTGTCGACAGACATGTGATTGACATCATCAACCTTGTTATTCTCGTATTTCTCAAGCAAATCCCAGGTAGCTTGTATCCACTTTAGGGTGCTGGGTTGCAATTTCGCAATTACGGTGTCCACATTTACTTCTGCATCAACTTTGCAGGTATCCAAAGAACCATTCTTCCAAGGAATAGACAGCTTCATAGAACCACAAAAACCACCTCTTTCCCCAGTCAACAGAGGTTTCGAAGCAAGATGTGTTTGATTGTATCCACTATAAATCTGAAGAAGCTCAACTGTAGCTCCTTGAAATTTAAGAAAATTTGTCAGATGGCTTATACCCAGAAAGTCTTCAGAATTTGAACCATCAATTAAACTCTTGTCTTCAGAAATACAAGTTCCACATTCAATTTCTGCAAGTCGAAATACCAAAGCATCATGAGACCCTTCTTCTTTATCCCTTCCTACTTCAGCATCAAATGCAACAATCACACTTTTTATTCTGATACAGAAGCTCGTCAACAACCACTTCACCATCTTAGCGACTGTCTTAACGCCTTCATGAACATTGACAGAAGCAGCTGCAGACTTGTAGACCATATCATGTTCAACTGTTCCCATGTCATTATTCACATGATAATTTTCATTTGAATCATGAGTTCCAACTACCTCTTGTGAATTGCCACCGTCAAATGGAAAAAGCACAAGCTCAAGCTCATCCACTTCAACTTCACAACCTTCACCATTCCAAGGCATTTTTATTAATAATGAACGGATTGATCCTTCTTTCACCCTAAATACTGATATTTTCCCCAACTGAAATGAAACAAGAAACTTTAGTTATCACAAAACACATTACCCACAAAAACAAAAAGATGATGGCTATAAAAGATGAGTAAAATGTGCAATCAAGACATATTAAGTACTTCCTCTGTTTTTATTTACTTGCAACACGGCACTTCGGCATGCACTTTAAGGGAGATATTACACCAGGTAAACGGGCAAATTAATTGACAATTTTACCACCGATAAGAAGAAAGTGATAAGTTACTACGTTTTAAATTTCATAGTTTAATTCGTCCGTTTACCTCGTCTAATCACTTCCTCAAATAACGTGCCAAAAAGGTGTTTTGCAAGTAATTAAAAAGAGCAATCATGGAGAACGATCTATTATAAGCCAATCTATGAGAAAAGCTACCTAAGAAATTTAAACAGCTTCCTTAAAAGTACTTATGTTTTTAAATACTAATCTATTAAATTCATCAATAAGGTGGCCAACAAATCCAAACCACAGTCCCCTTCCCCTAATCCTAGCATTTCTCCTCTCCCCATTGCTGCCGTCATTGTTATACTATCATCACCACCAATTGTCTCTCCTCCCACTTCCACTCTTTATCTCTTATGTTGCCCCGTTACTACCACTTTTATTTCCAGGTTGGAGAGGATTAGGTGGGCAACAATGGCCAGCTTCGGTGGTGATGAGTGGCTTTTTACTGTTTTTAAGTTGTCCCACTGATCCAGACCTCATTCCCCTTTTACCTATTTCAAGCATATCACCTTTCATCACTGTTGACATTGCTCTAAACTAACACCACCCTCACACAGTGTCTTCCTCCATTTCCTCTATCTCTTCAATTGCCCGATCACTATGGTTAGTGTTGCCACATTTGCGATGACAGGTCATATTAGTGGATGTTGGCAACAGTGGCCAGCTTTGGAGGTCAGAATTTTGCTTAGGTCAATCGTTAATGACTTATTAACAATACTACGTTAGATCAATTTTTTGATCATGAACTAATCTTATTAATTCCCTAATTTAACTTAATGACAAAAAAAAGTACCCTTTCTTCGTTTTTCCCCCCTCTTTTTCTATTCTTGTAAGTAAACTAAAAGCCCCTTTAGTTTACCTAAGACTCGGTTCAAATATTTCACAAATTTTTGTACTAGATCATTGGAAACAAATATACTCTTTCTTAATGAGGAGGGAGGGGCAGGAGAGGGAGACAGAGTGCAAAGGGAGTGGTGGTGGCACTAATGGTGAATAGAGGCATAAGAGGTATAGAAAGCAAAAATAGGTTTAAGGTGGTGGTGATGCCATCTGGGTGATGTTGGTGACGGAGGAAAAAAGGACTTGGATACGGTGCATGCATTGTGGGGAATCTGATGCTCGTGGAAGATTGGAGGAGTTGGGATCAATGCTAGAGATGTCTAGATAGTGGTGCTGGAATATACTGCGTTACTTAAACAATTATCTTAGTCATGGAAATTAATGATATTTCCATTATTTATAGTTTTGCTAAAATAAGTCATAAGGTATTATTCCCTCCAATCCTAACTATTCTTTCCACTTTGTGCACTTTGTCAACGCATTACTTTGACTATAAACATCTATAGTTGCATATTGGTAACAAAAAGTAAAAACTTATGACAATTGAACATTAATAAACTACTCATTGAGATGAATCAAATAAGACCCAACATGACCATCTTATGTTTTATATATTGAGAGTAGTTTAGAAGGGTTTCTAAGTTGATGAATATTGCCAAAATTCCAAATGGAAAGAAAAACAAGGATCAGAGACCTCTATGTGGAATTACTAATCATATTGTCCCAAACCCCCGAGATTTAGGATTCACCATGATGCCACTTAATAGTCGAATTATAGAAATTTGACAATAGTAACACCAAGTTTGGGCCATAATCACAAGTTGCACTATCTCCCTTAGGAATCCCAAATATATAATCCTTTCACATGAATTGATGCCTAATATTACAACCTATAACCGCCACTCCATCAATATCCTATCCTCCTCCCCTGCCAACACCGCCACGTTGACACCACCACTCTTGTTAATCAAATAACTACTCTCAAGTTAATGTACTTGTACATAATACACAGTCAATTTCAATTTTTTGAGCATAATTACATATTCCAAACATCACAGCAATACGCCTCTCCAATAATAACAATACACATGCTTAATCAATTCTCCAGAAAACAAACTGAATTCTGCAAATAATTCAGTTCTAACATCTAAGAACACAATAAAAATCAACATAAACATTGAAAAAAAATCATTAAAAATCACAAAAACTGTAATTTTTTTTTAAAAAAAATACCTTTTGATTGAGATAATCGACATTAAGGGCGAGATCAGTGAGCTGAAGCAAACCAGCAGAAAGCTGAACATCAAGTTGATCAAGATCGATATCGCCATGAATAAATTTACCAAGCTTTTTCTTCAACAAAAACTTACACAACCTTTTAATGGCGTAACGAGACAGAATTGCCTCCGCCGACTTAGCGAAATTCCATGAAAACATCTTCCCCCAAATTTGTGTAATTAGGGTTTTGGAAATTGGGGGTTTTAGTGTTGAAATTCAGAGATTATGGAAGGTATGTTGTTCTCCATTAAAGACGCAGCCTCCACGAGACGACTGCTATGATGATGATGATGAGAGAAGGTATGACAAGTAAAGGAAACTAAATAATCCGATTTCTTGATAGAATTGGAATAAAGTTGTAATTGTACTGCTTTTAGGATTTATTTACTCCGTTTTTTGTTTGTTTCTTTAATGGAACCGGACCAACCGGTTGGGGCTTGTCGCTACTCCTTCCGTTTCGGAATAATTGACGAGCTGACACAGTTTACCAACTTTCTTATTTGGGTCGTTTTTAGAATAATTCACACATAACGTTAAATCATATCACTATGAGTTGATATAATGGAGTTTTACAAAAGTGTTGTGGAATTAAAATTGTGGTACGGTGTGAAATTTAACTAAGGTGCAATTTGCAAAATTATAAAACAAATTGCAATATGATATTCCGCGGTTCAAACTGCAAACAGCTAATCATATATATAATTCAAAACCATTTGGTACATCCTATCTACAATAATATTAGTGTACATCAAATAGTATTAGAATAATTTTTAATCAATTTGGGATAACTTTTGTTATGTTGGTTAACATTTACTTATTCTAGGTAATTTTTAATAATGTTAAGTCAATTTTACCAAGGGTGTATAATATTTATTGTATAATAAATATTTATTAAAAGTTTGCGTTTATGTCACTAACAAAAGTTTGATAAACAGCATATGTAGATTAATTTCAAGACTAAACGTATAACCATTTAATGTCACTAACAAAACTTGCCACATAATTTACATTTCAAGTTTACAACTTTGATTTTCTCCCGTGATACAAAGAAAATATTAATATGATATTCCCCGTGGCCATCCTTATAATCTAGTGTTTGTTTTCAAATTTTTTTTTTAATAGAACTAATTAAAGTTAATATTTTCTTCATTTTTTTTAGATGCATTACTTTTGTAATTGCGGAATTCTCAGCAATTTATAGAATTGAAAGAGATAGAGAGAAAAAATAAAGATGATACAGAAATAATTTGTTAACTAAATGAAAAGTAATGCATCTAAATTAAAATTTTCATTTATTAAAAAAAATAATATATTCCGCATCTAATAAAAACAGAGAAAATACAAAAAAATTGTGTAATATTATCGACAAATAAGAGGTCATCGAAACACACTACTGACTACTCTCTTCCGCCCTATTGGCAGAGAAAGTAGTGTTTTAGCAGAAAGCAAAGGATGGAATAATGTGCATAACCAAGTCAATGATGTACACTTCAATAATTGGATCCATCATCATTTAATAACCCACCTTGGCCACAATGAAAGATATTCTTATCCTTATTAATCTTGATTAAACAATAAACGATACGTAGCAAATTGTATACCCGTTATTACTACCCCGTGCTCATTAATTTGGTTACACGTTTAACCCGTGTTGATCACAGGACACCATACACTGATACACTCAACACGTGGTTATTATCAACAAGCAAAATAGTACACGGCGAAGTCCAGCAAACTGCGGAGGAGAGAGAAAGCGATCAATTTCGCCGGTAAACAATGGAGCTCAAACCTGGACTCTCAGCGCTAATCACCGGCGGAGCTTCCGGAATCGGTAATCATCTTTAAAATTTCTCGTTGTTGATTTCTATAATTACAATTTAACTCTGAATTCTGCAATTTTGTTTATAGTTTTTAGCCATTTTTCCTCTTAATTGAAATAATCACCAAATTTTGTAGATTGTGATTTCTACCTTATTATTCGTGTTTCATCAAGTAATTTTAGATATATCGATGCTATCCGGTGAGTGGAGTGTTCTCATTTGATTTGAAGAATTTGAGGATCTTTAGTTATTTTTTTGGTTGGTTTGAGAATTGTTGTGTTTCCTCATATTGTAATAGTAATTGCTTTGTAATTTATCGTCGTTTAATTTTGGGGATTCAGCTGTTGGGTTTTGGGTTAAATTCGACGAAAAAAGACTAGAAGGATGGGGTGAGGTGGATCATGGAGTATACAGTTGCAATATTGAAAAATTGGAAACATGATTTGAACTAAGGACTTGTTCACTTCACCTTAAAAAAAAAAATAGTAAAAATAAGTTCAATTCAGTAAAATTAATTTAATTTCAGTTCAAAAATAATTTCACTTTAGTAAAAATAAGGTGAAGTGAACGGGGCCTAATTAGGGACAAGGTAGTCATCTTTTTTATTTTAACGATTCGATCAATGATGAAGTTTGGAATATATGTAATGTGCACAATGTTTTTGCTTTAGAAAGTGCTAATAAGATGAGTTTTTATAGTGTTAAAATTAGGACCTGAGTAATCATAAAAAAAGCCTCACATAATCACATCATTTGTTCCTTGGTTTGATATTATCTTGTTGTAAAAGTGTAATGCATTAAGCCTTGTGTAACTTTTGTGGTAAAACTTTGGCAAGTTTGGGTTCTTAAATTATTACCTTCAATTATAAGCAAAAGTGTAGAAGGGTTTTCAATTTTCATGTGAAGTATTTTTTGGAAATGAATCTAGTAAGAACGTGTTTGTGTAGTAAAACTATGTGGTCTGCGAAAGTAATAGTTAACAAGTTTTAACTGTAAATTTCAAATGTGGCCTATTATTTTGAGTCTCAACAAATTTGGTTTCAATACTTTGGGATGTTGCCATTTAGGTAAGGCTCTGTGCTTAGCTCTTGCGGATAGAGGTGTATTCATCACAGTGGTTGACTACTCTGAGGAAGAGGGTAAAAAAGTGACAGCTCTTATTGAAAAGCAGCTTGCCAAGTTTCATAAAAATCTGAAATTTCCATCGGCAACATTCATAAGATGTGATGTCACGAACACTGGTAACTTTCAGTATTCTCTCTGCCCATTATAAAGCTTCTTTCTACTATCTTGAGCCGCCCCCCTATTGTGGTGGTGTGAGATGCAAATAATTTGCTGATGCATTGTCATTAATGTTCCTCATATAAATTCCCATAAAATATTTATCTCTGGTCAGGAGAGCTGTCTTCTGCTTTTGCAAAGCATTTAGCAACTTATGGTGGGTTAGACATCTGCATCAATAATGCTGGAATCGTCACTCCAGTACCATTGCACAAGGACCAAACTGATGGCTCTGGTACATGGAAACATGCTATTAACGTGAACCTAACTGCTGTTATTCAATGTACTCTTTTAGCGGTATGCTTTTATCTTTAATGCATCCTTTGCTGATTTTATAGTTTAAATTGATGACTTTCAATGACTTCTTGCTGATAATGTTTATTATTATCTATTTTGCTTATATTTCCCTACAAAGTTATGGGGTTCTTGTCGGGTGTTATCTTTATGAACCATGATTTAGATTGATATTGTTTGTTATCTTTCAATGTAAAGGAGTATGAGTTTTATTGATGAAAAGATTAAAAAAAATAAAAAAAATCTACTGCTATAGCCTTTATTACAGTAGTTTTGTGTCACTCTACAGAAGCTGACCTAACAAAACCTTTCTCCTTTTTGGGACTTTAGACTTTGGATATTTATATAATTTAGATTAAAATGTAAAGAGAATGAAGAAAATTTTGCTTGTGTTTATGGAGGAATATGAAACAACAATACAAGTGAAGCCTCCCTGTTCAATCTGTAGAATCCAAAGGCAGAAGATTGCATCTCACTCGCCATATTGGGACAATGTGTATAACGGCTCAACTAGGGATTTGATAATTGGGTAAATTATATTGGAATATAACTTTTAGGGGAGGTCATTATCTTCTAGTTGGAAAGATAATTGGAGCTCATAACCTTTAACTGATTAAATAAATCTTGAGATCTGTTCACATGCAGAATTTAGGTTCTTGTTGCTTGGTGAATTTCGAATGTACTATTGATATATCTAGGATGCACAATTTCTGCCCATCCTTTTTAATTCTGTGTTTGTTGAATTGTTGGTGGAAATCTAACTTATCCACACGTTGTTGGAACGTTGTTGGATGTACGATGTCTGAAAGTTGCTATTGGAACTTGCCAAAGATGTCAGGTGCTGTGTAAATGAAATGCCTGTGTTTGCTGCTGACCTGTGATCTAGTTTCTAATAATCTAATTAGATGGGTGCCTGACTCCTGGGGCTTGCATGAAAAATCTAGACTCTTTTTTTTTTTTACAAAAAAAAATCTATGTAAACTATTGTCATTCTTTGCAGAAACCCTCATTCTTTACTTACTATATGTTGAGTTCTTGTATGCATTTAAATTCTGTTCAGATCAAAGCTATGCAAGCTTCCAAGAGAACTGGTGTGGTCATCAATATGGGATCTTCTGCTGGGCTTTATCCATTAGTAGGAGATCCAGTATACTCTGCCGCCAAAGGTTTGATTTTCAACTTTTCATGTTTAAGACTGCTTCTGTCTGCCACTGCATAAACTATTGAATATCCCTCCCAAGATTTGACTTTTATTTATAAATAAGGCAGGTTGTTGGTTATTTCTTTTTGTTTCCCCTGCTTTTCAAAGATGCAACTTAGGAATTTCCACGTGTGAAAGGGCATTTCATGGATTTGGCTATTAATTGCGTTCAGGAGTTAAATTTTTATTTTGTTATTTGGAATAAGGGGGCTCTTTGGAAGAAAAAATAACTGTGCAGTCATGCTTTGCAAATTTTTTAAATTATTTTGGCTGCTGCTTTTTCGTTCTGGACAGCAATACTTGCCTCCTTTGGCAAACGACTTTCATTGTGATGAATTAAATTTAAAACAAAAGATATACCCTCTCTTATCCAAAATGTAAGTCAATTTTGTTTTTTATATTTTGGGAAATTCTACATGGTGGCCTCAAGGTTTCCATTTTTCTACGTGGAAGACGAAGTTTTTTCCAACTCTCTTAAGCGGCCCCAAGGTTTTGAAGAATTATGCATAGTGCCCATTTTTTGATTTTTGGCTAACCTTTACAATTAAAATGGTTAGCCTTTGTTTTTTTTTTTATTAAAAAGTAATTAAATTATATTTTGAAATAATAAAAAAAAAGGAAATTTTAAAAAAAAATCCCAAACCCACGACCACCCTCCCACCACCACGTCCACCATCCACAACCCCAACGTCCACCCACCTAGCCACTAGCCAAAACCCACTGCCACCTCGACCACCCTCCCTTCCCCAACCACCGTAACCTAACCCTAAACAGGCCAAACCCGTAACCCAAAATCCCAACCTCCACCCTTCGAAAACCCCAAAAATTGGCCGGAAAAGTCCGGTCGCCCCTCCCCCACACCTCGAATAGGTCAACGCTAGGGTTTCGTGTGTGTGAGGAGGGGCGGCCGGACTTTTTCGGCTTCTTTTAGGGGTTTTCGATTGGTGGGGGTTGGGGTTAGGGTTACGGGATTGGTTAGGGAAGGGGAAGGGAGGGAGGTCGGGGTGGCGCAGACGCCGAGGGAGGGGGTTCAGGGCGCGTCGGCACCGTCGGGGAAGGGGTTAGGCGCGCCGGCGTCGGGGGCAGTGGGTACGGCTACCGTTGGGGTAGGGGGTTTAGCGCGTCGCCGGCTACCGTGGGTGGCTGGTGGTTTTTTTTTTTTTTTTTACTTATGGCTAACCAAAAGCTAAAAAAGTTAGCCAAAAAATCAAAAAATGGGCACTATGCATAATTCTTCAAAACCTTGGGGCCACTTAAGAGAGTTGGAAAAAACTTCGTCTTCCGCGTAGAAAAACTAAAACCTTGAGGCCACCATGTAGAATTTCCCTTATATTTTATACACATTAAAAATATGGTTAAATTTTATTGTAAGATGCATCTATGTTGTACAATAGTCTTAAAATTACATTAATATAATGGTGATCCATAATGTTAACTTGGCTATTGTATATAGGATATAGAGGGTTCAAAGTTGTTGTGTAGCCTGTATTGCATAATTATTATTTTTTTAATAAAATGAAATGATAAAGGGTTGTGGTGGCCTTAGTCAATGAAATGATGCATTAACACTTTAAAGGCATAATGGACGCCTAGACGGTTCCATCCACCCAAATGGCCTCCCAAAATGATGTGGGGTCCATGGAAAGGACCTCGACTTGTTTCTTGACTGAAAAAGTAAAAAAAATTATCCAAAACTAAAGGTTATAATCCACGTTTTTTGACCGCTTCGGAAATTTTGGGTCCTGGTCATAATGTTGTTTGGAACCATATAGTCAATCACATAAAGGCGCATGGTGACCTTGAGTTTATTATGAGAGGCATGTAACTAAGCGGCTAAATTGACGGTTTAAAGGCAAAGTGGATGATTTCAACCACCCAAATGCCCTCCCAAGGTGTTGTGGGAAGAACCCCGACCTCTTGTCTGGAAAAGTAAAAGATGGTCCAAAATCGAAGGCTATAATACAAACACACAAGTCGTAAAGTAAATTTAATGTAAGGGCACAAAAGAATATTTTGATATAACTTTGCTTTGAAGCTGAATTCAAACATAAAAGAGAAGCAATAATTCATCCTTCAGCTCTTTTTTTTTTTTTTTTTTTTTGTGGCAGTAAATGGCCATGGGCGACTAAAATATTGGTAACTATTTGTTTACATTGTAGTGTTTCAAGGTTTGTGTCAAACCTAAAGGACTAAGTCTTCGAATTTTCATTTCTAAATGTTAATAGGTGGTGTAGCTCTATTTACCAGAGCCCTTCGTCCTTACAGGCATCAAGGGATTCGTGTGAATGTACTCTGCCCAGAAGTAAGATGCTTGTATTTGATGCTAATGCTTTACAATGCTTTATATTTATATTATATTCTTTCTTCGAAAACTATTGTGGCCTACAATTTTAGGTCTTAATACCAACAAATTTGGGTTTTAAAACATGCATCAAGGCCTTGTATATTTATATTTTCTAATTTGTGAGGAGGGGAGGGGGGGGGGGGCGGGGGGAGGAGTTGATGCTTTTTAAAAATGGAGTTGAGCTTCTCTAATATAAAAGCTCAACGATCCTCTTTAAATGAGAGGACTTAAAATCTCAAAGATCCTCCTTGAATGAGAAGAGGCTTTAAGTTGAACCTTAGTCGGAGAGGGATATTAATTAAGATGTAGGTGACCTTTGAGTAAAGTTTTACAGATATTCAATAATCTTGGTGAGAAAATTAGGTCTGGAAATTTTATGTAACTCTATTTGTGTTCTGAAATTCGAATTTAGGAACTTGAAATCTGATTTAATGGTGGATAGGTTTAAAGATTTATTAGGGAACTCTCCAATGAAGGAGAGGTATAACTGTTAACTTTGAATTCACTCCTGAATTGGGGGTCTCAGCTTAAAACTAAACCTACAAGGTTATTCAGCACCATCCAATTTACAAGTTAGGTCGTTGCTTTATGTATAGACTAAAAACAGGTTATGCTGGAATGAGTGTCCAATTCGACTATTTTGTGCCTTTGTGGTAATTTTCCATGATTTGGGTCTAAATTGATAGGTCGAAGTGTCTTACGGCTCCTTCCCTTCTGGAGAGTGTCAAGGATAAGGTCAAATGAAGGGTTATAATTTTATTAGCATAGCATTTGGGATTGGTAAAGATTAATTTGTGGATTTTGGTGGGTGAAGGAGAAGAAGTTGATTTGGCAAAATGCAGTGATGGCAATTTTGTGGTGTGATTGGCTAGAAAGAAATTTGTTAACTTGTAAGGATGTTACCATCCCATGACATTTTCTTTGGGATAAATTAAGTTCTCTAGCTTCTTTAAGTGTTTTTCTAAATTGTTGTCTACGGGTATAAAAGGAATCGGGCTAATATGTATCTTTAAGAGTTTCTATTTTTGAGGATAACTTGTCCTCCTTTATTATTCTACTACGTATTATGTTAATAAAATGGTAATTTTCTTATCAATAACTAATTTTCTTAGTCGGTGTAAATAATAACCAAATCCTCTATTTAAATAACATGCTTGGTCCGTATGTAAAATCCACTGTCCAATAGTTGTGGGAAACCCACATCAGTTACTGCTAAAGCAATAAAGGATTAGTAATTAGTCCAGGTACCTATCTTCAACTCAAGTGTCGCAAGATACATTTGCAGACTTGCCAATAGAATTTAAACCAAATTCCAAGGCATCTAAATGACCTTATGGTCACAACAGCAACCACCATTCTAAGGTATACTCTACCTGACAATCTGACATTGTAGTTTAAGCTGCTCAAACATCTTATCCTTGATTCTGCAGATATTTTGCATCTATTTGTCAATAAATGTCATCTTAATAGAATTTAAGGGAATCAATAGAAACATTGAATGGGGGAAGAGAAAAAAGTAAAGCTAGGACGCCTAGGAATGGGGATAAATCACAAGTAGTCCAAGTTTGTTTTGTTGTGTTTTGTGAGTGGTCACACAATACAACTTATAGCTTCTACATGGTTGGGCTGTGCACATCTTGTTGCATTCAGTCAAAGCTTCTTACATTTGCCTTTTATCTGCAGTTTGTTGAAACTGAAATAGGATCCCACGTAGAAGCTAAATTTCTAACCTTGCTGGGTGGCTTCATACCTATAGACTTGGTAATTAAAGGTAGTTATTATTTAACATATTTCCCTTTTTTGTCTTTGGATATTAAATTTCTCTTTTGGTCATTGTGCGTTATGTACGTATGCATGTTGACTTGTTTTCATTGTATACCTTTTAGGTGCTATAGAGCTCATCACAGATGAGACTAAAGGTGGATCTTGTTTATGGATAACAAATCGTAGAGGGCTTGAATATTGGCCAACTCCTGAGGAAGAAGCAAAATACCGAGTCTCTTTTTCAAAATTAAAGAGCCAGTCAATGCTTAATTATCCGTTGGAGCTCAAATTACCTCAGAGCTTTGAGAAAATGTGAGAATTGCCTAATCACTCTAATGTTAGTTCTAAATTTGTCTCATAGGTCATCAGTATCTCTTTTTCCTTTTATGTTCTCTCCTGTTTAATTTAATTCTTGTAACTGCTATTTTTTGTGACATTAATCAACTTGTGCTGCAGTGTTTTAGTGTAGTAATGTTTGGCAGGGGCCATTTGGTCATATCTGAGATGTTTTAACTTTTCTAACTTCCAACACCCATTGGTGCTCTTAAAACCTCATCTGATACTTTAATAAATCCTAGCTACTGTTTTCTTCGCTATTTCACTTTTTCTCACTGGCTTGGCAAATATTGCTCTAAAATCTTCTGAATGTTTCCTGTTTTCAGAGTTGTTCACTCCTTAAATCACAATTTCCGTGCTGCTACGAGGATACAACGTACCCCTTTGGGCCTGCCTATCAAACAACACCATGTTCTGGTGAAAATATTGTATGCTGGTGTTAATGCTAGTGATGTAAGTTTCATTTTTATAAGATCATATGTGGAAGCATATGAAACCCACCTTTGCTTTTTTTTTTGCATTTTTTTTTTTTTTTTTTTTTTGGTCTACAACTCATTGAGTTGGGAATAATGCCAATCATCATGGCAACTAATGGCAAGAGACTGTCTCCCACTCCTCCCAAGAACCCTTGGTATTAAAAAATTCATAGATCTAGGATTTTTTCGGAATTCAAGTTATGGACTCATCTTCATTTCCTGTTTTACTTTCCTTTTCAGTACTTGCCTATTTATATATTTTCTATTTTACTCAGTGTAGCATCTTTGAGCTGGACATTTCCTTGATTCAGGGAGCAACAATGGGTGCACATAGTAAAATTAGAGTAATTATAAATGTTTGCGATCAGATAGTTACTGCTATTTGTTAAGGGGGTAGGAACTAAATTGTCCTCAAAAGTTTGTAATGTTGGCTTGATCAACTTTGTGAAAAGTGTTTGAAGAGTACTTGATGAATGGTTGTTGTTCTTCAGGAAAACAAGACTGCTGGTAAAATACTTCCTTTGGGGTTGTTGGGTGAGGGATACTTCTGAATGGTGAATTGTAAGGTTTTGGCACCTGGAAGACTAATGTGTTTAATGAGCTTTAGATGCCTTTCTATGACTAAGCTTTTGTTTTGGCCCTTTCTATGATTTGTTGTTGGTATAAAGTAACTTTCTTAGCATCATTATGGGTTAGGTTCTAGTAGCTGAAGCTTTCAAAAGTCATTTTAATTTTTGATTTGGTTTCCTGCTTAAGGCAACTTGTCCTCAAATCTTTACTTTTTTTCCCCACGAGCTGAATATCAAAGAAAGAAGGTTGGCTTATACTTGTTTCAGCTGACATGTATATAAAATCTTCTCTCTCTCTCTCTCTCTCTCTCTCTCACACACACACACACACACACACACACACACATGATGGTATTATAGATTTTATTAGCTTTTTTATGTCTTTTTTTTTGTTGTTTTACGGAGGTTGTCAGCCTTAATTAAATTGAATTTAGTACAGTGAAAAGTGTACTATTGTATCATCAATGGGATTTTATGAACAATATGCTGCGTTGAATAGTTGGATTCTTTCCTACATTGCTGTGTTTCTAATACTAGCATGATATGAATAGGTGAATTTCAGTTCAGGCCGCTATTTTAGTGGCAACAGTCAGGATCTTGCTGGGAACCTCCCCTTCGATGCTGGTTTTGAGGTGTGTAATAACGCTTGAATTTAGTTGAAACACCTTTTCATTTGCTTAAAAAATATATAATCAATCTGACATAATGTTGTCTACTTGGACACCTTGTAGTGCTTGTATTTCCGCCCCTTGCTTGCCTGCTCTCCCCCCCCCCCCTCCTTTTCCCTTCCCCCCTCTGCTGGTACACCAAACAAATAATACAAGATGACACCTAGCTCTTATTGGTAAATAAGCGGGCTCTTATTGCTGAAGAAAATATGTCCATGGTCAGCCTATCAGGTCTTTAGTATGCTCTAAATGGGATGAATTATGACTAATCATGTAATATTTCTTCTCTTTGTGCCTAAATCTTCTCCTCCTATATATGTTCTCACATTTAACACCATCTATATACTTTTCTTATTGTCTAAACCCTTGCCTCACATTTCTGACCTACAGGAGACACCTACCTTGTTTCTTATGGACTAATTGTTATACAAGGTGACTCTCAAATTTGGATTTTAATAATGTTTAGAATTAAACATAATGGTCATAATCTGTGTTTGACTTTAGATTTGATTATGGTTCAACTCTATTGATGGTTAAAATTTTAATATTTTTTTAGTAGTGTTGAACTTTTGAAAGAGGATTTTTAACTTTCCCTCCTATTTTCTTATTGGATTCACTCATAATACGCCCAGCTATGAAGAAAAGATGACCTTATAAATGAGAAGTGAATGAGTTACTCCATTTGTTATTAGCTAGGGACTTAGGTCAATTGTAGTTCTTCGAATTGATCTCCTAGTAATCAGCGAAATGATCACTTATGCAACTTGAAAAAGACAAGGAAATGCAATTATTTCTTGCTCTAAAAATAGCAGTCCTAAACTTTAAATAGTTTTTCATGAACTTTTTTCTGTGAATTTACTCTCACTGTTAAGCCACAATAATTTAGTTAGTTGTTCTGACTTGTTTTACACAGTGAATTCATTAGTAATCATGGAGAGAAGGGGTAGAAAAGAAAGGGAAGGGGAATGGATTAGCTTCCATATTTCCTAATACTTTCAATAGTAGAAAATGGTTTATTGAAAGGAGAAGGAAGATGGATCCCTTCAATCTTATTCCTTTCCCCTTACCTATTTAATTTCCATGTAACATAACTGATCTCACTTTCCCTCCATTCCCCCCCTCCCCTCCCCTCCCTCCCTCATCTAAACACATTATAAGAGAGTGAAAGCAGCTCTATGAGATTAGCTCTTGTTTATGCTGTTGCGCTACATATTCATCAGGTTATTTGTGAGACTAAGTAATAATAAATTCAATTGATATTATGCAGGCTGTCGGTATAATTGCTGCAGTTGGTGACTCCGTGGGTGCCTTGAAAATAGGCACTGCTGCTGCAGTGATGACTTTTGGAAGTTATGCTGAATTCATGATTGTATGCTGCTGTATTAGTGTTTTTTTCCCCCTGAAAATTTCCTTAATACTACTTTTCAGTAGCTTGCTTATTTTATTGCTGTGGTCTCTTCTATGATGTAGGTTCCATCCAAATTTATACTTCCTGTGGCTAGTCCTGATCCAGAAGTTGTGGCTATGCTTACTTCTGGACTTACTGCTTCAATTGCTCTGGAGAAGGTTAACATTTTCAATTTTTATCTTTTTTCTAAACTGTTATCTATCATCTATAAATGGAATATAGTCCTTTGATATAGAATTTGCATTTTGTTGTGCAATGTCACTCTTTGTAATTCTTTTAGTGAAATTATAGGCAGCACAAATGGGTTCAGGAAAAACAGTTCTGGTTACTGCTGCTGCAGGGGGAACAGGACAGTTTGCGGTACAGGTAATTTTTTTATTTTTATTTTATTTTTTTTCAGGTCTTCAGAGTTGTAATTTTGCAGACTCTTTCTAGTGCCAATTTTGATTGATCCAGTAATTTCCTGGATATCTAAGTAGATCAGTATGAAGTTCATGATGAAAAATCCCCTTTTCTTTTTTGCCTGGAATCCTGGATGGACAATTTTCTTGCCTTTCATTTGCTTTCCAATCTATGCAAATTATATGTTTTCAAATATTTGATCAGCTATTTGATGCTGTTTGAGAATAACGAGATTGCAAAATTATGAAGATGTTTTGCAGTATAATTAATCTAGACAGGAGGAGTAAAGTTAGCATTTATTTCAAGTTTATTATTTTATTGATGTTTGCATTGTTCTTTGGTGATCAAAGCTTCAAAATATTGAATATTAATTATTTTAAAATTTCATTTGGAGATTGATATTTTATCACCGTCAACTATGTAATGCAGCTGGCGAAATTGGCTGGAAACAAAGTTATTGCGACTTGCGGAGGTTCTGATAAGGCCATGCTTTTGAAAAAACTTGGAGTTGATCGAGTAATAAATTATAAAGAGGAAAACATAAAAACAGTAAGTTCTAGTTTTTTTTTTCTTTGAATGTATGCATATGGATTCAAGCATATAATTTACTTATAGATATCATTTCCTCAATTTCTTTCTATGTTTCTTTTCATGAGTTTAATTATTAACTGTTTGCATATGGATTCAATGCAAGCATGTACTAATGGGTTGTGGATGACATCTTTCTGACAGTTCCGCAATGGATTTTTAACTTGACATTGCACATGCTTTGTTAATATGTGCTTGAAAATCATATAAGTGACTTCTGGTATGACACTGCATCAGACCTGATATGCCACTGTTAAAACGTTAAGTGTATCCATACTATTGAATTCCGATGTAAAGAGAGTTTATTTTGCATGTATGCTGCGTAGGGGTGGGACTTTTCAAACCGAACCGTGAAACCGTCCGTTACCGAACCGAACCATCACGGACCGAACCGTTTATAACCCGCTAATTTTAAACCGAAAACCGAACTGAACCGTATAATGTCAACCGAAACCGAACCGAACCAATTAATGTTAACCCGTTACGAACCATAAACCAATAACAAACCAAACCGTTTATAAACCGAAACCGTTTGAACCGATTAATGTTAACCCGCTAACTGTTTAAACCGAACCGTTTATAAACCGAAACCGTTTAAACCGTAGGAAAAAACCGTTTAAATCGAACCATTTACAACCCGCTAACCGTTTAAACCGAACTGTTATAACCCATTAAACCGTTTTAACCGAACTATTTTCAAACCGCAACCCGTTTAAACCGATCTGATTACAAACTATTTAAACCGAACCGTTTACAACCCGTTCCATTTAAATTGAACTATTTACAGCCTTTAACAATTTGTTAGAATTCCACGAAATATATTTGATGTTTAATGTAATTTAACAGTACAATTTTTTTTACATATAATTATTGATTTAAATTTGTAAATTTTTTTGCTATTATAAAATTAAAATTATATTCTTGTATAACTAAATTAGGAGTTATAAATTAAATAAAAAAATGAAAAAATTTGGCCACCCACCCAATCCAACCACCCTCCACCCACCCAATCCAACCACCCTCCACCCACCCACCACCGTAACCCACCCTAACACCACCCCCGCCGTCACCCCAGACCCACCCTAACACTACCCCCCACCCACCACCGTTACCGTAACCCACCCCCACCCCACCAACGTCAACCCAGACCCACCCTAACACCACCCGCACCCACCATAATTACCGTAACCCACCCCACCCCACCCCACCACCCACCGTAAATAAAAAAACCCAGACCCAAACCTTACCCCACCCCATCCACCACCGTCACCGTAAATAATAAAAACCCAGACCCTTACCCCACCCCACCTACCACCATCACCGTAACGTACCCCACCCCACCCCCTTAACAAACCCCACCCCACCCCACCCACCACCGTCACTGTAAAAAAAAAAAAAAAAAAAAAAAAAACCAGACCCAACCCCAACCACACCCACCACCGTCACCGTAACACACCCCACCCCACCCCATACAAAAAAATCGAAAAAAAACCCAAACCCACCGTAACCCCACCCCACCCACCCCCACGAAACCCAACATCCTTGAAACCCCCCAACTCACTCTAATTGCTCACCCACCATAAAACTCCCTCCCTCCCTCGAAAAATCCTCCCTCCCCACCCACCCGAACCCAGTCTAACCGCCGCCGCACCCACCCTAACTCGGCCCCCTCCGTTGCCCACAACTTGAAAAAAAATTAAAAAGAAAAACTAAAATAAAAAAAGGAAGAACGAAAACATCTTATATATTAATCCTGAATTTGGCCTCGAATTTGGTTTTAAAAGGCCAAATTTGATCATGAAACAACTAGATCTAGAGTTTCGTGGTCGAATTTGACCATAAAAACCGTCGTGCGTGGTGCCGGTGGACGGAGACGGAGAAACGAGATGGAAGAAAGGAGAACATAGACGGAAGAAGGGAGAAGAAGGAAGAAGGAAGAGGAGATGAGAGAGAAAACGAGAGAGCAGTGAGCATATTATTGATAATATTACAGAAGAGGATTAAGAAAACGAGAGAGAAATCAAAAAGAGTACTAAAGAGACGATGGTAAGAGTGATCTGATTGGTGGAAAAGAAAACACACGGATCGTGAATTGGAATGTGTGCGATGATAGGCCGTTAGATGACATGCAAATCAATGGTTGATATTTAATATAAGACGGTGACACGGATCATGGGATAATGGATTTGGATAGTATGGTTTTTTTATTCATAGCTACGTACTAATAAAAACACTACTGTACTCTTAACTTTATGTAACTTATAAATTGTAAGAAACACAAATGTTTGGAAATTGGAATTGATTCAATATGACATATTTAATGTATATTAGTTATATGTATATCAGTATATGTAATAAATAATAATGTATGGTACGATTGGTATCATACTATCATTGGTATGTATAGATAATCGATAAATGTATCTGATTATTAAAACTTAAAACAGTTGATGATCGATCTAATTGAATACTTCTACTTCCCCACCCGTTTTCTTTAACTTGCAAGTTGCAACATATATATGTTGCAGCCTTGTAGGCACATAATCTTAAAAGGTGATTAGAGAGGGTAAGACAACAGAGTAATTCAGCAATGAAACTTTAACACCAAAATTATGGAATAGTTACAAACAATTGTCAATTATTACTTTATTAGACTAATGGGAAATTGAATAATCGTGATTTTAATTAAACCAAATATAGTTCCGTAACATTAAATTATTAGTTTATTACAATATCAATTATCGATTTATCGTATTCAAAGTACCCATTCATCAAATCATGGTTATGACGCGATCTTTAAAACAATTAAAACAAGAAGCTGATAGCCTGATAATATTTGATAATGAAACAATAATACATTAATACCTTATAAATTTGTAATAGACTAATATTTAATAAACAACAACAAGACTATAACCAAATTTGAAACATAACACATTAACATGATATAGAATGAATGAGAATTTCTGTATTTCTATATAATCTGATATCTGAATCGATTTATCGTATTCAAAGTAGCAACTCATCAAAACATGGTCATGACACGATATCTAAAACAATCCAACAAGAAGCTGATAACCTAATAATATATATTTAATAATGAAACAATAATACATTAATACATTATAAATTTGTAATAAATTAATATGATAATATCGAATAAACAACAACAAGAGTATAACCAAACTTGAAACATAACATATTAACATGATATAGAATAATTGAATAAATGAAGATTTGTGTAATTGTATATAATCCGATGTCTGAAAATAAAGTGACGAAGTCCCAACTTTATATAAAACGAAAATAGCTAACCGGTCAAAAATCTCTTAAAACCCAATTTCTACTCGATCCATTATTTTTTTCACCAACCTATGCCGACCCGCTAATGAAATGGAAATACTAGTCCCAACTTGATATAAAACAAAACGCGCTAACTGGTCAAAACCACTTTTTAGAACTCGATTTCAACCCGATCCAATTTAACTGATTACCAAACTAACCCGAACGATTTTAGCACCAAACCGAGTATAATCCGAACCGATATGAATCGAACTAGCATTAACCCGGGTAAACCCGCCCCTGAACCGACCCATTTCAAAATAATCCGTTCATGACCCGAACCGATATGAACCCGGACCGACGTTGACCCGGTAAAACCGCCCCTGAACCGATCCGTTTCAAACTGGTCAGATCATGACCCGAACTGTTTATAAACCGAACGGGCATTGACCCGGGTAAACTCGCCCCTGAACCGACCTGTTTCAAACCGACCCGATTATTAACCGAACCGTTTAAAAACTGAACCGGCATTGACCCGAGTAAATCCGCCCCTGAAGCGACCCGTTTCTAACCGATCTGACTATGACCCGAACTGTTTATAAACCGAACCGTTTATGACCCGAACCGAATTTAAATCGTACAAAAATAAACCGAAATCGAACCGACCTGTGACTAATCAAAACCGAACTGAACCGACCCAGCGTCTAAATGAAACCGTTTCAAACCGAAACCGTTTCAAACTGAGGTCAAACCGAACTGCCAGACCGAAGTCCCACCCCTAATGCTGCGTGAAACTTATCTGTGCAACAGGCCATGCACGACACCCCCATGTAATTAGCTTATATTATATGAAACTTATCTGTACTGCTTCTTTCCATTTTGTTTCTTCCTTTCCATATTTTTCCTTCTCTTGTAATTATTTATCTGTGTTTTTCAATTTCCCAAGCTGATGAATTCCAACTTTCTGTGCATTCATAAATGTAAAATCACTCTTAAATTAGTAATGAACTTAATTTAAACCAGCAAAGGTTTTATGCATTCACGTAGAAGTATATGTTAATTTAAATACGTGGCCTAATATGTTAGTAAAATCTACAGCATATTCCTTCGGTGCTGGATATAATTTTTTGTCATAAAGTGTGGCTGCAAAATATATCAATGACTTGTTAGTGTGCATAAGATCCTCCCTCCAACACACCCTAATTTATGTATTTTTCTTGTAACTCATCAGTCAAGATATGGCGCTTTAAATAGGACTGCTTAGTTTATCCTGTGGTGCTTTGTGTTTATCATGAAGGGAAAATGTTCCTTATCGCAGGTTTTGAAAAAGGAATTTCCCAAAGGAATTGATATTATTTATGAGTCTGTTGGTGGTGAAATGTTTGATATGTGCTTAAATGCCCTAGCAATTTACGGTCGGCTTGTGGTAATTGGAATGATATCTCAGGTATGCTTTCACTTGAAAGGCTTGCTTCAAATTCTATACAGTATTTTGTTTCCCATTTGCCACTTTGCTATTGGATGCTTCATGCTTGCAATGTATTTGACAATTTAAAACCCTTATAGTAATAGTTTGTTGACATTTTAAGTGACAATTAAGTTAAACAGACATTACAGAATGGAGGGAGTGATAATTGTAAATGTTGAACCTCTTTAATTTTGTGCAGCTCTTTCTTATTTTTCTTCACGTGACTTCTTTTAGAATTATATACTGCCATAATTTTTGAGAATATAGGTCTCAATTAACAGTGGTTTTAGCAAAAAAAAATAAATAAATAAATAAATAAATAAATATATATATATATATATATTAAAAATCTCACAGAATATTATCTTGGATGAATCTCTCTTTGGAAAAATTATGCATAAGCGACACAATGCAGCTACTTAGTGATCACTTTGTTTAAGATAATGGTCTAAAATCCTCTGTTTTCTGATCACTTTGTTTAGGATAATGATCTAAAATCCTCCATTTTCTGGGGTTCAAGGAGACAGTTAACATTACTCTATCCTCCCAATCAAAAAAGACATGTCAACATGATGAAAATCTCCAAATAAGTGACCCGGTCTACAATAACTTATTGTAAACCCAACCTTCTTGTATACCATACGAATGTGATTATATCATACGAGATGTGATTATATTACTACAAAAGTGATTACATCATTTTGAAATTGTTATGTAAACGTATAACTAAAAAATGAATTTATCATTATAAAAAGTATCAAATAGTAAATTACATCCTTCAAAACATATTTTTAAATTTTATCATCCTAAAGATAATTATATAATCTCATTAAATATTTTCATATGAGATCATATAATTCAAAAATATGACTCACAAAAAGATAATTATATCATCTAAAAAAGTGATTATATCATCCAGAATGTGATTATATTATTTGAAAGTATCAAATTTTGGGTCTACAATAATTTATTGTAGACCGGGTCCATACAAGACCAACTAATCACTAATATCCTAGGCTGATTTAGAGTGATTTCTATAAGTCTTAACCATTAGGGGCCGTTTGGTTGGGGTTAATCATCAAAGGGAAAGAGAATCAAATGTACTGATTCCCTTTGTTGTTGTTTGTTAGGCATGTTTTCCCATTCCCTTTACCCTCCCCATTCCCCTAAATCCTTCTAAGTTGATTCCCCACCCCCCTAGGTATTCCCATTCCCATTCCCTAGCCACCACATCACCACCATAAAACCACCCTGATCTACCCACACCACCGGTAAACCAAACCGGCGCACTTCCCCCACCACTCGGCGCGCTTCGCCGCCTCTCCCCCGCCGCTCGTCGCCCCTCCTTTCCCCCGGAAAAACTTCACCAGCCTCGAAATCCCCTTCTCTCTCCCCGTAAAACCCCTTCTTTCTCCTCGTAAAACCGTCGCCTGACCCTCCCCTACCCTCGAACACCTAGCCGCTAGGGTTTACACGGTGGAGGGAGGGTCATACGATGGTTATATGGGGAGGGAGAAGGGGTTTCTAGGGTTTTTGGGTGAAGTTTTTCGAGGGAGGCAAGGTGTTTGCGGGGGGAGAGGAGGGCAGCGAATCGCGCCGGCTGATGGGGGAACCGCGGCGAACGGTGGTGTAGCTGGGTGGTGGCCGGAAAACGTGGGAAGTGAAGGAGATAGGTTGTGTGTGGTGGTGATGTGGTGGTTTAATTGGTGGTTTGATTCTCTTTGTTTTTTTAAAACAAACAATATACTAAATTTGAGGTATTTCCATTCCATTCTCTTTCTTTCCCTTTGTTCATTCCATTCCGTTTACCTCGTGCGAACCAAACGGCCCCTTAGAAAATTCACCTGAATCTTCAGTGCCAGGGATAGTTAGTAATTTGATAATGTGAAATAGGAAGTAAAAGAACACTTAAGTTCATCACCTAGCCCAAGCTAACGGCCCTGACCCAAGAAGAGCAAATAGATTCTTTCAAGGCAAATGAAATAATTTGCATAGATGGAAGAAAATAAGTGTGAAGCAGCCTAGACCTATAATATAGCAAATTAGCGATTCTTTATTACTGAGACTTAGATCCAGAATCCATGTTTTGCATGTGCTTGCTGAACTTAATTGCTGTCAAATTTGATGTGATAGATACACAAGCTGATGTTAAACTGTCATGCTTTGTTTAGTATCAAGGAGAGCATGGATGGAAGCCTTCAAATTATCCTGGACTGTGCGAGAAGCTTTTAGCAAAAAGTCAAACTGTGGTACGTTTGCTTTTGTTTTTTATTGTTTTTTTTTTTTTGGTTGTTTTTAAATCTTGGAAAGTTATCTTTGTTTGTTCTTTTCTTTTCACCAGTATGCATATGTGGTTATTCTGCTTTTATGATTGAATCAAACTTTTGACATGATTACTTGTTATATCAAGTAATTGTAATTTTTTCTTCACCTTTTTTTTAGGCCGGTTTCTTCCTTGTGCAATATAGTCGACTGTGGCAACAACATCTGGACAAATTATTTAACCTTTACTCCTCAGGAAAACTTGAGGTATATCTGTCACAAAGCTTGCAAGGGTTTTTTTTTCTCTCTCTCTTTGCAATTTATGTGTCCAGAAACAATCTTCTCCGCTATATTTTAGATTTACTTTTCTTAACAGTACATTTTACGTTTTATCTCCTTATCCAGTCAATTTTTGAATAGTGGTCACTGGTCATCTATAATTTCATACGCTGTCTTTATCTAGATTTCTCACAGTAGTGTAGATATTGAATCTTATTTCAAGATGCATAAGATGCCTTATGGATTGTTATATTGATGCAGGTTAACATGGATCCAAGAAGGTTTGTGGGACTTCAATCCGTTGCGGATGCTGTTGAATATCTCCATTCTGGTAAAAGCATTGGCAAGGTGTGCACCTTCTCATTCTCTCTTGTTTTATTTAGTTTAGGGACCCTCACCATTGTACCTTTGTGTTTGGCGTTATCAACCAATACCTTCACGTTTTTCTTTCTAATTGAGGTAATTTAAGCCAAACAAGTAGTTCACATATGAATGTCCTCTTGGTCATCTCAGACAAATTTGGTCATCCTTTGTGGCTGAAGAGTTGTATTGTATGTCAATAATTCTTAGGTGCCAGCAGGGCAGGTGTAGGTATTTTTCTGTATACTTCATATACAAGTATATCATTAATATTATATCTGGAAACCTCATATATATACAAATATATCATTAATCATTATTATGAAACCTCATAATTGAAAGTAAAACCTTGGCATACGGTAGTCATGTACTGTTTCTGTGTTTAGTATTGTTTGCTCCCTTAAAGCCCTGTAGCTGAATTTGTGTCTGGTTTTGAAATTTTAGGTGGTGGTTTGTATTGATCCAACCCTCAATAAAGCTATTTCAAAAATGTGAGAATTGGTAGCCTCATTCACAATGTGTGGCGCATTACACATTTTTATTGTATGTTGCTCTTGAATATTGGTGTATAGTTTTTCGTATTTGAAAACATTAGTGTGCTCTCATGGAGTTTAACGAGGAAGACAGGAGATGGTGTATGAGTATGACACACAGATTTACTTGGGAAGACTGTTCTGTTACTGCCTGCCTACCCTTACCTAGTTGTGGCCTTATCTGTGTATGAGACCTGACTGTTTGACATAAAATACAAGTCAAAATGCTTCTAGGCCACAAGGGCAAGGGTATTGGATTGACACGGCTTCAATTGTGTCTCTTCTAAAAAGGACCGGTATAGGTGATCTCTCTCTACACTATACTTTAACTGACATCAGAAAGATGTGACGGGCTTTCAACAATCCTCAATTATAAAGAATGTTCAAGATGAAGTGATCCACATCAAATTGCAATTCATTGTTGTACAAGTATAATTGCTTTCTCTAATTCCATGTAATGTCCTTATTTTTGTTGTCAAAAATAGTAATATATTGCCTACATAATTTCTCTCTTTACTATAATAGCTTAACTTTGTAATATGGTTTCTAGAATAATCTGATTTCATATTATAGGAGGTTGACATTTTTTTAAGCTATCATCATAGTGGTAAATCAAATGCTAAAACTATAAGCTTGAAATAGCTAGGGTTTATGCCTAGCACGAACCTGCATGTACTCACAAACTATAAGCTTGTATATGTTTAAAAGGTACCATATTCACATTATATAATTACTTGGGTTCTTCTACAGTCAAAATATTTTTCTTCATTGAGTCAACTGCATACACGAGCCATAGCGTACCCGAAGTCAAAATGGAAGATAGATAGTCTTCAAACACAAACAAGTAATGAGCCTATGGCCATTGTTTTCAGCGAAATGAACCTGGAAAGCCTCAGCATCATCAGCAACCTTTACCTGCCAAAATGACAAAACTTTAAAGACAACAAAATGGCCTAGAAGCAATTTGTATTGAGGAAATAGGCATATCCTCAATACAAATTTATTAGCAGGCTAATCCCCTAATGTTGGCATTTAGCTCCTTTCTTTCAAGTTACAGTGTAATCAAGTATTGTAATATTGTACTGTATATCTTAATGTAGTACTACCTACGTTTTATATCATTTGCAACGATTTGACATAAAATAGAGAGGAAAAATGTCTAATCATTGCAAATAATATGAAACGGTGGTAGTATGATTTTACATTCTTAGGTTGTAGCCACATAAGGAGGGTCTCCTAATGAATTATTATCATTTTAACCATAACAATCAATCTGGTCGACTGGTCCTAATGCTCACATTCTTAGGTTGTAACTTGTAACCACATAAGGAGGCTAATCGAGTTGTTAGCTGATATAGTAAAATGTGAGCATTAGGACCAGATTAATTGTTCAACTTATTCTCTGCTCAGGGTCAGACCATTTAGATTAAAACATGGTAACATATGAAGCAATTATTACTCGCAATTAGCATAAACTGTGGTTCTCAGAAAACACAGGAAAACCATCAAAATAGAAGCCAGAACGGCGTCAAGTAATCCACCAGACAGGATCTGGAATAAACTTCATTCTGGGGATTTTTTTCTTTTAATGAAGCAATTGTTCTCAATCATCAGAGTAAGAATTACCCGCTCTTTTTTTTTTTTTTGGAAGCCTTTCTTTCCCCTCACTATTCCTACTCTTCGTCTTCTTCTTCAGTGGAATTCACCCGAATGATGTAGACCTAAGAAAATAAGTGAAGTTACTAGTGTTACGATAAATATTTTAACAATCAAAGCAAAACTGGTTCATTATTATGTAGTTCTGTAGGTAGAAAGACCAAACATGGGCTTAAAAACCTCAAGAAATAGACAATCAAACCGAGCTTATCCATAGAGCAAATAGATGAAACTTCTCAAAGCTTATGAAAATACTGATCATCATCTATATCTTAACTTCTATACTAATTTGATTTGGTAAATGTACTTAAATGGTATACGAAGTAGTATACTACATCTGTATGAAAATGTTTACTTGGTTACAACATGATTCAGGTGTTATGTTAGGCAGTGAAATTCAGACTGTAGTGCAGTAGTAGTAAGAAGAGCAGAAAGAAACTGAGGTTACCTTAAAGGTAGTTGGTTCAATGAGCTGGAAAACAAGGGCATCTCCATCAACCAATTCATGATCAATAGAAAATCCTCTCCATCCACCACTAAGTCCATTCTTTCTAGCAAGGTACTTGGCCTTCCATTCATCACCATCTTCATCAACTAAAGTGACCATCTCGTCCTCGTCTGGAAGGTGGACCTTGCAAAATGGGATAGGAAAACTCTGTATGGCAACAGAGATTTACTTAAGTATGTGAGATTTCTCAAGATTTCTTCTTGAACTGAAGTTGTTCAAGGGCATAGGAAAGTTGCCTATTTTAGTAGCTATTTTTCTGAATCAAAAAAGTGCTTGTTTTTCACATTTTTCTTAAGCTAAACGTGACATTCAAAATTTAGCTAAAAAAATTAGACCTTAGTGTACAAGTGACAATCTTACAACTAAAAATTCGAGCAAAAAGTAGATAACTTTATTACTTTATCATCAAAAAACATATCCAATGCAACCGTTGTACATTCTATGTGGCATAACATTAACATTTCAACCCGTGTAAATTTAGACTTTTCTTCCTAAATTCCAATTCCTCAAAAACCCTAGTAATTTTTTTAGAGGTGGTGAACCAATAATTTAACAATACAGAAAAAAGGGTTTTAAAACTGACCAACCAAAACCCTCCAGTAACATGAGATTGAAGCATTGGTTTGATAAAGGCAGGAAATGCCGAGCCTAATTGTTGTTCAAGTTCTTCAGCTCTCTCAATAGCATAAACCCTATCCTTATCCGAGGCATAAACTCGATTCAGAATATCCCTTCTTTTGTACTTGTATATCCTAGCAGCAATTTAACATCCATCAAATCCATCAAAAAATAGAAAAAACTAGTTTAGTTCATTAAAGTGCTAGATGATACACGACAATTAATATATTAATATCAAATCTCGTCTATATCATTTGCTCTTTGTGGCTTTCTCTATGCCAAAATAAAAACCCGAAAAGTGGAGAAAGTAGAGATGAACTAAACTCACCTTCTACCTTCCGACATAGGCTCCATTGCATACTGTAAAGACCAAAACAATTAAAATAAAAGAATGAAAATGGGTTTTTAGAAATAAATCAAAGGGTATTATAAATTGTACATTGTAAACATATTGAAAATTAAACCTCTTTGTAATTTGGAGGAGGTTTATCAGCCGTTCGAGACGAACGACGAACAGACGAGACACCGAAATCGGTTGATCTTGCCTTCACTTTCTTAGCCTGAATCATAGAGTAATTACATGAGAATTGAAAAATGAAATACTAAAAAAAAGGTATGAACTTTATTAATTACTAAATGATTTAATTAATATTACAGGGGAAGAATGATGGGTTTTTCTGGGAGAAGGTTTGAGAGCTTGAGCAAGTTTATGGAGATTAAGTTGCTCCATTCTCTTCTTGTTTTCCTCCAATCTCTGCTTCCTTTTGTCCTCATAGCTTGCTGTTGTTGTCACCATTTTCAATCCGAACCCGAAACCGAAACCGAAAGAGAAAGGGAAAGGCCTTTCTGATTGATAAGTTCTTCCTTCAGAAATTGATGGAACTTTTGGAGTGACTTTCTAATTCTCAAATTGTGACAATTTCTGTATTTAATTGGAGTAAACTTTCTATTTTAAGGCATTTTGTGTCTTTTTGAGCGCCTCTTTCTTACATTTTTTGAATTTGAATCTTCCTTTTTTCTGTATTATTTTATTATGGTGTTTGGATAAAAAGTAGGCTTATTAGCCATTTGGCTTGTGGGTTATATGGTCCATTTAGGCTTATTAGCAATTTTGGCTCACATTTAGTCACAAGTTTCCTAAGTCGGTCTTCAAGAAATTATCACCCCTTTTGCCCAAGTTTCCATGGCGGTAAACCGGTAGTCGTCGTTTTTTCATAGGATAAAAACATGAATCTGATACGAAGGGGAAAAAAGAATTATTACAAACGCTTAGGGTTTAAAGGCATAACGTCGCTGAATTCGGTTCTTTTGTTCAATATGAAAAGACCCAAACCATGCAATTAATTCTCTTATGGAACATAAATACGCTCGTAGTAGAGTACAAATGAGTTCGATTAAGAGTGTGTGAATGTGTGATAGGAAAACTGTTAGGCTATGGAAGAAAAATTAATCATCCTTTACATGAAATTTTCTCAAAGTGGCTTTATTATTTAGTTATTTGTTGGTTTGTTCTTTTAACAAAAAAACTTTTACTTTGAATAAGTAACATTTTATATTTTTATGAGTTATAACATCTTTAACTCCATCATGCATTCATCAATAATAAAAATCGAAATTTAAAAAAAATATATATATAAATCAAAAACACCAAGTTTACAATGATTGTTTGATTGAAGCGCCGGTTGGACAAAATGAGAGAGACATACTTGGTGTAATCCAACTTCCAACCCAAGTTCAAACCAGTTAACTATCCAGATTTGGCACCTCTAAATAGCATTGGCATTGCGCGGTTGCACATATAAATGCAATCGTACACAGATCAAAAGCCCCTCACTGATATAGCTTACATTCCACTTAGCAGTCCAATTCCAGGACATATTCTCAATCATCTAAACACAAATGTGTAAATTGGCACATTTCAAATGTCAAATAAATAGAGCTGCATCAATAATCAAGTTATCAAAAGGAACCCAAAAACTTTCATGACAAAAATGTTCTTTATTAATAGTTTTTCCCTCTGCACGTGTAACAACGAAGCGAGGTGAACTGTGTAGCTGTACAATAATTGAGACTCACATCAACATCTGGAATACTCTAAACACTGTGTTCATATAGACTAATCAAGAAAATTGCTATTCTATGATCAACTATCATGGGATTTGTACTTTGTAGCTATAAAAATAATTTAATCCCAAACGAAAAATCAAGGCATAAGAACTAGTTGCGATCTTGTCAACTGCTTCCAGTCTATTTTGAACTCCATGAACACCAGCAATACCTTAAAGCACTTTCTTCACTTGTAAGAAGTCAGGCTTTAGCTTCTTTGCAGCTTCAACATCTTCCGGAGATGCCACTGCAACCACAACTCCTTTATCTTTGACTACATCAACTGCATCTGCAAATTCCTTGAAGTCCTTTACACTGCACAACATAAATAACTTTCATAAGATTCCACCATCACTGTAGAGATTAGGACCTACCCCATCAACTGCAACGAAAAGAGTTCAGGGAAAGTCTAGCACAACTAAATAGTATTTGCGTCAATGTGATTATTTCTACAGCAAAGTGATTGAAAAAGCTTTTCTGCTGGTTTTGATACTCAAGGGTAGCGCCATATGCATCTTGAACCCCATTCTGCAATCCGCAGTAGATGAAAGCAGTCTTCTACTAATTAAAATTTGTATAGAATGTTAGTAGCATATCCAATATTACCTCGTTGAAAGTATCTCCTCACGTCTTTTTTCTCGTTCTTCTTCTGTGACTCCCAACAAGTGCCGTAACATACTGGAAAAGTAATTGGAAACTAATCAGTATTGATTACTGAATCCCTTTTAATAAGCATCTCACAAAAAACAAGCCATACCTAAAATTATTTTTCTCAAAGTCTACCAGAATTACAACTTACCAAACAAAAAACTAATATTTGACTTCATACTCTTCAAGTGACAAATTAAGCAGTGACAACAAGTAAAACTATCCCCAAACTGCCCCATAATCGGCATAGATGCCACAATAAATTTTAAGGAGCCATAAAAACCAGAAGAAGAAAGAAAAAAGTAAATAAATGAAGAAGATATGGAGCCAGTAGTTTAGAGTATATTTGTATTCCTCAAGAATACATCTGTGTGTTCCAACTGGATAACTTCTGTTTCCTTTTATCCCCCTCTTTTCATGTTCAAAACAAGAATATTAGTTTTTTGGAGCAAGGAGCTTCTAAGAGGCATTTAACTTCGAACTGACTTATCTAGACTTCAAGCGCAGCCATGGTACTGGCAACTGGCCTCCTCATTTTACAGTTAAATATACGTCAAAAAAAAAAAGAGCATGCAAACTCATCTCGATAAACAAGGAACCATCTACCTCTCCATAACAAGAATTGCACATTACCTGCTATAACCTTTGGCATCAGGTAGTTGATATGAGTCAACATCACCAATGGTCCCAATAATTGCCTTGGCGAGAGCTTCATTATCTAATTCCAACCCACGGAGGAAATCACCCGTTCCATCATAAACTTCAAGTGTTTTTAACAAATTTGGATCTCGATAGGACAAATATGTGAAAACCCCTGGAAACATGACAGATGTAAGAAGTGAAAACAGCAAGAACTTACAACTTATAGATATTACTCAAGCTCACAGGATATACTAGTCACCTGAATGAGTATCAAAGTCACAAAAGCCTCCATAAGCACCGCCACTCACTCGTACACGGTCCCACAGCCATGTATTACTGATATATTTCGAAATGACATAGGCACTTCCATTGAGCTTATAACCATCTCCATATACATTCGCAGCTTTTCCAACATAATTGACCTAGGGAGGATCAAAAGGAATCATTCATCACTTGCAATAAAACATAAAACCAAAAATATATGTACTAGCACATAAATGATGGGTTAAAAATAAAATAAAAAATAAAAACAATGGAAATTACTTGAGTGGGTATCACAATGGCTTCATTATGAGAAGAGAGTTGAGTATTCCACTTATTTGGTTCACAGGAGAAGTCTGGAAGTGAGTCGAGAAATTTGCCAATATACTTTTCTGAGTTTGTAATATTTTTCCCATCAGCAGTCAAATTGACCAAGCAATGCTTCTTTGTAAGTAAAGTTTTGCGAATCTCTTCCAGAGAGAGAGAAATTCCTTCCCAATCCTTATTAACTTTCTCTTCCAGGCCTCTCAGGAACTCAAGGTAACTAGAGGCACACCACAAAAAGATTACTTTCATATCAAAACATAAATTTGTTGTAAGCTGCAATCCAATTTACAGTATTAATTTTGCAGAGGAGGATAAAATGTACAGTTGAATAATTACAATACTGATGTGAAAGAAGGCATGGTCTCACCTGACACCACCCATTTGCTCAGAAATCCAACCAGCGGCATTCAACTTTGCATCTATCCTTGCAGCTGCGATCCCATGACCACTGCCACTCAGTCGATTCTGAAGACAAGTTTTTCGGCTATGGTATAAGTACAAAAGCTATTGCTTCATGACCAGTTTATCAACAAAGTCTTAAAAATGAATTGCAGTAATAGATACCTCCATTCTTGCTTTACTCTGAGAAACAAATTGCTTGAAGCGCTGTTGATCATTGAACTGAACCTCCTGAAGGACAAGATTCATCTAGAATATACAAGAAACCAAATTAGTAAAAGTTTGGAACAAAGGCAACAGTTGGCTTGCATTGGCAAAGGAGAAGTTAATGTTGTGGTGTATTTTTTTCATGGAGATTCAGTGGCGTTTGTGGTTAGAAGGGAATGCACATGTTTTTCTCAATAACTGAATAACCACCTGAGTATACTATACATTAGCGCTGACCTTACATTTTTACTAATATATAAAAATTAAATATTGTTTGTAATCCTTCATTCTTTAGAATATTGCAACATGGGGGGGGGGGGGGGGGGATTACATTTCCTAAAGCAAAATTTAATTAAAACTCTATCGTTAATTACATGACAATTACCATAATAAATTGATGACATTGTGATAGTATATATCAAGATGAGTCTAACAAGACCCACTTGACTATGCTTTTCCTTAAGTATGAGACACAATATGTAGATACAATTACAGAGTAGTATGTGAATAGTCAAAAGTGCAAACATTGTCAATCAATCAAAGCCTTAATCTCATAAGTGGGGTCGGCTTAGTCAAACGACAACAACAAAGCCTTAGTCCCAAAATAATTTGGGACTGGTTAACATGAATCATCATAAGGAACCGTACGATATAAAGAAAGGGACATAATAAGAAAATCAGTTAAAAGAGTTTGAAAAGATGAGAAAAGTGAGAAAAATGAAGGGAATGTTGATAGAGAACCAAGAATAGAATTCAAGAAAGTTTTAAAAGAGTGGTTAAAAAGTTTGGTAAAGGAAATCAGTATTCAGTACAGTTCATGAAACACTAAAGGGATCAAACCAAAAAAAAAAAAAGTAAGATAAATTTAAAATATATATATGTAATCATAACACATAATTGACGTGAATTTTCTCCCTCCACACCACCCTATCCAACACCATATTTTCCTCTATCCCCAAAGCACTCATGTCACTCTCAGTCACCCTCTTCCAAGTTTTCTTCTTCCCCTACCTCTCGCAATCCCAATACTTTGCAATTCTTCAAGCCTCCTTACCGGAGCGTCACTTGGTCTCCTTACATGGCCAATTTTTTAAAATATATATTTTTTCAAATGCCAATTTTTTGATAAGTTTTACTGATTTAAAAGTACATATTTGATCAGTCAAACTTATGCATTGGCAAGCATGACAGTCACACTGTTGCAAACATTCAAAAAGAGGGAGTGTTTAACAGTCAGTGAATATTAAAGAAACTGGGATACTTTGTAATTTATGGAGCTAATTTAAGGATTTGCCCCTCCAGTTCTGGGTTCTGGGTGACTAGGGTTCATAAAAGTGTAGCGTACCAGATTAAAAAGGTCTTCAGCGCGTTCAGCCATTGCTTTCCCTCTGACAATCAGCTTAGCACATGGGTCCTTACTATCCCTTACAGATGATGAAAAAGGGTAAACAGATATTCCTCCAGTTCTCCTTCCAATTAACTGATTAAGTTGCACAAAATCCATGTCTTTGGTACCCATCTCCAACAACGATTGACTGCATAGAGTTTGGAAAGAATTAAAGCTCGGAACCAAAGAAAAAAAAATCATGTGCAAATGGAATGCATCATTAATTAAAATTTAAGTTGAACAAAGAATTCAAAAAGAAGAGACAGCAAACAAGTTCACCATGATTAACAAGTTTTCACTATGTAAGCAATCTTACCAAAATAAAGGTATATATTGGAGAAGCTCATGTTTCAGGGTACTCATATCAAATACAACTTCACTGTAAATGACATCGTTTGTGAATAAGTCATGCTGCAGAACCGTCACACCATTGATATTCCCAATCTGCAAGAGAAAACACTTAGAAAAGATTTTCAAATAAAACAATTGACAGAAAATTACCCCCCCCCCCAGACACACTATAAATGAAAAAAGGGAGTCCAACCTCAGTGGGGATATGAATGGGTTTTTTCGGGATGTCATGCAAAGATAGACATGGAACACTCCGCAAAGCTTCAGGTGGATCTGGAGTTTCCTGCTTTAAGCGCAACTCTTGAGTAGCACGAACCAATTCTGCTAGATCTTCCTCTGTCATACTTGCCTTGAGCTTCTCCAAAGATTCTTGTTCAACAGCCTCATCATGAGCAGCCTTCTCTGGATCAGGCTGGCAGCAACAGTGTTAGAATCATATGAAAGCTGATAGAGCAACCTGTTTATGATTTATTGATTTGTGTTATAAATTCAGAATAAAGGAGATGTAAATTGCAATACTCACCTGCATTTCAACTGTTACACGGTGAGGGTTTTTCAGAATATACTTTTCAATTAAGGGAGAGAATACAGCTTTAGAGCCTTCTGCTGCTACTCTTTCCTTAAGCTTCATCAGTGGTTTCTCCCACCTCAATGGCTCAAAGGGATCCATATCATAAATCCATTTTCCCTACACCAACCAAAAAAATGGAAGTTATAATAGTGAGTCATAAATATTAACAAACAATTTATTTTCAGACGGTTAGGGGCAGTCATAATTTAAAAAATTTCAGAATAGAGACATATGTCTTACAATAGACCGAAGCATTAAGGATAGTCCACGTGGGAAGGAGCCAGTGTTATTTTCCCTTAGAGAGAACTCAATAGTATTCATGGACGCCTCTATAGCATCTGAATTGAAACCTTCTTCCACCAGATTTTTAAGAGTTGTTACCACTAGTTCTTCTACTTTTTGAATGTCCTCCTCTTGAACACCCTTCAATCCAATACTAAACTGAGGCTGCAAAAGATCATCATCAATGCCACCTCCAATGATAGCTTCTCCAAGGCCACTCTCCAGCAAGATTTTCCTTAAAGGAGAGGCTGGTGTTCCCAACAAAAGGTGATCCAAAAACGCAATTGCAAGCTCGGTCTCCAAATCTAGAGGCTTTTCAGACAGCAACCAATTAAGACAAACCATGTGCTTTTTCTTCAAATCCTCACCATCACCAGCAGGATATTTCTCTGTAATCCTGACAGGTTCTGAGAATAGTTTTTGCGGTTGAATTTGTGAGTCATTGGGAGCTGAGCTCTCATCAAACTTATCTAGATATTCTGCAATGAACATTCACCAGACGAATGTCAGATAAACAAATTAAGTGGAACTGATGGACAAAGGGCTCCATCAGAAATAAAGCTCAACACTGACTGCAATGACATACCACTCAAGAGGCGAAGACGCTCATTTGGATCATCATCTCCATAAAACCATATCCTTGCATTGCTAGGGTGGTAAAATCTTTGGTGAAATTCCTGTTCATATGTATCACATTAGCAAAATGCATCAAATTAAGCTCATGACAGGGCTGCTCTGAAAAGAACCAGCAAAACATTTGAATGTCACATACCTTAAATTTCTCAAACGTGAGCTTGGGAATAACATTTGGGTCCCCACCACTATCTACACCATAGGTGTTGTCTGGAAAGAGTGCCTAAAAGTCATTGACACCAAATAAGCATTCTTTGACAAAGATGTCTTTTTAAAGCAATAATAATATACTTTAGGCATTGCTATACAACAACCAGTCCTTAAAATCCGCATCAACAAAAGAAAATTTTCCCAAAATATTACTTAAACAATACCGAAGAGAAAGCATGGTATAGAAGTTAGGGGCAAACCAAAAATGAACCTGGGCAAAATATGGGAACAGAGGAAGTACAATGTTTTATAATTAGCTTTTCAAAGTATCAATATAATCCTTTGTCCCTATATGTATTTCACACTAGCTTTGTAAAGATATCACAAATTATATTTCACAATTCTCTTTTGGGTTCATAAACATCTAGTCTGTTCCTCAAATACCCTTACAACCACAAATATCAATGAATGATTACCTTTCTTTCCCTAAGAATGTCACTAGTTTCAGTATCTTTCTTTCAATTTTTGTTTTTTCAAATGCCAGACCACACCTTTAAAACTTATTATGTGTGTTTATCCTATAGTAAAAACAATAATGGGTAGGGGGTGAAACTAAACAGCGATTGTCATTAGTACAATAGCATAACAAAAAAAATGAACAAGAAAAGTCACTTATTGTTGAATCACTTTATATATATATTACGTAGTAGAACATATTAAATGGGTCAATAGCTCAGCACAACTAACATAATTATTAAGCGAAAAAAAAAGGAAATTTTAGATTTTAACACCAGAAGCAAACCCGAAAATTGTTTTAACACCCCAAAAAAAAAAATTAACACCAAATTTTTTTTCTGAAATATGATTTTACCACCACTTAAGGTCTGTTATGATTGACTGAAATGGCTGAGAGAAGGAAATTTTTATGACTGAACTAGCTGAACTAAATATTTTATGAGAGAAGGAAATTAAGAACCGAAGTGAACCGAAAATAATCTAAAGAGAACACGCCCTAACATATTTTGTCCAAGAATCCGTTAAGTGGGGTCCACACTGCCACGTGTCGCTTTTTGTTTGGTAAAAAAACAAAAAACAAAAACAAAAACAAAAAAAAAACTTAACAATCCTACAGCCACCCAACAACCCCACCACCACATCCCCACCCCACACTCGTAGCTTCAACCAGTCGGCACCGAAACCCACCCACCTCCTCTGCCCCGACAAGCGAAACCCGTCCCCTTCCAACCCCCCCCGACACTAGAGCCCATCCCCCTCCCATTCCGCACCCATAAACCGTCCTAACCGAAACCCTAAATTCTAAAATGGCCACGAAAACGGCTAGTTATGACCAAAATCGGCCGGTTTAGTCCACTCAACCCCAAAACCGGCCAATTTCGGCCATAACTGGCCTTTTAGGATTTAGGGTTTCGGTGGGGCTGGGTTAGGTCGGGGGAGAGGTGTGTCGGTGATGAGGTGCGGGTCGGCGGTTGTGCTGGGTGAGGGCGGAGAACAGGGAGGCGGTGGTGGCGCGGGGTGGCTGGCCGCTGGGTAGTGTTAGGCTTTTTTTTTTTTACCAAACAAAAAAGCGACATGTGGCAGTATAGACCCTACTTAACAAATGCTTGGACGGAATTTGTTAAGTGGTTGTAAAATCAAATTTTTGAAATTTTATTGGTGTTAAATTTTTTTTTTTTTTTTTTTTTTTTTTTGGTGTTAAAAACCATTATCGAGGGGGGAGGGTTTTTTTTTCTGGTGTTAAAAATCTAAAATTTATGGAAAAAAAAAAAAAAAAAAAACAAGTTAGAGTCAAGCATTCTATCTTGTTTAATTAATGGGCATCTTAGAGTCAAAATATAATGCAGACAATACCAAATCTTATTTGGCATGGACGCATAGAAGCAAAACAGTTCACCAAGTGAAGTCAATATTACTACTCATAATTCATAAGACACCTCAAAAATCAAGGAAACCAACTTTTTCTTTTGTAATAACAAGGTAGCTAAATGTAATTGGGGAAAGTAAAATCGGTGAAAGACATGCCTGTTGAGCAGTGCGACCTAAAACATTATCTGGCTGGGAATAAACACCCTTCATCTCATTAAAGACAACACCTGAAACATGCATTTTAAATTAATCAACATAAAGAGAATTAGAAGTCAAAAGGCATTATTCATGACATCACCAACACCATGGCATGGATTATGGATTTTTCATAAAATTATTGGCATCAAAAGTGATATAAACAAATAAACAGCTGAAACCTTTATAAGATATTGGTTCTGAAGGATCATTAAGCTCATAATGCCAGCCTTCTTGTTGGAAAGTCCATTTGTCCTCCACACATTTGGGAAAGAACACCGCATCCAAGTAAACATCTACCAGATTATAGAAGTCCTGTTTAACAAGCAATTCAATATGAATTAAACACATGAGTCTAAGGATGACATCAAAAATAATTTCAGGAAAAGCACAAACCTTGGTATTAGTAGATGCAACAGGATAGCAAGTCCTATCAGGATATGTAAAAGCATTCAAAAAGGTATTCAAGCTCCCTTTCAAAAGTTCAACAAAAGGTTCTTTCAGAGGATACTTTCTGGAACCACACAACACACTATGTTCTAATATGTGAGGAATCCCAGTCGAATCACTCCTGCAATAACAGACAAAAAATTATAAGGAGACTGGGACAAGATAACGGCAATAAGTACCCCAGATTAAGTTGACTTTTATTGCAGCCAAGGGTTGACATTAATACAATAGCATACCCAAGTAGGCTGCAGCAATGAGAGGAAACAATTTCAACAAGGAAAAAAAGTAGAAAGTTTCAAGGACCACTTGAATAATTGACATCATAATTAAGCTAAATAGCACCAGAATACTATCCTTGATAATTGGGCATGAAGCAGCTTAAGTTGATTTTAATTACATTAGTCAGCAACAGGAATCAGCCAAAGCTAACAAGGACATACATTCAAAGCCTAGGGTCCTCTCCTAATTTCCGAGGGATCGTTTTCTAACCTTTATCTGGACTTTCAAATTATGTTAGAATTTAGAAATCCAGAAAATCCCCAACCTTGTACAGGTTTTCCATCTATATTCATCGCGTAATAATCTAGAGTACTTCTTGATAGATTTCAGGTTCCCCACTCAATATTTCGCCATAATCTCTTATTACCATAACAGCAGGGTAGAAGAATACTGTAAACCAATCAAGCTCATATCGAAAAATACAACTCCAGCTTATAAATGCTAAACTTCGCTCCTCAACTCTAGATATAAAATTGCGAGTATAATTCATCATAAAATTCAAATGTTAAAATACGTAGCTAAAATGCGGATGTCAAAAACCTATTAAACATCGAAGTATCAAACACCATTATCTTGACCAGCAATGTAACAGACACAACACAAAGTAGGCCAATAACAATAGTAAATACACAAGCTACGCCCCTAAACATATACTCGGCATTGCATAAAGCTAAATTGATAATTATAAGACAAATATGGAGAAGTTTTCAACTTACGGAGGAGTTCGAAAAACTATTCCAAAAACCTTATTCTCATCATCATTCGAAACCGACATAACCTGAGCACCAGTTTTCTTATGCTTAAACAACACAGCTTTCGATTTACACTCATCGATAAATTGTTCCGCAACCTTCTCAAACCCAAGCTTCTCTGCAAACTCAAAATCATGCTTTCCAGACTCTACACCACCAAAAACAACCACCAATCAATCATTTAATCAATCAATTAGTTACCGAAAACAATTCAATCATTACAAACCTGAAGTAGCGGCGGAGTCGGAAGTCGCGACAGCTGGACGAGAGAGAGTCGAGAAAGTATTGCGACGGCCTCCGGAGAACGGCGACGGCGGCGGAGGGAGAGGAAGAGATAAGGAGGAGATAGGGCGGAGAATGGAGTGGTGGCGGAGGAGAGAGACTGGTTTGGAGGAGTTAGGGTTTTGGCTATGGAAGTTCCGGCGAGTTAGGAGGCGGCGAGTGGAGGCGGTGAAGAGGCGAGTTGGTGTTGAAGAGGAGAGAGAACGGAGTAGCATTGCTCTCTCCATTGGTAAACACTGAGGTTGTGATAATGAATCCACAATTATATGTTTTTATGAAATGAAATGAATTTATTTTAATTTTAATTTTTTTGGGAGGGAGGAGTTTTCTGCAAGAAAACCAGTGAAACAAATTATAGTAGATGATAATGCTATGTACGAGTATATTTTTTTGATTGAATATAAAAGAGTTGTAAATTTGGTGTTTGAGTTTTTTTATTGATGATTTGCTTGGTTTGGAGGTCTGAAGCTGTTTGTGGTGTTGTGGATATTTGGAGACCACGTTTTTTGGCTCCTAATATTTGTGAGAATTTAAGATTTTCTTTTCCCATTTTTTTGCTTTCTTGTTTTTTTTTTTTGTCTTTTCATATTGACGTGTTTGGATTAAAGTAGGGTTACAATGACGATCGTCTTTGAAAATTTTGGTCTTTACAATTGATTACAAAAATTAGTCACAAAATTCATTCATACTAATACAATGTTAAAATACTAATCTACTTCTATTTAAAATAAAGTGCTAAGAATTATGGAGTTACACAACACTATGTTAATTATGCATTTTATAATGAAATTATGATTTGCATGGGGTAAAGGGAGTGAATTTAAGAGAGAGGGATAGGGAAATGAAAGAAATGCCCTTTAATATACGAAGTACAAGTAATGTGTGTTTTTGATAGTGTTCAGACATCCACCTCCTTTTTTCTGCCTTCCGTCCTTCACCATTGCACCACCACTCTCTTCGTTACCTATTCTTATGTTGATGTTATCACCCTTTGTCGTTGTTACCTCCTTGCCCAAACCTTTGTCGGGGCTCCATCCCCGACACCCCCTTATCTTTCTTACTTCTCACTTTGATTCATACCCACTAATAAGATTTTGATTGTCAAATTCGATCAATATATAAAATTTTCATGATTGAATCTCACGGTATAAAGCCACAATTGATGATTTAAAATGGTTATTTCCTATTTTTTTAGTCTTTCTTTTTATTGGATTTCGGACAGTTGTTGGTTTTTTTTATTATTTTTTGTTGGAAGGGGATGGTTTCTCCTTTGGGTGTGGCCGTGTGGATGGGGGAGGTGGTGGAGGTGGTTCAAAGATAAGGTAAATATGCATTGTGAGGGTGTAAGCTTTCGAGTGTTTGGGGGTCTGGCTACATTATGTGAAAATTATCTGGGTGTATGATTTCATGGTGGGTTGAATTGTTATGAGTGGTCGTGTGATGGTGTCCATGAACGTGTAGATGATGCTTGTGTGGTTTTGTGGTGGTTGGTGCTAGCAAGGTAGTGTGTTAGGTGTGGTGATAATGGGTGTTGTATAAAAAAGTGATTAAAATTACCTAAAGACGGAATTGGAAACTATGGTAGAGATTGAGGGATGCGAGAAATAGGAGAGGGAGTGCCTCTACTTGAATGTAGAGTATTTGGTTTGATCTAAATTTATTTTGTTGCACACACCTTTGTTTAAAACATTAGTCTTATTTAGACTTATCCGTAGCTGAAGAGAGGAGAAGATCATACACAAATTATTTTGAATACACATTTCCTAATACCAGGGCAGCCGAGGGGTGGCTTGCCTTTTCTTGATGTTTATATTGGGTTGTGTTTAAACTCTTCACGACATTGGGTTTTTAGAGAAAATAGTTTGATAAATCAATGGAATGTGTATATTGGGTTGTGTTAAAACTTTTCATTTTTCCTACACAACTTTTCAAGTAGTGTACAACTTTTTTCTTAAAAAACATCTATGCAATTATTCAACAGTGCAATATAGCAAAAATATCAACAAACTTAATTAGGAATAAATTGAATATAATTAAAAATATCAACAAACTTAATTAGTAATTTAACATTGGATATGCATATAACAATGGAAAAGTTTTCCGAATCATTTACTATTTTGCAAATGTATACTCTCACCAACCTTGTAATTGCTCTACATATATTATACGGGATTAACTATATGAAACTATAAAGGAGAAACGATTACACCTAGTTTGCATAAAACATTAACACTTAGACAATCAGAGAAATTACAGTATCAGCTTGCATTTGCAATTTTCTTCCAAAAACGTGGATTTGGTTGTGTAGTAGAAAAAAGCTTTATACAACCCCATTTGTAGCCTATAAACCCTTGTTAATTCCCTTGATTTCCTTCTTGCTTTTTTCCCCTTTTCACCGTAGTCAATTTGGTTTCCTTTCTTCCTAGTACATCTAGTTTCGCAAAATCATCATATTCATTTCATTGGTCTCAATGTCATTAACACAATTATATGTAAGTCTTTAATTTTGACCTTCACAAATAAACAACATTTGCTTGTCTAGTTGATAAAGTTGTCATGCAATTAAACTATAACCTTCATTCACTATCAAACATTATAAATTTCAATATTTCATTTTCCATTTAATATAATTAATTGAGTAAAAAGATCTTTCAAATTAATCAACCTAATAGAGTCATCTTATTAATTTTGATCATGAGAGGTGAATTTTAAATTTACCTATGATATAAATAAATAATATAAAAGAGCATAAATGTAAGGAGAGAGAAAGTTCAACACTCATTATTAAATCCGTAAGCGTGGGATGACATAAATGTAAGAATTAACATATGGGGGTAAGAACGTAAACAAACATTTTGAAGGGCAATTTTGGTCTGTACATTATTCGTAAGCATAATCTCTTACTTTTTATAAGGTGGGGATTTTAATCATTTTGTTGATTGAATTTGAAATGCCGCAAGGGGTGAATTTCCATTATTCGTAGTGCTTTAGCTCATTTTCACCTTCTCGATGCTCAATGTTATTAATGGTCATCGTTAACCATCTCATTAAATACATGCCTTACGCCTCTTCCTCATCTGGTCTCCTAACTTCCTTAAGAAACTTTGGAGTTGTTTGGTTGATAATAGACCTGGCAAACTGGTCATTCGGGTCGGGTCAATTCAGGTTAAGTCAAGTTCGGGTCAGCAGATGTTCAGGTCGGGTCGATTTGAGTTTCTGGTCAGCACTTTGGGTCGTGTCTGTTCGGGTTGGGTTAATTCGGGTCGGTCAATTTTTAGGATTAATTTTCAGGTCAATTTTGGGTGGGGTCAATTTCGGGTCGAGTTAATTCAGGTTGGGTCTATTCGGGTCAAGTTGGTGTCGGGTCACCAAAATAAATTCACTTAAAAAATAGTTGGAAAAATAAAGTAAAGTTAAAAAATATAAAAATAAAAATAAAATTGTGAGTACCTATTACTTAGGGAAGAAAGAAGCCCTAAACTAAGTAATTCACCATTTCACCCTATTCATTGTAGGATTTGAGTCAATTTGGGTCGGGTTGATTCGGGCCAATTAATTCAGGTTAAAATCGGGTCGGGTCATTTCGGGTCGGGTTAATTCGGGTCAACTCCATTTCGGGTCAGGTTAGTTTGGGTTTAGGTCACTTCCGGGTCAATGGTTTCGGGTCAACTTTCGGGTTATGGGTCGGGTCAATCGGGTCGGATTAGGATTGCCAGGTCTAGTTGATAACATAAAATGAGGGAAAAGAGTTGTTTGGTTGACACAAAAAAGCAAAAATGTGAAAAGAAGAAATTCATGCGACAAAAAAAGGGAAGTAAATTACCTAACCTCGTAGGTCAATCAAAATTCATGGGATTTCTAAATTCCCACACTGCCAACCAAACAAATTTAAGAAATTTCTAGGAATTTCACGAGGGAAATAATTTTCCATAAAATGCAATTTTCTATGAGAATTTAATTTCCACGTCAACCAAACAAGCCCTTTGTTTTTGACGACTTCCTCTAGAAGCCTTGTTTTCTCTTATGTATTTTTAATGTACAGAGTACTCCCTTGTACTTGTAGCTATCTTTTTTTTTTTTGAACGTGAAGCTATCTTTATATGATAGACCATTAACAATTAGACACTTTTTTTTTTTTACAATAAAAATTCCACTAATCAAATTATCAAGCAAGAATAAACAAATACCCCAGATTAAAAATCCGTAAAATATCATACACATAAGGAAAATTTATAATCCGCAATTACGCATCCAACCAGAAGATCCAAACTCATTTAAGAATCAAATCAACTATACAACCTTTCTAAAAGGAATCATTAGATAATTCATTAAAATGGGTCGGATTTCATTCTAAAACTTTAATTAGTGTTTCCTTAATTTTTCTTTTATTAATTATTATTTTTTTTAAAGAAGGTGTTTCCTTAATTCAGCAAAGGCAAAGCGCGGGAAAATGAAAATTCCCAGACACACTTTCCCTCCTACCATAAACAGTACCAATAAATACTCAATTAAAATACCCACAAAAAAAACCCAGGAAAAAAATAAACCGCTCAAACAATCACAATCCCCTCTTTCTCTCTCTCTCTAAAACCCTAAATCACCGTTGAGCCGCCGTACTCCGGTCACCGGAATACCATTTTCCGGCAAGAAAAGGGTATTTAAGGATGTTTTATTCGCATACTTTCTTGGCCCGGAAAGGCCCGCTTGGTACTGTTTGGTGTGCTGCTCATCTTCAACATAAACTCAAGAAATCTCATTATGCTTCCACTGATATTCCCTCCACTGTTGGTTAGTTTTATGTTTCTTTGATTTTGATTTATCTTTTTGTTGTTTGCAGAAAAATAAAAATTCAATCTTTTTTTTTTTTTTTTGGGTTATAAAGTAAGTAACTTGAATGTTTTTCACTTTTTTGTCATTATAAATGTAATAATGAATTGTATTGGAACCAATAATATTTCCTTTTCTATAATTATGTTCATAATTGTACGGTATGAGTCCGAGTTATTAATTTGAGGGTTTTTGATTTATTAATTACAAATTGCTTAAAAAAAAAAACAAAAAAAACAAAGAAGTACAAATTTGAGGGTTCTTGAATCTTCATTTTAAAAAAGGACTGGCGAAATATTTGGGTTTAATGCATATAAAGATTCAATTTTTATGAACGTTTTATTTAGTAATTGTTGAGAATTAGTTGATAGTGGTTATGTTAATGGTGTTTTTACTGTTTTATAGAGAGGATTATATATCCAGAAGTTCCAATTGCACTCAGAATGTCAGGACATCTTCTATTGGGTGTTGTTCGGATATATTCAAAGAAAGTTGAGTACCTTCATCATGATTGCAATGTTCTTTGTGTGAGTTTGAGGAATGCCTTTCGCCATGTCGATGTTAATCTGCCTGAAAACGCTAACCAGGCTCAGTTTAATGCCGTCACGTTGCCGGAGACTTATGCACTTGATGCTATAGACTTGCATGATGATATGTATCTTATTGATGGGTGAGCTTGGTATTTCGTTTTCGGGCTCATTTTATGTGCAATGGGGTTTCACCTTTGAATTTATGTAAATTAACTGTGATTTTGCTTGCTCAGATCCCAGGATGATCACCATAAAAGCCAAGAGGATATAACACTTCAAGGTAGCATTTTGGTACTGTCAGTGTTTTGTCATTTTCATAATTGTTCTAACTTCTAATGTATTGATATCAGCTTTCTGAATGTGTTACAGAACAGTATCATTCCGAAAGAGAGCTTTATGTCAGGATTACATTTGACGATGTAATGAGTTTCCTTCTCTTTTCCTTTTAACTCCGGGTTTGTAACAATGATATGCTACTTTTGAACCTAAGAGTGCTCTTGTATTATCTATGTTATAAGCATGTCACGGTTATAAACTTGGCAAAGACTTGCTGTTGTTGTGTCTTTCTTTGTTTCTATTCTTTTCCCTCTCTTGGAAGAAATTAACATGTCGAAATTGATTTCTGTAGGATATCATTCCAGGCACAATGGACACTGAGCACAGGGAGGAGAGTGATCCAATGCAGATAGAGTAAGCTGTTTACTGATGTCTCTATATTGGTGTATAGGAGTATCCTATTGTTATGCTCATTGTGAAACTAAAAATTTAACATTACTTATCCCCTCATGATTGCAGCATTCCTCCTGAAGCTCCTACTCCACCTATCCCCAGTCCTGATAATCGAAATGGCGAAGGTCCTAACCAAAGTGAAGAACATGGGAGGCCTGAAGGTGAAATTGTTCCACCATTTGAGGTCATGCGTGATGCTACTGACTATGATGTCCATGTGCACAGCCCGATTCTACGGCCACATAAGGAGAATGTTGACCCTAATATTAACATATCTCCCCCAAAGGACACGACTGAGAAGGAAATTGATACTCCGCCATCAATTCCAATGCCTTCTCATGAACCACTGCAGTATAGTGGTCCTTCATCTCCCCCTACTGAAGTTCATGTAGATACCGATTCTCATGGTGAGCACATTCATCCTGTTGAAATTTATGTACAAAGAGGTGTATGAACTACTCAAAACTTAACACTTTGATTTTTGTACAGCAAATGTTCCATCAACTGCGTTGGCACTCCGTCCAAGTCCACCTCCTGAGCAGCCTCAACCTCGCCAGAGAAACAGAAAGAGAAAGCAGCTGTTTGATGAGTCTCTGGTCTTGACTAATGAGTATGATTACCTGTTCCATTAGGCTACCTTTTCTTCCCCCTTATTTATTGCAGTTGGATTCTTATGAGTTTGTATTGCAGGGCTTTGAAAAATGCACTCAATGATTGCTCTGATTTGGTAAAGAAGAAAAAGAAGTTGCCTTGTTCTGCTTTGGAATTATGGAGGTTTAGTGAGAAAAAGAAAAAGAATGAAGAGGTTTTCTCAGAGCCACTGATATCTGGTAGGTAGTCTCACAAATACAGTTAATAGCATGATGATTTTCTCTCTGCCTCAACAATCTGTAATGGATGAAAAAACTTTGTTATGTTGCAGGAATGGGTGCCAATCTCCAGAATCTTTTAAGCAAAGACTTAAAAATTTCGCACCTGAAATTGCCTGTGACAGAAGAAGCTCAGTTGGAGTCTAGGGTAGCAGAATCTCCTGCACATACTCCCAATGTTGGTGATGAAATTGAGCGTCTTCGATCAGCAGATCGTGAGCCTGGACACAACATTGAGCAATTCCTTCCTTCCTCTCCACTATTAATGTCTCCACAGCCCCAAACTGCAGCGACTTCCTCGTCCACAATGGTTCCAAGTTCAGTTTCAGAGCCTAGATTTGGAACTACTGATACGCAATCAGATATGGGTATGTATACCCGGTCTGCTGCCACGGAGATAGAAACACCAATCTTGAATTTCGAGGATAGGGATGATGATGGAGGTACTGCTCCATCAGACATTCCCGAGTCAAGAGCTTCTATGAAAGCAGATGTAAGTATTCTGAACTACTTTTTTTTTTTTTTTTGGCATTGATAGAGAAAGGCCTTAGAAGGGAAAGGAGATAATTTGGAGCACAAAGGAAGCCACAATGACAAAAGAAGGAGAAACATTTGTTCTTTTCTATTTCTGAGACAGGGGACGGAATAAGTTATAGATTATGAGAGAATAGCAATGCAACTGTACTTTTAAGGAAGGGTTACACAGTCTAGCTCATTTTTGTGCAACACATTCAAGAATGAACACATCTTGTAGTACTCTGCTACTCAACAACACAGACACCCAGCAAAATTTAGGACTAGTGGCTTAACACACTTTCGCAGTCTCCTCAGTGCACTTTTCAGTTAATCAACCTTATTGTTTCATATAACTACAATTTGTGCCAACCATTTGTATGGAATTACCAGACTAGCGACTTAGGACACAGTTGACTAGTTGCACTCTCTTAGCACAGACCTAGTGCAGCCCCCTATTAATTATTTCCTGCCACTACCTTTCAATAAGCTTGAACTCAATTAACCACTGATCATCTGTCATCTCTTACAAGAGTTGGGCACCTCTGGACCTTGGTTCTTGAAAGGCAAGCAAGGAAACTTAGATTAGCCTTTAGACTTCTCCATTTCCAAATATTTAGCATATTCTTCCTAATTTGCTTTTAAGTACCAACCTAATCAGCTGTAAATGGGCTAGAACTTAGCCAAGCTCCTAGGCACCAAGGCCAAGAAAGCTCATCCCGTCTCATAGCCAACAACTAACATGATCAACCCAATGAATATAGCAGGAGAATGTAAGCAATCAATATATCCTTGGCAGAAGCCGCCGAATTCTATTGAATGCTATTATTAGGAATACTTTTGATCAACTTTTATCGCACACCTAGGACTCCTAGTAGGGATGTACCTATTTCCACAGTGCTTAAGGATTTCCTGGCAAGCTTTAAAGTTTTGCAGAGGCCTGTTCTCAATAAGTGCTAAACACAATTAGCTTGCCTATACTTGAGTCCCATTGCACATTGGTGTCTAGCTACATGGTGTCATTATAGTAGTTGGCTTCATTTGTTAGTCTGGAAGACAACATGCTGACAAAGATCAATATAACTGCCAATGTTATACTTTTAGTCGGAGGGTTATTTTGATATTCATCTACCATTTTGTTATTTAATCTTTGATGTAGCGTTGGAATTGTATCTTATGGGTCATTCTTTTTAGGATTTAGATATATTAAGTTCAAGTTCTGAAATAATCTTCACTGCCGTGATTGCATTTCTGAACCTTTCTAAAAGTTTTCACCTTTGACATGTCCAAATGATGTCTTTTCACCTTTGACATGTCCAAATGATGTCTTTGATTCTTGGCTGTGACATCTTTAAGTTATTAAGCTGCCTTTAGCACACTGTTAGTATTTTTGCCTATCATTGCTGAGATACCTGCCTATTTCGATTGCAGGAGCTCTCTTTTTTGGAACTAGATAACAACAGCCCCACTGGTAAGCTGCATGTACTACTGTATTAATAGTTGTTCATATCTGGTTAGTTATATGCAATTCAAGAATTGTGGTTAACATTAGCTTCCTGTATCAGATTCTCAAGGGGCTCAAACGGGAGGTACCATGTCTGCCAGGACAAGGTCACCAGTATGCTTCCTAAACATTTTAGGCTTCATCAGCATTTTAGGCTCAATGCTGTGAGATTAAACTTGTGTTTTTGGGTTGCAGGGCAGTGGCTCAATTTCTGAAAAATCATTCTCCTGTATCCAACTTCACAGATGGTTCTGTTAATTTAAATCTAAGTACCATATTGGAAGGAAGACAAAGGAAGTTATGTGCACGGATGTTTTATGAAACTTTGGTAAGTCTTAAAATGCTATTTCAAGGTTTTCTTAAATTGGATTAGGACTTTAGGAGTACCTCTCTGGTTCATGAAAGCCCTCACTGACTATTTGATTGAACTTTTATTTTTTGTGCTACACCGTGACAGGGATTTGTCTCTTATTGGCCTGTTCTCATTTCTAAGCTTTCCCCTAGTATCAGCTGCCTAAATTCTAAAGATGGACAGTTATAACTATGAGGAATAATATTTTTCATCAAATCAGTTGATTAATATACACTAAAGTATTCAAGATTTAACTTAAAATGATTTAGTATTTTCATTAATCACATTTCTGATGGTTTCTGTTGACTTCAGGTTTTGAAGGATTGTGGACTGATTGACGTTCAACAGGATGAGCCCTATGGGGATATTATATTGAAGCTGACTCCAACTATGTCTAAAGCCCAACTATGAGGCTGCATCAGATTAATTGGTGTTCATCCCTGATAAAACCATATATACAGGTATGATCTGTATGGATTTACTAGTACCACCTTAAATGAGCTTGTAGGTAGATTCAGCTATTGATTTATTTATGCATAGAAGTTCGAGTTAGTTTGTTCTGTTCATGTGTTCTGATTTCTTTCATTTTAGTTTTTCACATCAGTTCATCTACTTATGGTCATCAAACTGTGTATTCATATGCTAAACTTTTGGTGAGACTAATAAGGTGTGTTATTAAATTTGCAGAAGTGTACAGCAGTTAGAGTAAAAACTTTTGTTCAATCATAAATAGGGAGGGATCGTTGCACATAATAGTTGATACCATGACATGATGCTGATTGCTTAAGTATTGCAACACAGCTCTTTCCTGTACTAGGAAATGTTTCTTGTAGTCTGTAGTGTTCTCGATGTTTAGAACCCTAGAAGGACTCTTTTTATAGTGCTACCATATCAGGTGTAACTTGTAGGTTAATGTTACTGATAACTTAAGCTTGTTAGCTGTTATTTGCTATTCACAATGCTTGATGATTCGCTTGTTAATTGTTAAGCCACAATTGCAATTCTTGCATTATGAATTCAATAATCTACGCGAAAATGGCTAAATTCAAACCAATTAGATACAAAACAATTGCAACATCAACAAAAACAAAACACATTGGAAATGCCTTAACTCAGCACATGGACCGAAAGCATTGCATTAATTATAATAATTAACAAGGCATAGTACAATAGTGTCATTTATTATGATAGTCTAAAATTCAGAAAACTCAGCTTCTACTGCATCAGTTTAAGATGAGTTGAGGAAGGCAACAACCTGGTCCATAAAAGGGGCAGCATTGGGTGAGCCAGGGGTGAGCAAATGGAACACATGGCTCTCACCTAATGTCTCCACCACTTCAACATTAGCCTTGCAGCCACTCTTCTGCAGGACCTCCTTGTACTGGAAACCCCTGTCCCTCAGAGTATCCAACTCCGCCACGCACACCATCACCTTCTCTACGGCCAAATCCGCCAACTCCGGGTCTGTGGCCGGGTTTATAAACGGATCATCCAACCCACTCGTTCCAGGGCATACAAATCCCCACAGCTCATCTGCCAGGTTCCCCCCAGAAGCCTTGATCTTCTGAAGCTCAGACCCAATTTTATCCTTACCCCAGAAATATGGGTGGACTAGTATAACACCTTTCAACCCCAAGTTCTCAATCTTTTCTTTTCCTAGGCGCTTGACCATATGATGTGCTATATTAGCACCAGCACTGTCCCCTGCCAAGAAAACTCGAGACAGATCAGCGCGATCCTTAATCCAAGGGTGAACATCCTGCCCATCTCCCTTACCAACCCAATTAATCGCCGCCCACGAATCCTCGTAGGCAGCAGGAACAGGGTGCTCAGGAGCCAACCTATAATCAACAGACACAACCAGCACATTGGCCTTAGAACATAAGCCATTCAGATAATTATGGTACATAGGTGATGCAGCTGATTCAATACAAAATCCTCCTCCATGAATGTAAATCAACACGGGTAGCCGTCCAACGTCTCCTCCTGCAGGCTTGTATAGCCGCACCGATACACCGCCTTCTTCCTCCGGGAGCACAGCCACGTCTAGGGACTCCACCCCCGTGACCGTGTCGGTCGAGGCCGGAACATGTTGGGTGCCAGTGAACCTCTGCACCCTTCCATCTTTGTAGACCACTAGAAATGGACGAAGATCATGGGTTACATCTTGTACATTTACAGTAGCCATTGCTTTCAATGCTTCTTCCATTTTTTTTTGCTATCCTATATTTTTTAAATGGTTGTTTTAACTGCTTATTTTGGAGTGTCAATAATTTGATTGCCTTTGTCCTCTTTTATATTCAACGTGTGGTGTTAACTTGAGCAAGAATTTCCTGGATTTTTTTAACAGAAACCAGAATTTCAGGATTTTCTATCATTTTTATTTTCTTTCCTATATCAAGTAAAATGTGACTCATTTGAAAGATGAGGATGCTTGAGGAGGTGGAGTTTCTCTTATCTTTCCCCTTTATTTTTCAAGTACATGACTCGTAAATATGGGATAAAAAAAACCCGTAAGTAGGGATGGCAATCCTGTTCGGATCCAATCCTACTCCGTCCCGATCCGAGGTAAAAAAATTGGCTCCAAGTCCGAGAAAAAAAGTAATTTGAGTTCGACTCCGTTAAAATAATCTGACTCCGAGTCGGAGGAGTGTCGAAGTCGGATCCTACAAAAAATCCAAGAAAAAATCCGACTCCGACAAATGTTCGACTGTGATGGATTATCCGACTCCGTCTCCAATAGATAATGGATTTTTGTGTGGGTCATGGTGACATTGGGTGTGGGTTTTAAAGGTCCAAATAGCCCAATTTCTCAAACTATATTGAATAACGAAAAAAAAACTCGGAGTCGGAGGTCGGATATTGAAGTCGGATGTCGGATTCGGATATAGCCTCCAACTTCCTGTCCGATTGGAGTCCGATTTAGCATAATCCGCTCCGAGTCTGACCCGTTGCCATCCCTACCCGTAAGGCTATAAGGGTTGAAATCTGATCGAAATCTTTCTAGTTATGTACTACCTCCGTTTCTTTTTAGTTGACACGTTTGACATTAGCACCATTCATCCACCTCCATTTGACAGTATTTTGTGCTTTATACAATTATACGTAATGAAAAATATAGTCGTGTGGGATCTTATTAGATTCGTAACGTTATATACTTTCAAAATATCAACTTTTTAAAATTTTTGCTTATCAATAATTAAAGATATTAATGATTGAATAAGTGCATTGACAAACGTGACTAAAGAAACGTGTCAATTAAAAAGAAACGGAAGAAGTATAGTATTAAACTAGTAGGCTTGTAGCAATAAATTTTTTTTCCTGTTTCATAGACAATTCTTTTCACGCCAACTTTCTGATATGACCTAATTTCTTGCATAATGTGGACCTTGGTACAATCACACCAATATTGATAGCCTACTCAAGGTTGTTTGCTGCAGTTGGTTAATGAAATAAGGTCACCTTTTGGTGTACTAAAGTTGTTATAGTATCACTCATCTAGACATTTACGTTTTTCAAGTAATGTTGTTTCCAATATTTTTGTGGTCTGAATTAGTGAAAATTAGAAAAGAAGCTGTTAAACAATAGAATCGTATTTCATAATAATAAATTGACAAGATTTTTTGATAAATTTAATACTCCGTATTAAAAAGTTCACCTGAATTTTGAGTATTCATTAGTGATTAGTCTTTATACCTTATTCTTTACCATACATTAAATATCATTAAAAATTATATATATTGCCAATTTTCTTCCAACTAAATCCATCCAAAAAATGACAATGTCTACAATTATTATTGCGGAATATTTTTTTTGGTTAAATTTGTGCATCGCATGAGCACTAACCTAATATGACTACAAAATGGAGGTATTACATTTAAAAAAAAACATTGATTACACTAATTAACGCATGATTTTGACATGCATAAATTAGTCTCTCCATTAAAATAAAATCTTCCTATGTGAAATATTGATATTATAAGATGAGAAAGTCTTCAAAATTAATCTTAATACTTATATACTATGTAAAACATAACATAGTCATGTTTGCTCTTAGTGTATTCCGTCTCAAATTCTCAATGAGTAGTTTAAGCCTTTATGGTCAAAATAATGCGTTGACAAATGTGTATCGTTAAAGTGGGAAGATCGGTGTGAAACGGAGTGCGTAAGTAGTTATGTGACGACTATGAGACACTTGTTAGCAAGATCTCTACTATAAAGATAATTAGATAACCCATGCATAACACAAAAATAGACAAATCTATACTTTATTAGTATTTAAAAACAAAAACCATCATCCCTATAATGCCACATGCCTACATGTACATTTTTTTTTTCTCCAATGCCACTAATGTATGGTTGGTGCACCCGGGTGCACCATGCGCATGGTGCACCCGAAAAGAACATAAGGTATATTTAAAAGAACATGGGCAAAAAAAGAACATTATATATATTTATAAAGAACATGAGCATAATATGTTCTTTAAGTTTGATGATTATGTTCTTTGAGTTTGAACTATATGTTCTTTATATTATACAATATGTTCTTTATATTATACAATATATTCTTTAATGTATGTAAATTAAAAAAAAAAATCAATCACTCGAGTAACCAGAAAAAAGAACATGTTCTTTTTGTAAAGACTTTATGTTCTTTAGCTAGAGGTGATCAAAGTTAGAACGGCCCGACCTGATTTTGGACGGGTTTTGGGCAGAATTTTTTCGCCCCCAAAATCGGGTCGGACCCGGCCCTTAAATTTAATTTATTGGGCGGGTTTGGGAATGCGTTTTATGCATTTTAGTTGATTTTTTTACTCGACCTGAAAAGCCCGCATGGCCGGACAATTTTGGGCACAAAAACTTTGGCCCAAAATTTGGCCCGACCCGAGAAGTGAGCTGATTTTTTAACCTTGGCCCGGCCCACCCAATGATCACCTACATCTTTGTCAAACACGAACATGTTCTTTTTTGTCAAATATAATGTTTTTTTTCAAACACGTTCAACACCTAAATAACCATGAAAAATAACATGTTCTTTTTGTAAAGACTTTATGTTCTTTGTAATGTCATGTTCTTGTCAAACACAAACATGTTCTTTTGTCAAACATAGGTATGTTCTTTTTCTAACACTAGCATGTTCTTTTTTTTGCCCATGTTCTTTAAAATATGTCTAATGTTCTTTCCGGGTGCACCATGCGTATGGTGCACCCGGGTGCACTATACTATTTTCACAATGCCACATGTCACTTCATTTAATCTTTCTTTTTTTATTCCCTTTTCTCATATGAAAAAAAAACTTTAATTCTATACATGTATAAATTATTGAATGTTGTTTGGTTCACTTTCCTTCAGTTTAGTTTCTACTACAATTGCATTCAATTTTTACCTCTTCTTCGATCTCCTCTATAAACTATTCATTTGCCAGTATAAATATATTAAAAAATAATTATTTGTATAGTATTCCTATAAATAAACTGTGCATTCCACAGATCAGAAGACTAGTTGATATTTAATACCTCACCTGATATATACACTTATTAATAGAGAATTTTTTTAGCAATCTACGGAGTATTTATTACTTCATGGATTAATGTTAGGCAAGGAAAAAAAAAATAGACGTTCAAGATTTTTATGTTGTTTAATTTACTCTTTTGTTTTATGGTACTTTTCAACGTCAACTAAGCGTAGAATTACTCCATTTGAACCATCCCAGCATTGGGTAGGTTGATGAACTCTCCATTCACATAACATACTTTGATTTTTTTTTTTTAATTAAACATGATTTATTTCTAGCTAAGATGGTAATACATACGGTTTTCATTTAATGAGGTTTAATTTGGTGTCCAAGAGTGAAATTATTCTTTTTAATTTTTTTAAACATTGTCCAAATTAAACTTTATTCTATTTTAAATACAAGTAATTCCTCTGTTCTTTTATTGGAGTCCTATTTTTCATTATTATGTGATTAATAAATGTTAGAAATGGGACTTTAATAAAAGGACGAAGGGAATATTATTTTTTACCACCTTACTTTTCAATCCTAATATTTTTTTTACTCAATTTGTTTTAATGCACCTTTTTCATACATACACCCATTTTTTGTAAAAGAACTTTTTTTTAAAAAAAACACACACACTTACTTTCTTTGGCTTTGTGAATGTAAGATAAGTGTGTAAAACAAAAGGAAACAAAAGGATAATGATGAAAACAGGAACATACCTAATTTCCGATGCTATAATAAAAATTGCAGGCAGTTTTTTGAACATTTTAAAATAGTATACATATACATACTACGAGTAATAAAATACGTTATAGTATTATGGAGTGCTTATTATATATAATAAAACAAATGAAGAGGTAATTATTAATCTAATCTAATCTAATCTAATCTAATCATCCTTACTAACAAAAGAAACAAGTTTAGCCATCAAATGTTCTATATTGGGAGATTTAGTATTTAGCAAATGAAAGCAGTGGCCTTCCCCCAATGTCTCCACTAATTCAACATTCCCTTCCCACCTTGATTTTAAGCTGTAGTAATATGTTAATCCTCTTTCCTTGAACTTATCATTTTCCGCAACACAAATCAATACCTTATCACACGCCAACTTGCACAATCTTGGATCAATATTTAGATTCAACTTTGGTTCATTATTCAATTCTCTACTCGACGGATACAAATATTGGATTAATCTTGTGATTTCTCTTGTGGCGAAATAAGGTTGAATGGCTAGTAACCCAACTAGTTTTAATCCATCACCAATGGGTTCAACACTAGCCCTAATTGCCACATCATGGGCAAGGTTAGCTCCACTACTTTCCCCACCCACGAACACCCGATTAAAATCCACATAATCATTTAGCCAAGGCTCCGACCCATTCCCATTTGTATGCGACGCTATCCATTTAAATGCGGCCCAACAATCGTTGTATGCAATGGGTAAGGGGTACTCGGGGGCTAGCCTAAAGTTCACTGTTATGGCAACCACTTGGGCTCTATAAACGAAATGGGTCAAGAATTCCTTGGTAATTGGGCTAAAGGCTGATCCAGTACAAAAACTCCCTCCATGAAAATGAACAAACAATTGTAAACCCTTCTTGCTTTTCGGGTCACCCGTATCATCACCGGTTTCATCCATTTTAGGGAGAAATATTCGACCCGTTATTTCAGGATCATTTGATATTACTATGTCTTTGGTTTGAACTCCGGTAATCGGATCAATACCTGGCTTTTCTTCAACTGTGAGGATGTACCTATCAACGTGACCATACTTTACAAACTCTAAAAAAAGAGAAAAATCTAGAGTAAATTCTTCTAAATCTAATTCCACACTTAATTCCCTCTTGATATTGGTGGCCATTTTGTGTAATTTACTACTTTATCACCCTTTTATTTTAAATTTCTTAAGTTGGATGAGAAAATCTTAATATGTATATTTTGTGTAATTTTATAATTACACCTAATCTTCACCAACATTTTCTCTAGGCCATTCGTTTTTAGATGGTCTTATTCATTTCTTTTCCCTCTCTTTCTTTACTGTCATTGTCATTTTCTTTTTTCTTTTTGACAACTTTATTATTGTCATTTTCTAATCGCTATTCTTGGAAATTTTGTTTGGTAGGTAACAAATACAAGTAACTAATAAATTTAGATGTGCAATATGTTTCTATGTTATTATTGCATGGACTCTCAAGTTGGTTTTAAACTTTAAGATTCTCCTTTTTACCCTTCAATTAAACAGAGAAAGTAGGTATGAAAAACAAATTCAATTCTAATATTCTATGATCCTTTAATAAAAGATATACGGTATAATGATCAATTTTAGAAATTATTAGCATAGTTACAACTTAGTGATGTTAATTGGAAAATTTACAACAAAATGAGTAGAAGTCAAAAGTAGAAAAAGTATCTACAATTATACAACAACAATTAAGAAAAATTAAGTTTTATTTATATAAGGTCTTAACAGCCGTAAAAAAAATATATAAGGTCTTAACAAATTTTGGTTATTGTTAGAGGACTAACTCAATCAAAATATAAAGGTAATGGTTAAGGCCTAAGAATAAATTTTATACTCTATTATGTCCTTTCACACAAGAGTTTGTTGGGTTTGAAATGTGAATGCATCATAGGCCCTTGCTACACCTACCCCGAAATATTCCACTTGAAAGTGGGGGGTACGGTGTATGAGATTTGAACTTGTGATCTTTGTATCACGCTGGCTCTGATATCATGTTAGAGGGCTAACTCTACAAAAAAAAAAACTTAAGGTAATAATTAAGGGCTTGTTTGACATCATTTTTGGTTTTCAGTTTCCTGTTTTTGTTTTAAAAACCAAAAACAGGAAACAAGAAAAAGGTGTTTCCACTTTTCTGTTGTCAGTTTTCAAAATTATTATAATTTTAATATGTTTAAATAAATTTTTATTCATTATGGGACTATATCCTATACTTTTAAAAAACCAAAAAACAGAAAACCACATCAATGCCAAACGAACCCTAAAGTCTAGGAAAATGTTTTATACATATTCTCAAAATCACCTTTATTTCTAACTATTTTTAATTACGTCAAAGTTATAATTTCATAAGTTTTAACATATTTCCTTTCTTATTATTGTGATTTTGGTAAATCTTAACTATCACGAGATTACAAAATACAATAAAAACCCACAAATTTTTGTATGTGGCTGGCCACACGGTGCGGCAACCTCAATTTTTATTTTATATATTTTTTTTAAATACCACAACTCTTCTATCTCCTTTTTTTCTTAACTTCTTCTCTAAGCCAAACCACACATCATTAACAAGGATATCTCTACTCCACCCATTTTCTCTCTCTTCTTTTCTTAGCTTCTTCTTTAAGTCAAACCACACATCACCAACAACTATATCTCTACTTTACCCATTTTCTCTCTCCTCTTTGCTAAACTGCTACAATTAAAGCCCGAAATTGTAGAAATTGGGTGTAAATTGTTGTGAAAAATTGTGATTAATTATCCTCAAGTTCATCAACAACATTTGAAGTAGTGAAATCGATGAGAACCAAAGAAATTTCAGCTCGTTTTCTTTGTGGAATCTTAGATCGAACATTCTACGTCAAAAATTGTAGGTTATTACTAGTTTGTTCAGGGGTTACTTGTAGGGTGTTACTGGTTTGGTCAGGGGTTACATATAGGGTGTTATTGGTTTTGGTCAGGGGTTACTTGTAGGGTGTTACTGGTTTTGGTCGGGGGTTACTTGTAGGGTGTTACTGGTTTGGTCGGGGTTACTTGTAGGGTGTCACTGGTTTTGGTCGGGGGTTACTTGTAGGGTGTTACTGGTTTTGGTCGGGGGTTACTTTTAGGGTGTTACCGGTTTGGTCGGGGGTTACTTGTAGGGTGTTACTGGTTTGGTCGGGGGTTACTTGTAGGGTGTCACTGGTTTTGGTCGGGGGTTACTTGTAGGGTGTTACTGGTTTGGTCATGGGTTACTTGTAGGGTGTTACCGGTTTTGGTCAAGGGTTAATTGTAGGGTGTTACTGGTTTGGTATGGGGCCTACAAGCAACCCTTGAATAAGTAACAAGTAACCATTGAATAAGTAATTCATACAAGTAAGTAAGTAACCATTGAATAAGTAATTCATACAAGTAACCTTTGAAGTAACTCATATAAGTAACCCTTGAATAAGTAACTCATACAAGTAACCCCTGAAAAAAAAAATACAAGTAACCCTTAAATAAGTAATCCATACAAATAACCCTTAAATAATCCATACAAGTAACCTTTGGAGGAAAAAAAAATACAAGTAACTCCTGAAAAAAAAATAAAAGTAACCCCTGAAAAAAAAAAATACAAGTAACTCCTGAAAAAAAAAAATACAAGTAACCCCTGAAAAATACAAGTAACCCTGAAAAACCAGTAACCTCGTTATGCCCGTGAATAGTAACCCCGTTATGCACGCGTCATACTCCGTAATCCGTTATTTTTACTGACTTGGCAGCAGGCCATACCGTGTGGCCTGCTGCACCAAAAAAACTCTGATAAAAACCATATAATTTTTTTTTTCCTAGAAATATAAGTTGACAATCTGAAATTTTTATTGTCTAGAACAATTAATTTAATCAAATACAACTCAAAATAATTAAACAGATAACTTTAAATCTCCGATCCGACGATCCCCTCTTCCTATATTCTTTCCAGGGTTTCAATTTTTAGGTTATTTATTTATTAATACTTTGTAAATACTATACTATGCATAGAATTATAATTATTTTTTGACCTTTTACCCTTTTTATTATGGCAATATAACAATATAATATCGTTAAAAGTTTCCTCAACTTCTATTAGCTAGATGTGCAATTTAATTATCTATCTTTTGTCTGCAAGAGATTATTGGCCCTCGAAATTTAACTATTTGAATCAAAGATCATCATCTAGTAAAATAATTTGTTTCTATTTGCCATATTTTCTTTTATATAAGTAAGAACACAAATTGTCTTCAAAAAAAAAAAAAAAAAAAAAAACCAGACCACAAATCAAAGGTATATTAGTTATTTATTTGTTCTAAAGAAGAATATACTATACGACGATTAAAAAACCAATTCATAATTAGTCTAATAAATTAAGAGTAATGTTATATAAGTCTTAATGGTTGTAAATAAGTGTTATTATAATGCATTCGCTAAAATGATACTTGTATAAGTTTAGAAATCTATAGTAAAATACCCATATAAAACACATGGAGAAAATATTACTCGAAATTTAGATCGAAGTCAACAAGGATATTTTAATTTTTTTTCATACAAACAGAAATGATTGATGTCTTTAATTAATTTGTAGAAATCACAACATATTTTTTATGATAGAAAACTATTATAATATGCTGATTATCATACTCATATATATAATGGTAAAATCGATCACAAGCCACTACTATAAGAAAAATTGGACATTTTATTGGGATATTCAATTCAAAAAAGGTATAGATGAGATACGTATAGTGTCCATTCCTCAATCTTTTTTTGTTCTTCCACTTTGAAATTTTTTTGCGAGAAAAAACTCAAAATTGTAGGAAGAACTTAAAAGAACAAAAAGAAATCTAAGACGTATGATATACATATATATAATATATATTTACAAATATAAATAAGGAAGTAATAAATCATCTAATAAGAATCCTCATTTATAAAAGAAACAAGCTTAGCCATCAAAGGGTCAATATTTGGGGAGCCAGCATCAAGCAAATGAAAGCAATGGCCTTCCCCCAATGTCTCCACAAGTTCAACCTTGCCTTCCCATCTTGTTTCTAAGGTATCATAGTAATCAAATCCCCTTTCTTTGTACCTATCCTTTTCCGCGACACAAATTAGTACCTTATCACACGCCAACTTGTATAATCTTGGATCTGTATTAGGGTTCAACCTTGGTTCCTCATCCCTTGACGGATATATATAATTAACTACAGGTTCACGTTGTTGTTTTGTGCAGAAATACGGGTGAATGGCTAATAGACTTTCAAGTTTTAACCCCTCTAAGGGTTCAACACTACCTCTAATTGCAACATCATGGGCAAGATTAGCGCCAGTACTTTCTCCGGCCAAAATAACTCGATTAAAATTCACATAATCATTTAACCAAGGCTCAGGCCCGTTCCTATTTACATGGGACGCAATCCATTTGAATGCGTCCCAACTATCTTCATATGCAATGGGTAACGGGTTCTCGGGTGCCAACCTATAGTCTATAGTAATAACAACCACTTGGGTCATAGAAACTAAGTTACTCAAGAATTGCTTAATTATTGGACCAAAGGCTGACCCGGTACAAAAGCCTCCACCATGGTAATGAACAAGCAATGGTACACTCCTATCCTTTGGTAGACTCCTATTCTTTGGACTATCATCTTCGCTATCCGTATCATCCAACCTAGGGAGGAACATCCGGCCCGATATTTTCGGGTCTTTTGATATTACAATGTCTTTGGTATGAACCCCGGTAAATGGGTCAACACCCGCGGGGACTTGGGTTGTAAGGATGTACCTATCAATGTGACCATCTTTACAAACCCTAAAAAATGGAAAAAAATCACGAGCAGTTTCTTCAATATCGCATTCCATACTTAATTTAAGCGATATTTATTGTTGTTTGTGTCTATATTGTGTAAGCTACTACATGCATTTTTTATTTCTTTGTTCTTTGATGATAAATTTATATGCATTGAAAACTTATTTTTCACCAAAATTTTCTCTAGGCCATTCATTAAAATATTGTTTAATAATTAGAGAGAGATTTTACTAACGGTTTAATTAGTTTCTTTACCCTTCTATCCCATTGCTACCATTGTTTTTTTTTTACCCTTCCCGTCATTTTTGGAAATTATGTTTGAGAAATTAACTAATAATTTTTTTTGGAAATTGTTTCAAAAAATAAAATAAAATAAAATAAAATGACATGTTATTGAGTTCTATTTGTGGTTAATTGATTCTAAACTCTTCCAAGCATTATTCAAGATGAAGTACTTTCGTTTGGCATCGTTGTGGTTTTCTGTTTTTTGGTTTTTTGTTTTTTAAAAGTGTATTATATATGTCACATAATGAAACAAAAATTATATAGACTTATTAAAATCATGATAATTTTGAAAACTGATAACAGAAAAGTGGAAACACCTTTTTCTTGTTTCTTGTTTTTGGTTTTCAAAAAAACAGAAAATTGAAAACCAAAAATGATGCCAAACAAAGTAAAGTACTTTTTTTTTTGGGGTTTCAAAAAAAAAAAAAAAAGTTAGGAGTAATATTTAAACTACTGGCCGACCAACTTATATTTCATTTTCCCCCTAGTAAGAATTTTTTTTAGCAAAGATGTTTCTTTTGTTTGTATTAATAAAATTATTTTTTTTTTTGAAATAAATAAAATTAATTTTGTTAAATCCAACTATATTAAAAAAAAAACAATTATCAAACAGTAATTAAAAACTATTGTACCGATTATTTAATCAAAGTCTCGTGATAAATAATTTTCTATATAAGTAATTGAAAGTTAGTTTCTTGAAGAGTAAATGATCAAAACAATTAAATAAGACGAATAATGAAATTAAGGCCTGTTCTATTCACCTTATTTTTCACTTATTTCAAGTCAAATAAGTTTAGTGGAGTTAAAATAGGTTCGGGAAAATAATTTCAGCTAAGTTCAGTTCACGAAAAATAAGTTTTTGATAACGGTCATCCAAGTTTAGATTACAATTAAATTAAGTTTTAATAAGTTCAATAACTATAATCAGGTGAAGAAAACAATTAATTAAATGACCTAAAATATATTAGAATTTGTTATTTATACCAGGGTTATTTGATCATTTAATTATTTTTGCTCATTTAATAATGAGCAAATATTTTTACTCATTTAATAAAGAGTTGTGCCCAGTTAATTTTCCAGATAAACAAAATTTGTTTGTTTGGGGGTATTATTGTCTTTTCAAGTACCAGTGGACGGGTACATGTGTAATTTTCTCACCAACAGTAAATGCAAGTTGCAAACAGTAATTGGACAGCTCACCAAATATATACTAAATAAAAGACCATGCTTTTTCAATATATTTACAAAAATGCCATCAGATTAACAAATTTCTTTTATCTGACAGATAAACTTGTATTTGCTATTTAATAAATGAGCAAATATTTTTATATTATTAATTACTAAATGAGAAAATAATCTAGGTCAGTGGGTGTACGATAGTCTTTTTATATTATTAATTGATATTTTGTTAGTCTGTATAAGTATGAGTTTCAAGATGTATCTCCTATTTTCATGTTATAAGACTTATAACTCGCCCATCCTAGAAGCTAAACAACTTCTTCAGGGTGACATCATTAGATCGAAGTAAACAAAGTGTTGTACATCTTCGTAAGAAAACAATAAAAGTGTTGTACTTTATTCGTAAGATAACAAATACGGAGTACTTGAATAAAAATAATGAATGAAGATGAAGGAAAAGAAAAATTGATACACTATTTTTGTTACCATCAAAAAAAAAAAAAAAAAAAGAAAAAAAAAAGAGGGTATCCAAAGTGGCAATGTTTATCTTCCCTAAAAAAAAAAAAAAAAGTCGCAATGTTGATCTACATAAATCATCAAAGGGGACACTTAAAAATTAGACTTGATCCTAATTAGCCCGACCTAGCTTGAAATTTACCCGGGTTTGGGCATATATATTGGGCCGGTGTGTTTTTTTTTGTTTTAACTGGGAATTTGGGGCAACCAAAAATTAATTTCTAGTTGTAAATGGCTCGTCTAAAAGAAAAAAAATCTTAAAAAACTGCTATTTTTGGTCTGGTTTAATTTGTCCTGATCAAGCCTATTTTTAATAGGTTAAACAGTTTAAATCACTCCCTCTTACCATCTTTCAAAAAAAAAAAAAAAAATCACTCCCTCTTACCATAATTGACACAATTATGCATAATTTTAGTTATTGCGAAATGAGGATTAGCATAAATAAATAAATTGATTGGGTTTAAAAAAAAATTCTTTGTTTGAAGGATTTAGGGTTTGTTTTGTTCATCATATTTTTGCTTATCTGAATTGACAACCTTATGTGTACGATAATCTATAAAGAACAAATATATCAAGTGGGATCTTGTTATATTCGTAAATATTGTATATATTTTATTAATGTATACTTCTCATAATTTTACACTGCAAAATTAAAGTTATTTAGCGATAAAAAAGGAATATAAAATGATAAAGTATATTAGAACTTATTATTATTTTCTTCTAATCTAATATGTACTTATCATTTCTGTGGTTTTTTTTTTCTTTTTAGGAAAATATTTATGACCTGATCTAATTTGAACTTAAAGTTTATGAAACAAGTTAAAAAAAAATGAATTAAAGTTACTTCATACTTGTATTTTTTTATATCATACTTGTATTTTTTTATAATTTTATTTTTTTATTTTTTTTGTTTGCAGAAAATACTTGTTAACTTGTACTATCATGTTCATAATGACTTTATTTGAAAAAAAAAAAAGTAAAACGGTGTCGCATTACTGGGAGTGAGTAGACCCAAGGTGTGAGGTGTGACCTCGATAATCGCTCCAGCCATAATCAAAGAGAGGGGTTTTAGGAGAGAGAAAATTGAACCAAAAAAATAAAAAGCAAAAAAGCTTTAAAATCGTGAGAAGTGTTATGATTATGAATTGGTCCGACCAATTTGTTGCTTAAGATTTCCTCTTCTCACTCTCTCTTCCTCTCTCTCTCCTACACAATTTCTAAGATCTCTCTTTATGAACTTGAGCTTAATTAATGACATTTCCCATAAACCCAGAAATTTTTAATTATAAATCGTATTATAATTGACAGAAATCTGAGCTTTCTTTGAGATGCGCGGTGCTTTTTCACCGCTTTTCTCTCTCCTCTTCATTCATCATCTTCTTCAACAACAATGGCTGATGATTCTCTTCTTTCTTTCAAGGTTTGCTTGATTTTTATCATTTTTTTTTCTTGTTTTTATTTGGGGTTGATAAATTATATTTATTGCTGAATCTTGTAATTTTAGTTGTAAAATGACTATTTTTATTTGTTTTTTGTGATTTAAGTATGTATTTATAATAAAACATGCATTTATACATAAATAAATATATAAAAAAATTTATTAAGGCATGCAAACAGCACACCTGAAGAACCCAGATCTTTGTTTTGTTTGTACTATACATTTTTATTAGATTCATGAAATCTTTAATTTAGTTTTTATTCTAAAGAATTCAACTTTCCTTTATTTTGTAATTATATGAATCAAATCTGGGGTTTATTTGGATTTAGTTGTTATATTAGTAGTTCAATTTAGTCTATCAACGTGACAATTAATTCCGGACAAACGGAGTATGTAATTATAGTATGTAGGAAGGTAAATCAAGTAAATTAATTGGGTTTTTATGAGTAACATTTGGGTATCTTTTAAAAGAACAGGAGATTTTGATGAGTAACATTTGGGTGTCTTTTAAAATTACAGGAGATTTTGGTGCACAGAAAGTCTCCACTGCTGTTGAGGTTGATTGTATTAGTGTTTGCTATGGTATGTGGAATCTACATTTGTTTTGTCTGTCTCAAGCAGTTTAGTGTTAGTACGATTACTACCACCGGGTTTTTAAACGTTCAAGTGAGTGATCGGCCGTGTCCTAGGCCTGATCTTGAAGATTGGGAGGTTCCTTATGTGCATTACCCTAAACCTGTTACTTATAGCAGGTATATACCATTGTTCTGTGTTTTTTGTTGCAAGAAATGATTCATTGTGGATTTTCAGTCTGACTTATATGCTAGTCTGTTATCAGGGCGGAATGTGCATGCCATCCGGTCCGGTACTTTGCTATATTGTCAACTCAAAGATCAGGTAGTGGTTGGTTTGAGACCTTGCTGAATAGTCACATGAATGTGAGCTCAAATGGGGAGATATTCTCTGTAAAAGTTCGGAGAGCTAATGCTTCGACTATTGTGGAGACTCTTGACAAACTTTACAACTTGGATTGGTTTAGTAGTGCTTCTAAGAATGAGTGTACTGCTGCAGTTGGCTTGAAATGGATGCTAAATCAAGTGAGTGTATTTTATTTAGTACTCGCTGTTTTCATGTTTAGTGGATGTAATTCTTGATCATTTGACAATTGAACATCCCAATGTGAATCTGCTTCACCTATCTGCATTGCTACATTCAAGTATCTATCATTCTGAGAAAAACGAAGTTAATTTATGTGAACATATAACTAAAATATATAAGTTTCATCAAAACTTTCTAATTATCTTGCATTTCAGGTCATAATAAAAAAGGTCATCTTGCACTTAGAACTGTATATTGTGACTGATATTCTGGATTGGTAAGTTGAACTTGCCAGGGACTAAATATTCACCTTGAAGCTTAGATCATTAGATGTTGATGATTCGATGTGGATACTTTCAGTATCAAATATGGTTGTCTACCAGCTTTGTCTTTATTCTTTCAGTATGATATTCTACTAAGGAAATCTGTTAAGTGGAACATTCTCCCCCGTCCCCAATGTAACAGCTTGAAATCATGTTCATTTCTGTTAGCACCACTGTCATTGACGTGTGTAGGCTGTATCTTTATCTACTAATGTTCCCACCACTGGCAATGACAAGAATAGGCTGTATTGTTACAACCAAACAACTGAAATATGGTATGGGCAAGTTCATGCGTTTAATATCCAACCCCATTCTTGATATAACTAATACTCTATGTCAATTTCTTTGGAAGCTGCTAAAATGTGTCATGAAGCAACAAGTTTGCAAATTTAATCCCTGAGCTTTTGCCTCTGTTAGTGATCAGGATGTTAGCAGGTTTGCCATTTTGCCATGATTGTTTTGCTGCCCTTGGTTGCCTATTAAGTGAATTGTGGATATTAGGAGGGTGGGGGTGAAGGGTGTGGAGGGCTGTCCCCTGTCCTTTTAGGCTGTGGCCATTTATTCCATGTTACTTTATCATAGTGCCTGTTGATATTGTTGTCGATGAATAATGATTAATGAGTGTTTGAGAATTTCATCATTGTTTGTAAAGATAAGGAATCCTCACTGGCTTATTTTACCACAATAAATATGGTAGTGCACTAGTGCTTTGTAGAAATAGACTGCCAGGAATTTCTTTGTGAACAGTATAAAATGCCAAACCCTGCAATGTATCCTGTACCCAAGCTAACCTTTTGTTTTTGTTAGTTGAACCGTGAGCTGTAAAAAGTAAATTTTGGTCAATTTATACATACAATTTTGGCAGTTAAAGGGTTATTGTTGCTTGTGTAGCTATTAACAAACCAATTGGATGAAGGAAAAGGGGATTGCTAGAAAGTAGAAACCCTCCATTCTGTTCACTGTTTTTGTTAATATTTCAGCCACTAAGGAACTTGTTTATAAGAAATCTGATATTGGTAAGGTAGCACTGAGCAAATGGAGTATTACATGTCACCACAAATGGAAAATTGTTTGTGATTTGGACTTCGTCCATTATCAGATGCAATTCTTGCCTCATGTGGGGAAAACTTATGGTCTTCTGGAAGACGACAGAATTGGGATATCTCTTAGTGTATGTTTGCCATTAGGTCTAGAATGGCAAATTTTGTTTTGTGCAAAGTATTGTGTCTTTATTGTCTATAATTTTGCTGATAATTTAGTGTTTTTAAGAAGATGCTTTTCCTTAATTGTGTAGAAGTAGACTTTTGCAGGCTGTGATTTCCAGATTGGCAGCTTTACGTGCTGCATTTGGACTCGCTCTCTGAAGCTACTTATTTTTTTGGCTGTTGATTTTTCTGGGATGTTAGTGAAAAATTCTTGTGCATGCCTTGTACAGTACATGCTTTATTGCTTGAATATCTACAAATCAAAACATACTGGGGAAGGATTACTTTTATATAGCTTTATTTTGCGTTTGTTGGATTTTTCTGGGTACAGATTAGAACTTTTATTGGCAGGAAATAGGCAGCTGCTTTTCCTTTGCTTAAATCTTTTGTGTAAATTTCTGTCTGCAAAACCTATAAACTTATGGAGATGATATGTATGCAGGGATTAATGCAGCATCATGAAGATATAGTTGATTATTTCACCAAAAAAGGTGTTTCTGTAATTTTTCTCTTCAGAAGAAATCTCTTGCGGCGAATGGTATCAATTCTTGCAAATACATATGACCGTGATTTTAAGCTGTTAAATGGGACACATAAATCCCATGTCCACTCTCCCCATGAGGTATGGTTTTCCAATTCCTCTGTTCGCACAGACAGCTTTGGTAACTTTTGTAGATAGATGTTTATTGGTTTGCACGGCTATCTGTTGCAGGCTGAGATACTTGCAAGCTACAAACCTTACGTAAATGCCACAACTTTGATACCAGAGCTTAAGAAAGTCCAACAGATGGCAGCCAAAGCGTTAGAGTACTTTAATAGCACCAGACACACATTGCTCTACTATGAGGATGTAGTGAATAACCGCACTGTAAGTCTTCTAGGACTATTACCCCAGAAAGGTTTTGGTTCAATGTTCATGTTTGAAATCAAACATAAGTAATATTTCTTTCTTATCAATTTCCCTTGCAGAAATTATTAGACGTTCAGGACTTTCTAAGGGTCCCTAGAACTAATCTAACTAGTAGACAAGTGAAGATACACAAGGGATCCTTGTCAGAACAGGTCGCGAACTGGGATGATGTTCAAAGGACTCTTAACGGGACCGAGTTTGAAGGGTTCCTACATGCTGATTATAGATTGTAGACTTCTGCATTTACAAATGTATATAGCTTCAGTTTTTAATCTCATTTCTTCCCCTTCATAGTTCATTGCAATGTCGGCATGGGGGGCGACAATTTTGGTAGCAGAAAATTTGGTCATCAGAAATTTGCAGCTGCTTGACTCTAATTTAATGATTCATTTATTCTTTTCTCTTGGTAGATCCACTTTAATGGAACACAAGTTTTGGCATTCTGTTTCGTCTTGCTGTTCTCACTGCTTTTTGTTTGTGTTGTTGGTCGGTTAAATGACTAGATTTGGTGGTAACTGGTGAGAAAGGAGAGTGTTTTTATCAATAGACATTTAATGTGTTATGAAATAAATACTTCCCATGATTTGAGTGATTTGCACCTTTTATTGCACAAAAGAGAAAATATGCAATTATTCGACTTTTTAAGTTGATCAATGTATAATATTTGGTGTTTTGCTACCCCGTAACAACAATTGAGAGGGGATTGGAACCTAATCACCTAGATTGATCCCCAAATCCAAATTAGCCCAAAGAGTAAATCGGGTGGAACCAAAAAAAAAAAAATTAAAAAAAAAAAAAAGTTTTGTGACCATCGAGGGAGAGGTGGTGGTATCGAAAATTATTTATTTTTGGAATTTCGATATATTCTCTTAGATTAAAACCTCCTCTTGCTACAATTATAGGTACGAATCTATGATATAGAATAATGTAAAATAGGAAATTTTATTTTATCTTTGTAAATATTATCTCATCATAACAAATTTCCCATAGAGTTAGGACTACTCTATCTTAGAGTTTTATCCTTATAAATATTAAAGAATTTTATACAATCTAACAAAAATTGAAAAACAAAAATCCTAGAAATTCCTATCATGGCTACCAAAATTCCCATGGACATAATGTTCACAGAAATACTCCTCAAATTGCCTACAAAATCTCTTATTCGTTTCAAGTGTGTTTCGAAATCATTTAACACCGTTATTTCTAATTACAAATTCATAGACCCTCAACTCAATCACTCTCACAATTTACTCATCATCAAAGGTTTCGACAATGATCTCTACTTGTTCGACTCGGACACCCCGAAATCTTCCGCCATCAAACTACCATTGCCTCCGACTTGTTCACGATTTTTTGTTGGATCGTGTTATGGCTTACTTTGTTTAACCGATATTAGGTTATTAAATCCATATACTCAAAGTTACCATGATATATTTTATCCCTATGATTCTTTCTCCCTTACATTCGGATTCGGATATGATCACGAGAACAAGGATTATAAGATTGTTATACTATATTCTAAATTTGTTACGATTTATAGTTTGAAGGCTGATTCATGGAGAGACGTGGTACAAAAAACGAGGCTTGAAGATTTAGGAAGGTTTTGTGGTTCCAAACCTGGTATTCTCGTCAATAGTAATAATCATTTACTCCATTGGTTGTTTTCGAGTTTGAAAGATAATAATATTCGAATTCATTGTTTTAATCTACGTTGTGAGCAATGGGAGGATATTGAGGGATATATTTTGATAATATCATAGGATATATTTTATTCCCTATTTTTATGGCTAGAATATCTTGTGAATATATTTTAGGTAGTTTCCTAATTCTATCAAATTAGGGAATATATTGTATTATATATTTGGATGAGAGTAATCAATGAAATTCAAGCTTTGAGGTTTTACACGATTTAACATGGTATCAATAGCAGGTTAAGTTTCTTTCGTTTTTTTTTCCTAATAATTCTCAAATATGGCCGGAGATGATGTTCCTCCGCCACCACCGCCTCCTGAAATTAAACCCAATTCCCCCTTTTACCTTGGTTCTCAAGATCGGCCCGGGGATTTTATAACCCCTACTCGATTGAAATCTGACAACTATGATGATTGGGCTGCTGATGTGCAAACCGCATTGGAAGCTAGGCGCAAATTTGTGTTCTTGGATGGTTCTATTAATGCCCCTATTTCACCATGTACGCAGTCAGATTGGACGGCTCTCAATGCGATGTTGATTTCTTGGATTACCAATATTATTGACCCAGAGGTACGATCTTCTCTTTCTAAATTTCGTGAGGCTAAATCACTGTGGGAACATCTTAAGAAACGATTTGCTCAAACTAATGGCCCTAGAATTCAACAATTACGTTCCTCGATTGCTAAGTGCGAACAATCCCGTAGTATGTCTGTCTCAGTGTATTATGGCAAATTACATTCTTTATGGCAAGAGTTAGATCATCATGAGCCCTTACTTTCTTGTTCTTGTTGTTCAAAGTGTATTGCTGGCCAATTAGATGAAGCTAGGCGTGAAAAATCGAAATTACATGATTTTTTGATGGGATTGTATCCTGACTTTTATGCATCTTTATGGTCCAATATTTTGTCTCAAGATCCCCTTCCTAGTTTGGATCGTGCATATCAGTTAGCAGTGCAGGAGGAACGGGTACGAGCAGCAAAGCTAGAGCAAGAACAAACGTCTACTGAGGCGGTTGGCTTTGCTGTCCATGCAGCAGCAGGTCGAGGCTATGAGCAGCAGCCTTCTGATCGTGGTAAGGCAGCTCGGGAGGGGCAAGGTTCAGTGTGTTTTTTAAATGCAAGAAATTGGGTCATGAGGCCTCACGTTGCTGGTCAGAAAAAACTTGCAACTATTGCAAGAAACGAGGTCATATTGAGGCAAAGTGTTTTAACCTTCACGGAAGACCCCCTCCGAAGGATGACAGCCAGGGGGGGAAATATGCGAGTGGTCGAGGCCAAGGTCCAGTGCGGGCCAATGCTGTTTCAGGTTCCAATACATCTTCTCAAGGAGGAGTGTTCTCTAGTGAACAATGGAAGGCTATCACGGGTCTGTTTGGTAACTCCAATGTTCCTGATAATCGCTTGAACGGTAAGTTTGATGTTTCTTCCTGGATTATAGATACCGGAGCAACTCATCATGTTACTGGAGAAAAGTCTTGGTTGATTGATTCTAAAAATTTTGAATGTCCGGTTGGTTTACCTAACGGTGACACTGTTGTGGCCTCTTTGATTGGGTCGGTTCATTTGTCGAACAAAATTACTCTTACGAGGGTTCTTTATGTTCCTCATTTAAGCTGTAATCGTATCTCTGTATCTCAACTTGCCGATGAGCTTAATTGCACTGTCCAATTTAACCCTTTTATGTGTGTTATTCAGGACCAAACGAAGGAGCTGATTGGAATGGGAGCTAGAAGAGACGGATTATATTATTTTAGCAATTCGGATTTGGTGCATCATGTTGGAGTTGGTGAAGCAACCTCAAATTTGGAGTTGTGGCATCGTCGAATGGGTCATCCTTCCGAGAAAGTAGTTAAGTTACTTCCTCATGTTAGTAGTAATAAAGATTGTCTAAATAAGGGGTGTGAAGTATGTATGCGTGCTAAACATCCTAAAGAAAAATTTCCTCTTAGTGATAATCGAGCTTCTAGAATTTTTGAGAAAATACATTGTGATTTGTGGGGTCCATATCGACATGTTTCGTCGTGTGGAGCTCGTTATTTTTTTATTATAGTTGATGATTATTCTCGAGCTGTTTGGATTTATTTGTTGGTTGATAAAACTGAGGTTTTTAGAATGTTTTTGGCCTTTGTTGCCATGGTTGACAGACAATTTTCTCAAACCATTAAGATTGTGCAAAGTGACAATGGTACTGAGTTTAATTGCTTGCATGATTATTTTGTTGCTTCTGGAATAATTTTCCAAACTTCTTGTGTCGGAACTCCACAACAAAATGGGAGGGTTGAGCGAAAACATAAACATATTCTTAATGTTGGGAGAGCTTTGAGATTTCAAGCCAATTTACCAATTTATTTTTGGGGGGAGTGTGTTCTTGCCGCTGCACATCTTATTAATCGTACACCTTCACCCTTGCTCCAAAATAAAACTCCCTTCGAAATTCTTTTTCATAAACCTCCTTCTTTTGATGCTATCCGCACCTTTGGTTGTTTATGTTTTGAGCATAATCAGAAAAATACTGGAGATAAGTTTGCAAGTCGAAGTAGGAAATGTGTTTTTGTGGGATATCCCTTTGGGAAGAAAGGATGGAGAGTTTATGATCTTGAGTCAAAAGTTTTTTTATTTTCTCGGGATGTGAAATTTATTGAGGAAGTGTTTCCCTTTGCAACCCCGGATGATGTTAATATTGTGTTGGCTTCACTCGATAATAGTGATATTCATGAGGATTTCATGGAGTGTGTGGCATTCGATGAAGGTGAAATGCATAATCATGATGGTGAGGTAAATATTGGTGATGCGAGTAGTGTGTATGACGTTGTGCATCCCTCCCCACAGAACGAAGATGCTGGCAGCCCACCTCATGACATGCCTATAGCTGCCAGCGAGCAAGAAGCTGCTGACCAGTCAAGGCAGACTGCACATGGGCAGCGCACTGACCAGGCAGAGCACACCGCGGAGGGGTCTGTTTCGCAGCTTCAGCCAGCAGAGCACGCTGCCACCCCGCGACACACTGCCACTGACCACGAGGGGGCCGAGGCAGCTCCTGTTTCACAGCAGCAGCAGCTGGACACAGGGCAGAGCAATGAGCATCAACCCTTGGGTAAAGGGCATCGAGAAAAATATACTTCGGTTAAACTCCGTGACTATGTGACTCACTCCGTTTTTGCTAATAATCCGTCTCCGTCCTCTCTGTCATCCAACACTCCTTCAGGTACGCTTTATCCTTTAGCACACTATATAAATTGTGACATGTTTTCTGTAAACTATCGAAAATTTCTTGCGGCAGTGGTTCAGGAAAAGGAACCAAAATCTTTTAAGGAGGCCATGAAATCAGAAGGTTGGCGACGTTCGATGCAAGAGGAGATAGAGGCTTTGGAAGATAATGGGACTTGGACGCTAGAGCATCTTCCTCCTGGTAAGAAAGCTTTAGGTAGCCAATGGGTGTACAAGACAAAATTTTTGTCTAATGGTGATATTGAACGTCTCAAGTCTCGTTTGGTTGTCTTCGGTAATCATCAACAAGAAGGCATTGATTATAGTGAGACCTTTGCTCCGGTTGCGAAAATGACTACTGTTCGTGCTTTTCTTGCTATAGCAATTGCAAAAAACTGGGAGCTTCAACAGATGAATGTTCATAATGCGTTTCTACATGGTGATCTAGAAGAGGAGGTGTACATGAAATTGCCTCCGGGTTTTGAGAGCTCGGATCCGAGCTTGGTGTGTCGTTTGAGAAAGTCTTTGTATGGGTTGAAACAAGCTCCGAGATGTTGGTTTGCTAAACTCACTACGGCTCTAAAAGGGTACGGTTTTATTCAATCTTATTCTGATTACTCTCTTTTTACATACACTAAAGGCAAAGTTCAGATTAATGTCTTAGTCTATGTTGATGATCTTATTGTTTCTGGGAATGATTCCGCTGCATTGACTGTTTTCAAGGCTTATCTTGGTGATTGTTTCAAAATGAAGGACCTTGGTCCTTTGAAATATTTTTTGGGTATTGAGGTTGCTCGTAGTAAAGCAGGTTTGTTTTTGTGTCAACGAAAATACACCTTAGATATTATTTCTGAAGCGGGTTTATTAGGTGCAAAACCAAGTGGTTTTCCAATTGAGAAAAACCACAAGCTTAGTCTTGCTAGTGGTGATTTACTTGGGAATCCTGAGTCTTATCGTAGACTAGTGGGGCGGTTGATTTATCTCTCGGTGACTAGGCCAGACTTGGCTTATTCGGTTCATATTCTTTCACAGTTTATGCACGAACCTCGGATTGAGCATTGGGAAGCAGCTCTCAATGTGGTTCGTTATTTAAAAGGTACCCCGGGACAAGGTATTTTGTTGAGTGCAGACAGTGACCTGACTTTGCAGGGTTGGTGTGATTCAGATTGGGTGGCGTGTCCTCTCACTCGTCGTTCGTTGACTGGTTGGCTAGTTTTTCTTGGTAAATCTCCTATTTCGTGGATGACCAAGAAGCAACCCACGGTCTCTTTTTCCTCTTCTGAGGCAGAGTATCGTTGCATGGCTGCAACCACACATGAGTTGAAATGGTTGAAGGCTTTGCTTTTGAGTTTAGGTGTTCAACACCCTAAGGCGATCAAGTTGTTTTGTGATAATCAATCTGCGTTACATATTGCTAGAAATCCAGTTTTCCATGAACGAACAAAGTACATTGAGATTGATTGTCATATTGTTCGTGATGCTATTACAGAGGGCTTAATTGCTCCTTCCTATATTTCCACTAAGGAGCAACTTGCAGATATTTTCACTAAGGCGCTTGGGAAGTCTCAGTTTGATCATCTTCTTTCCAAGTTGGGCATTTACAATCCTCATGCTCCAACTTGAGGGGGGGTATTGAGGGATATATTTTGATAATATCATAGGATATATTTTATTCCCTATTTTTATGGCTAGAATATCTTGTGAATATATTTTAGGTAGTTTCCTAATTCTATCAAATTAGGGAATATATTGTATTATATATTTGGATGAGAGTAATCAATGAAATTCAAACTTTGAGGTTTTACACGATTTAACAGAGGAGGATGGCGTACCATTACCTGAATACAAATGGTGTGGTATTAGGACTGATCCAGTTTTAGGGGTTCTCGATGGTTGTTTGAGTCTAATGGTGACGAATATAGAATCAGTTGATTTGTGCGTTATGAAGGAGTATGGAAATAAAGGGAGTTGGGTGAAGTTATTTAGTGTTTCGCATTTAAATCATGGTAACCCGTTATTACAACATATTCCCTTGGCACACAGTAGAGAATCTAACTCGAAATTTTTGATGTTGAAGAATTCGTGTGCAATAACGAGGTGTTTATTGTGGTATGATAGCAAGGACAATACATCTAAGAAAATCGAATTCGATGGGGTTACTTGTGTTTCTCAAGCTTTTATGTGTAAACCAAGTCTTGTTACTATAGAATAGAAAGTTTGAAATTAAGTTTTATGGGTGGTATGATCGATTTGAAGAGGATTGAAGGAGGCTTAGGAAATAAACACATTTACATTTTATTTATGATTTTATATCTACTAATATTTATGGAGTATTGCGCAAGTTCTTCAAATGTTGTGTTTTTATATCTGCCAATGACATTAATAATCATTGTAAATGTCGTATTTTTTTTTATAATCATTGTAGATGTTTTATAGCTTGTACTGTATTACGATTGCTAATGCTAACTTAGGCCTTTTCACACCAAACCTTCCAACTTTGAAGTTGGGAATTCAATCCCCACTAGAGACACTTTGAGGATGGGGATCCCTTGCCCTTCACCTTCACTTTTAAAGTGTATGACCTGCAAATACCGGACCAAAAAAACCGTGAGGATTAAGGGCTTGTTCTCATTGACTGAACTGAAGTGAAATGAATATTTTATAAGAGAAGGAAATTAGGAGCGGAGCTGAACTGAACTGAATTTCAACGTAAGAGAACAGACCCTAAGTATTGTCACAATCTTTCTCCTTATCCAAAAAAAAAGAAAAAGAAAAAAAAAAACTTGGGCCTTTTTACCAAAGTAAAATTCTACAATTACTGGAAGAATTTTACTTTCACTTCCTCAAGACCTTAAGTAGTTAAGGGAGTACACTTTACAGCTTTACAATTATACTTTTTTTTGAGGAAAACTTTACAAATATACTTGTATAAACTACGATGAGTGAATAAGTAATAATGGTCCACAACTCCACATATTAGCCAACAACTTTAAAACAAATATAAAGACAAAAACACAAAACTAAGAAAATTCATGCAAATCCTTCCATGCTCAATCATGACAGCTTCATATAAATCAACATTATAATATGATTAGTTAAAAAAGAATATAAATAAATTATTTAACTAAAATATAAAAAATTGTGGATCATATTGATTTATATATGAAAGGTACTAAAATGGTGCATGTCTAAAATCAAATAAACTAACAACTTTTATACAAAAGGCGGCCTAAAATAAAGCCCAAAAATATATAACCAAACTTCATTTCTAGCTAGCTTCCTCTGTTTTCCTTGGTCAATTTTATCAATCAGCCTCCAAAAACATACTATCTTTAGTTCACCAACTATATTTATCAAACCCAAAAAAATAAATTAAAAAGCAGAAAATTAAAATATACAATAAAATCTTAGTGTTATATTTCAACTTTAAAAACATACTTCTATATTAGTAGCAAAAAAAACCAACCAAAAGAAAGTGTGGGTTAAGGAAAAAATGGAGATGAGAGTTTTGACAGCAGAAAACAATTTACCTGCTGCAGTTGATCATATGAACAGCAACTGCTCAACTCCATACATGAGTGCTGCTTCCAGCCCTCGCCGCCCTCGGCCTCAGCTCGACTTCTTCTTCTACAGCGCTCCCACCAGTCCCCGGTCTTATAATCATCAATCTATGTTTTCTGATGTATATGATGATTATTCAGCTGAGGATATCGCGCTACTGAAGCATGATCATTCCGCGGCTGTGCCTTTTGATTGGGAGCTTAAGCCGGGAGTTGCGAAAAGTACTGGTGTAAGTTACAGCAAAGAAGATAATCAGCAGCATGAACAAGTGATGGAGCATGAAAAGGAAGAGTTCGAGTTTGATTTCAGTGGGCAGTTGGATATGATGGTTAGGCCTTCTTTGTCTTCTGCTGATGAACTTTTTGATGGCGGTAAAATTCGGCCGTTGAAGCTGAAGCCTCCTCCTAGCCTGCAGATCAGTAATGACAGTAAGATCAGTTCAGAAAATCATTCTCCTAGATCTCCAAAATCAGCTATGTCTAAGTTTAAGGACGCGCTTAATGTGTCACCTAAACATAGGAGAAAGGGGTCAGATGAGGATCCGTTTGAGGCTGCTATTCGCAGCAGTAAGAAATGGGATTCTTCTGCTGCTGCTACTGCTGCCACTAATGACGATGACAGTGTTCAAGATAGAGGCAGAGGTAGAGGCAGAGTTAAATCGATTACGACTGCAAATACAAATATGAATAAAAGAGGAAGTAACAGCAGCAGGAAAGGCATCAGCAGGTCACTGTCTCCTTTAAGGGTGTCTGAATTTGCTCTGCTTCATGAACAACAGTTACAGGAACATCAGTATTCGAACGAAAACAGCAATTCAAACAGGTTTCTAGGAAGAGGTACTAATACTTCTTCCAAGAAATGGAGGTTAAAAGACTTGTTTCTTTTCAGAAGTGCATCTGAAGGGCATTACAAGGATACTCAATCCTTTTCCAAGAGATGGAGTGTCAGATCATCATTCACAGGCTCGGGTTCTGGTTCTGGTTCCGGTTCTGTTTCTGAATCAGGATCAGTATCAAAGCGAAGAGGGCAGGCGGCATCTGCTCATGAAATGCACTACACTACCAATAAAGCTGTCTCAGAAGAGATGAAGAAAAAGACTAGTCTTCCTTACAAACATGGTCTATTGGCTTGTTTGGGTTTTAGTCCAATCCTTCCTCAATTTTCCTACACTTTTCCTTCCTCTTCTTCTACTACTCTTTCATGAATTATTTCATTTTATGTTTTCTTTGATTAATCTGTAATTTGGCTATACTGTTCTGTATCTATAGCATCCGAAAATTGTTCGTTGTTTTGGCGTGAAATAATCAATTTCTAGTCCAACTTTGTTACTCAAAAGTTTGTTTATTACATTTATTCATAAAAATAGATTTTTTTTGGTACGTACATGTTGATTAATCATAGATTACATTTCTAAGCAAGAATATATGAAAGACAGACAGTTAAGGCTTATCCAAAATTTAAAACTATGATCTTGATTGCTTTGAACATTCAATTTCAGATTTCATTGAATATAGAATTGATAAGATGAACCAACCTATTTACGCATCTAACAGGAGACAAAATGTCCTATATACCCTTAATAAGCAGTATTAATAATTCAACCCCGTAAAGAAATTGGGTAGAATCTTGAAAGATAAAGAAATATTAGCATTGTGGAGATCAAAACGGATCCTACTTTTTCTTTTTTGCTTTAAATCGGTCAAGTACAGGGGTGGTTGTGGTCCATACTAGCCCCACACCATGTCTCTATCCCAAGGTGGTCGATGGGGTATCATGTCTAGGACCCCTAGGAGATCAAAGCGATTCATACCGGTGTACAAGTTACATCGATGCACTAGGACGACGTGCAAATTGTACGGAAAGTTTGGGCGCTGGAGACAGGACGGTGCCACCCGCTAGGCCGCAATCCAAGCAAATTTGCAACGTAGTGCATCAATGTCAAAAAAAAAAAGCAAAAAACAAGCCTGATTTTTTCAAACAAAAAGCCAAGATTAGACCCCCAAAAGATTTAGTAATCATTTAGTTTGCTTTCTTCTTTTGACCCCTTTGTTTTTGGGGTGGAAAAAATTTACGCAAAGGGAGTAAAAAGTTGGAAGTATATGGTATAATTCACCCACCATAATGTGTAATAATAGCTGTTTACAAAATCAGTACAATAAGTCAATGCAACAAAAGTTTGATTGTATGAATTTGTTCATTCATTGCTTTTAAGAACGCTTGTCATCAATTATCACCAGTTAAGTCTATGATGGTAACTTCAATAATGCTGTCTTTTTACTGTGAATGAGGCTCTACAACTTCAATGCATTCCAATAATGTTTTATAATTGGCATCATGTATAGTGTTCTATAATTACCGTGGAGTACTATGTATATGATGGAGGAATTTTATGGGCGACATTGGAAATATGGATAGATGTACCAAAGAGCTCGAGTGTTCTTTAATAGATTCATTTTGTCAATACAAAACAAACCGAGTTTCATTATGCGTTTAGCTAATCAGTCTAGCATGGACCTGATCTGATCATGATTGACCTAATTTAAAAATGTCCAAGTTTGGGCATAGTTTCTAAGAACAATTTTAAGATCAAATCCACCCTAAATTGATTTTTTTAAAAGTACTATAAAAGGCAGTTTAGATCAAAACCTAAGTCGACCCAATCTGAAATGAATCCTTTTTCGACTGAGACATGGCCTAATCTAACCCGTAACATCAAATCAAAAAGAAGAAAGGGATAGGATGTTTCCCATTGGTCCTCATGAGTCATGAAGTGAATGAATTGAAGATTCAAGAAAGAATTTATGGACTGTATTAAACTATGAAATCATTTTCATCGTGTTATCAAATGACAAAATAATAACGTCAAGACTTTTAAAAAAAATATGAAAAAAAAAAAAAAAAAATCCCAGTGTGGGCATCGTGGTCTTGGATCGTCATTAAATAACATGAATAAATACGCAATAATACTTGTCTCTTTACTACTCTCGTAGTCATAGTCGTTGTGTAGTTTCTTTCGTTTTCGCCGTCATCTTTGAATATAAAATCGATGACTTGAAAACACATTAATTATTTTAATAAATCTACTATTTATCTGCTCCACAAATGGAACCTCGTGTTTTTTTTTTTCTACAATACTGTCTTATTGCCATTTAATTTAATTTTATCAGTTCATATCATTGTCACCTTCACTTCAACAATAGGTATATAGGAATAGGATAATGAAATTAATGATGTATATAGCCATAAGGATCGCATATAAGTTTTTATAGTTTTACATTACTCAATTTTAATCGGTATAGTGAATCACTTCAAACCTGGATTTTTTTTTTTAGTTGTAGTAGATGTTGTCTTGTATGCTCCGTTTATTGCATTTTCTCCGTAAATGAACACACTGTGTGATCAGGGATACTTATTTAGTGGTTATTCGGTCGATCAGGAGTTACTTATTTAGGGATTACCTTGGTCAAGAGTTACTTATTTGGTTAGGGTTATTCAATCGGCTAGGGTTACTAAGTCGGTGGTTACTTGGTGAGGGGTTGGTTACTTATTAAGTGGTTACTTGGTCAAGGGTTACTCGGTCGGTTAAAGGTTACTCGGTCGGTCAAGGGTTACTCAATTAGGAGTTACTCGGTCGGTCAAGGGTTACTCGATCAAGAATTACTCGGTCGGTCAGGGGTTACTCGATCTGTTAGGAATTACCCTTGAATAAGTTACTTTCACCATATTGTGTGATCAACCACATATAAAACTTTGTGTTTATTATATTATTTATATAAAAAAAAATTAGTACGGTTGCTTATGCGTTTTACATCCCTTTGTCTAAAATAATTGTTACAAATCTCGCAATATCTCACTTCCCAATTGTTTACTGATCTACTTGCATTCCTCAGCATTAGATACATTTTCGAAATTGATATAGAAATATATGCATTACAAACGCACACATTATTTGGTGATATTAATAGATGATTCACGCTTATATTTCCATTTAATCCTTATATGTAACCCTTGTCATTTTCATATCCTTAAAGATACACGTAGTACTATCACTTTTCTATATGATCCATTTGTTAAATTAATCAACAGTGTTCTCCAATACTCACTCTTCGTACTCCATAAGTATCTTTAGACAAAGTCAATTACAGACAATAGTTTTTAAAAGATATATGCAAGTATGTGACATCAATTTCCTAACGGAATTAGTACTAATCTACATACATTAAACATTATATTATAAATTATGATAAAGAAACCCCAACAAAACACGTAACAAGTTGAAGGAAATAATACATACTCAGCACGTGCAAATATAATTCAGAGTAATTAAAAATTTATAATTCCATACTTTGGTAAGTAGTTAATGAATTTAGTTCCAATTAAACTTTTGACTTGTGAAAAGAATACGCATCAAAACCAAACAAAGCAACTCCCCAAAGATTTTCAAGCCAACTTTATAGCGTAAAAAAGTCATCAAAAGTTAGGTTTACAACTTTATATTGCTACCAACATTCATCTAATCTGTAATTAAATGTTAATTAGTCAGTCATCATATATGAATTATATAATTAAGCTTCCCTTTCCTAGAAGCTTGATGCGATTTTCTGATTCTATTCATATCTTCAAGTGGGTTATTTCATAATCATGCCCGACTAATGCGCCACATCCAATGATGGGCGGAAAATATGTTACACTTTTAACAATCACACTATTTTTCTGCAAAAGAAAACATAGAAAATAGAAGAAAAAACAGCATACTATGAGGAAAGATACCATTTCATTCATTTACATGCAAGTCAAATGTGTTCTTGGCATACAATAAGAAATGTTCAACAGGGGGCCCACTAAAGGGCCCAGACCCGATAGGGTGAATTGGACAGGCCCAACTAGGTTCGAAGTTACACGTATCACAATTTAAATCCAATGTATGATACAAATTCTTGATCTAGGGGCGCTAACTGTCTACCATGATATAGTGCACAACCATTCTTAGATACAGAAAATACAATTTCTGATTGTAGTCATGAGAATGTTCAACTAATCATGGATTATTCTAGCAAAAACTTTTAACCAGGAACAAAAAAAAGTAATTATTACTTACGTAGGATCTTGTGAATTGTGATGTTGACATTAGCGTTCTGTAACAATTTGCAGTTGAACTATAACTGCATTGTACTCCGTAGTAGGATCACAAATGACATCACTGATCATATGGTCCAAGCAAATTTGTTTTTACTTCCATTGTCTTCCAATCAGCCACCCTCACCTCTAGCGCAGCCATTTCTTCTCGGATACATGCATAAATCCTATTTTTTTCTCAACTGGCGTTTTCTACTTTTCAATCTCCCACGTCAAGATACAGAGGACCATGCCAAAGCATTATGTTCACGTGCAAGCTTGATTACCCAGGTTAGCATCGTTTTATATAGATTGCGCAGCTCAGCACTCCAAATGCGCTATAAGAACATCAATAAACAAGGATACAAGGAAGTGAATCCTTACAACTGCAACCATGTCGCAGAAGAAGCCTACAAACATATAGGAACAATATATAAGGTAAAACTGGTAAGGGAAAACAAGAAAATTACATAGCAGGCCAGAAAAAAATAAGAAAATGAGTCTCAGTGGTTATAAACAAGTGGTTTTGTAAGAGACATCAGTTAAAATAGATTTTTAAAATCCTCCTTATAACAGAAAGGTGACTGGAGAATAACACTAATGTGCATCTAACAGATTCTAACAAATTTGTGCGGTCAAGAAACAAGGTTACATGCCTCCTACTCATGTAATCTGTACAAAGAAGCTTCAGAAGCTCCCAAATCAGAGCTTATATGCTGTCCATTCTCCTTAATCCAGCCAAGATTGAATTGTGTTATATCTCATTTGGATGGAACAAATGGGCAGATTGCCAGATTCAGATTCATATATATTACAGTTCCCTTTACATATACACAGCCAAGTGTTTAGACAACAAATATGTAGAATTCAGTCAACACTTCATGGATTGACTCGAATCCATTCACATTATAGTTTTCTTTAGGAAATATAGCCTAAGTGAATACACAGGCCCAAAATTTCAAAGAAAATCTCACACGAAAAAAGACTTTTACTTCAAGTCTCTACCTTTTCTTTCCAATTTCTAAAGTGTCTTTAAAAACTAAATCAGGTGTTTGTGTGAGTGGGTTGGGAAGGGGAAAGAGAGGAGGGCGGGGGGGAATAAGAAGTTGGAATATTGTAGGCTGTTATATGCACATGCCCCATTATCTACACTTCAGTGAAACTTTAGGTCCGTTTGACTGCCATTGCATTTTTATAACTTTAAAACGGTCAGAGGTGGTTCATAACAGACCAGAAACAGGGTTTCTTCTTATATATAGGTCATTTAGTCATTTGAATAATCAATCCTATATCCATTCCAATCAACCAAGAGAGGGTACATAAAAATTTAAACCTAACCTATGGTCTGTAAATTAGTTTGCTCAACTTCACTCCATTCATATAGCCTTAATATCGTGCCAAGCCTTTTTGAGAAAAACAATAACAAGGTAATACATAGGAAAACCGGTTAGCCTTAAGAAGCTTGGAGGATTTTGGCAGCCAAGAGCCAGAGAAGCAAAATAAAGTTAGAGCTGTAAGGATCCTGTCGATATAGGTACTATGAAGGCAAAGAAAAAGAAATGGACAAAGGCCTTGCACAATAAACTGATTTAGAGAAGATAGAGATCATAACGTTTAATTGAGCAAGATCTGTACTACCAATTTGAAAATGAATGGTGACTTTTGACTTGTACCATCCATTAAATCATTTTCAAAACTGCATACAGTTTTCTGTCAAAAACATTGAGTGATTAACAGAGAAGATTAGATGAGGAATCAGATCCTTTTTTTCAGATGAGAAAATCTAGATGTTAGGAGCAGATTACTGGCATAGTCAACGCTTCTTTTTATGCTTTCTATTTGAGGTAGTTCAAGAATAAAGTTTGTATTTTGTCTATAAACATTATTTGAGATATATTCCCTCCGTATTATAAATTGATGCTTCCGCCTATTAAAGTAGTAATATTGGTGCACGAAAACAGAGGGAGTGTATACATTTTCGATGGGCAAGCATTTGCAACCATACTGACCTACACAAATCTACTATGCAAGCAATTGAAATTACTTTTTAACATTGTTGAACACAAGTTCCAGTGTTCCACTAATTAACCGAGGAGTATTCACATAAACAGCAAAAATACTGTTCTTGACTAGCAATGATCTTTGGGATGCAACATGCAAAAACCATTATAATTTAGAGGAAGGCTACATATTCAAGATGTAAAAGCAATAATTGAGAAACATAAACTCCATGGCTAAACAATAACCTACCTTTTTTTTCAGCAATTTTGGAGGGTAGAAGCTGCGATCAGGTCCAAAGAGTTAAAGTTGTAGGCGTGCACTGTTGTTGTCCTGGTTGATCCTTGATAGGCCACTCTAGATAAAAACAATAGCAATTTGAATACTCAAATACTGTATCTGGCACACCACCAACAGCTCATTAAGGTGAAGACGACAACTCCTTAACTACAAAAACCAGGTTTCTGTAGTTCATAACAAAGAAATCATCATACAAGTCGAAAATCACCTCCTTGCCCTTTGCTAGCTTGTAATACAAATGGCTATGTCTGCATGCCCCACATAGAAACCTATATGAAGTACATTGAAGGCTTTCAAGCAAGCTCAAACACTGGCACCCTCAAATATTTATCGCTTATAACTAGCAATTCTCCCACTTGTTGGGAGCAGGCCATCCTTGGCCATATCAGTAAGCGCATTAAATACTGCATCCATATTGCCTTCTTTATGGTTAACCTCAACAAGAACCTTTCCAAGCTCTGCATCATTAAGCTTACAGCTTCTCAATACATTGTGCAGGACTTCCTCTAGCTCCTTGTTCATTTCTCCTTTGAAAAGAGCTTTGATCAAAGCTATTACTGTTATAGTGTGAGGACTGAATCCAGAACTCATCATTTCCTTGTACAAGACATACGCTTTGTGTGGATTCCCACACTTAGAATGACCATGTATGAGTACATTATATACAGCTTCAGATGGCTTATGGTCTTTCTGAAGCATTGACTCAAATACTCTATCTGCTTCTTTCATCAAACCTTTCATGCAAAATCCCTTCAAAAGAGCCACAATGCTCCTAAATTCAATGTCACTACAGCTCTCTATCAGTGTGTCATAGGTGATTCCAGAAGGGATGGAATCATCATAAAACATCTTAAGCAGAAGCTGCTTTGCTTCCTTTGTCCGAGCTTGTTTATTAAGACCATTGATAAGTACACTATATGTGACCACATCAGGAAGGAGACCCTTTTGTATCATCTCATCATGAAGTTTAAAAGCTTGTTGAATATTCCCTTCTATACAGTGTGCATTTATCAGTGTAGTATAGGTAAATTCATCAGGAGGCAAGCCTGCATTTAGCATATCATTGAAAAGAACAGAGGCTTCAGCAAGCCGATTTTGCTCACAAAGTCCTTTGATAAGTGACGAATACGTAATAGCATCCGGCAAAATCCCCCTCCCAACCATCTCATTTTTCATCTCAAAGGCACGGTCCACGTCTTGATTTTTGCAAAATCCAGATATAAGTGTACTATAACTCACAACATCGGGTACCAAACCTCTCTCCATCATATCCTGAACCACACTAATGGCCTCCTCCATCCTACCCAAAATGCAATGCCCATTGAGAAGAGCATTGTAGGTCACAATAGACGGTTCAAATCCACCGGCAGTCATCTCATTCAATAAATTATAGGCTTCATTCAGCAGACCTTGCTGGGAAAATCCATCAATCAAAGTAGTATATGTTTTTCCATTGGGTCTGAGCCCTCTAGAGCACATCTGCTCCAAGAATTCCATTGCTCGATTCATATTACCCGCCTTGCACATGCTATTAATAAGAGAAGTATAGGTAACAACATTGGGAGATAAACCATTTTTAAGCATATCAGAATGCAAAAGGAGTGCCTGGTGAAAGTTACCATCTTTACAATACCCATTAACAAGTGTGTTATAAGTCACCTCATCGGGTATAAGCCTCTGGCGGTACATATGATGAAAAACCTCAGAAGCTTCCTTCATCTTCCCCTCACAACACAACCCATTAATCATAATATTATAAGTAATCAAATTAGGCTGCAAACGGTTCGACTGAAGCGAACGAAACAAGCTAATTGCATCGTCCGCCTTCTTAAGCTTAAAATGAGCATCAATTAGAGTATTATAAGACACAATATTAGGCAAACACCCAGTTTTCTGCATATCAGAGAAAAACTTCAAAGCCTTAGGCAAATGAGCAGCCCCAGAAAAACCCCTCATCAAAATATTATAAGTAAACACATTAGGAGACACACTTAATTTGTTCATATCATCAAACAGCTCCATAGCTAACGACAACGACGACGAAGACGGCGGCAAATTCCGAAGAATAGCATGAAGAATCGAATTATACGACAAAACCCCAGGCATAAAACCCTCAGTTTTAGCAAAATTAAGAGTATTAATAGCTTTATCTACCATATTAAGCGAAGCATAAGACTTAACCATCAAATCAAAAACATCAGACGAATTCGAATTAAAAGATTGATAAGAGTTTTTCAGAAAATCAAACACTAACCCACCATTTGAATCAATAAGGGAAACTTCGCGAGCAAGTTCTTCAGCGAGAGATTGCGCGGTTTTGAAGAGGCGGAATTTGGTGAGAATGTGGAGGGCGTAGCATTTGGATTTGGGGTCTAGGAAAGTGGGGTTCGAGGAAGTGCGCGCCCAATTGAGGAATTGGAGGGTTAGGGGTTGATCGAACTGGGTTTTGAGGAGGACGAAGCAAGCGGATTCTGGGTTGAATTCTGGGAGTAAGGAAGGGAGTTGTTGAGGGTGTCGCCGGAGGTAGGTTATGGCTTTGTCGGCGAGATAGGCGTTGCGTGGGGAAGATGGTGTTGTGATGGAGGAGGAGTGGTATTTGCATTTGCGTAGCAGCATTTTGGTTTGCTGGGTTTGGGTGATTGCACCACTGAGCTTGTATTAGATTAGTACTAGTAGTGCTGGTCTTGACATTGAAGAGGGATATTCTAACTTTGCCACAAAATGAAATTTAGGGTCCGTTCTCTTCAATTATTTTCAGTTTGAGTATGTTCAGTTTAGTTCAGTTCAGTTCGTTTCAACTTAATTTAGTCAATCAGAACTGGACCTTAGTGGATTAGGGCCTAGTTCTGTTCAGTTCAATTTCAATTCAGTTCGAGTTCGGTTTCTAATTTTCTTCTCTCATAAACAATTCATTTAAGCTTAGTTTAGTTCAATTCAGTTCATTCGTTTTCAATAAATCAAAACAAGCCCTAGGTATAGGTTGGATCAATTGACTTATTTGGCATGTGGACATTCGATTTAAAACTAATCCAATCTAAATTTTGACTTTTTATGGAAACAATGATTTAGCATGACTTAAACTTACAGTCTTTGATAATGTATAACTGAACTCAATCCGATTATTCGAACTGACACTTATGATTAATGAATATGTAAGAGCAGAGCCCAGGGGTGTCGATGGGGCTTAGCCTTCCCCTTGGCTCAAGATTATAAATAAAATTTGCTCCTACTTGTTGTTAAGAGTATAGAAGTTGGTTTTTACCATGTATAGTAAACACGATATTAAGTGTGCAAATTGCAACTACACAAAATTTTTATTTATTTATTTGTCTATAAGTTAAGGTAATGAATTCGATAATAGTTGCAAAATTATACATACACAGATATGATCTTGGCCCCCTCACTTAAAAGTTTTGGCTCCACCACTGTGAATATGCACATGATTTGGTTCATCAGGTCATGCGTAACGTTAAGCTAATTTGCTAGTAAGTTATTAGGATGTTTATCATGACTTAGTGTCTATTATCTTCAGATTATTTTCAGTTCATTTCAGTTTAACTCCAATAAGTTCAGTTCAGTTCAGTCCTTAATTTCCTTCTCTCATAAAATATTCAGTTCAGTTAGCTCCAATAAGTTAAGTTCAGTTCAGTTCAGTTCAATTCAGTCAATCAGAACAGACCCTAAAACTTACCTGATTCGATAAGCATAATTGAACCAACTCGATTATTTGGATTGATACATGTGAATAATGAATATGCATGATTTGGTATATCAATTCATGATTAGGTACATCAATTCATACCTAACGTTATGCTAATTTGCTTAGTAAGTTTTTAGGATGTTTGTTTTACTTTCTTATAACTGTTTTATGAAGCCTGTTTCATAAGTATATTTAAAATAATTGTGTTAGATCTGATTAGGTCTAGTAGGATCACACCATATCTACTTCGGATTTAAAGCACAACACTACTTATACGGTTATATCTTGTTTAGTTCAAACTTTTTTTTTTTTCATAAGTTTGATGTTTATACCAGATTATTGTTTTGTGTTTATTCATAATCATAATGGTAGGTGTCGCTCGCTGGTTGTGCCACGTGTTTGTTGAACACCACCAAAATCCAAGACCATGTGCGACAAAATGCCACAAATACACAATCAGCTTATCCAATATCCAATGACTCGAAAGAAAGACGTTTGGATGAGAATAACCATGGAGTGGGAAACACCCTCAAGGAAGCTTTTCCGATGACAAAAATTCCGATTCCGGGGTTACCAGAATCAAACTTCTTCGTCAACAACAATGGCGGCTGCACCCTCTTTCACTACAACTACTTTCTTTTCCAGAAATAGCAATGACAACACCAAAATATCTCACTCTCTATCAAATCACCTTTGCGCCATTCCAATCTCAACTAATTTTACGCCGCCAATTTTACGTTACGCCACCCTCCTCCGCCGTCATCGCCGCCGCATACGACGTTACAATTTCAACGGAGTTGGAGATAATGATTACAGCACCACCACCAGCGGCGGCGCCGGCGACGGAGAAACGCCGACTACCCCTGTTACTAATTCTGAGAAGGGGTTTCTGGCAGCCGTGATTGACAGTCTTCCTCTTCCGCAAGGAGAAGCTAATACTGCGATTGTCTCTGCTTGTGTTGTCGGCCTTCTTACTGGTGTCAGTGTCGTCCTTTTCAATTATGTGGTTCGTATACCCTAACCCTAACCCTAACCCTTTTTTTACACTCATCATTTCATTTCATTGTCTTTCGATTTTATTACTTCTTCCGTCTCAAATTAATTGACAATGGCAATGTTTTCGAGAAATTTGACATTAAATGATGAATATTATATGATATTTGAAAACAATCTAACACGATTGCACGTGACTATTGCGTGTTTTGCAAAACAGTTGTGGTAGTTATTTTGGGACGGAGGGAGTAATTTTACTAATTTATAATTTTTCACTTTGAGTGTTATCTGATCAATGAACAAAAGGCCTTAGGTTCATGAATTACGTGATTTTTGTTGGGATGGAGTACCATACCGAGGTGCATCATGGTTAAGGGAGGAGAATCTTGAAGAAACTTGGAAGAGGACTATATTCGTACCGGTTGGTGGGGGTGTGGTTGTTGCTGTGTTGAACTATATTCGAGAAGGACTTGATTCCACTGAAGGAGGAGACTTTAAAACCATTCCTCAAATTCGGGCTGTATTTCAGCAGTTCCTTAAGTCGTTGGCAGCATGTGTCACTCTTGGAACCGGGAATTCGTTGGGCCCTGAAGGTCCTTGTGTTGAAATTGGTTCTTCCATTGGCAAAGGAATTGCTTCTTTGTCTGGTAGGAGTGCTGGGAAAAAGGTTCCTCTTGTTGCTGCAGGATCAGCTGCCGGGATTGCTTCTGGTTGGAATTCTTCAACTATAGATTGTAATGCACTTACCTACATTGTTTTACATTCTTTGCCGGGATAGTAGCCCTGCTCTTTTATGCCTAATGACTGCTCTCGCAATAACTTTGTGTCTTAGTTTGTGTATGTGGTGTCTCCTGTTTTTGTTATTTAGTTTTGATCATAAAGATAGAGGAGTTCAGGGGTAAATTTTATAGTCGGGCCAATTTAGAGTCATCAGAAGGTCAGACTAAGCCTTTTAAATAAGTTTACTTTAATTAAGATGATGAAAATTGAGGAGTTGTGGAAGCCTGGTTATATGTTCTTGCGAATGGACCTCAGAGACTTAAGAAAAAACAAGAACTGCCAAAGTGCAGGATTAAGGCATGCCAACTCTATCACGTATAAAGTTTGGTTATACTATATTTTCTAGCATGTAGTTCAAGGCATTCCAACTTAATCAAATTTTAAAATCTCTTCATAGATATTTAGGTTCCTATCTTTTTTATTTGGTTATTTTTGCTAACATTTAGTTCTGAATTCATTTGTGTGCTTCTAAAGGCTATAGGTTATACTTGCTTTTTTGGCTGCATCTTTTTCAAGGTTATTTTCAGTAACGTAGGAAAGTTGTATTTTTCATACATGCTCTTGACCTGTATAAGTTATTTTCACACAGGATTCAATGCTGCTGTAGCTGGTTGTTTTTTTGCTGTGGAGTCTGTTATACGGCCATCACCTGATTCAGATGTATCTCTTACAAATACAACCTCAATGATCATACTAAGTGCTGTCATAGCTTCTGTATTGTCTGAAGTTGGTCTTGGTGCTGAACCAGCATTCAAGGTCCCTGATTATGATTTTCGTTCTGCAAGTGGTAAGTTTTGAACTCCTCCTTTCTCACTTATTAGTTACCAATGTTTGTACAAGTAGATTGGCAACTCCTTAAAATTATCTGTCTATTTGTATTCAGAATTTAATCCTACAGCGTACAAACATGAACCAACCTTCTATTTTCACTGCAATTTCATATAAAAATTGCCAATGTTGCTTTGAGGGTATCATATGTAATATTCAGTCCATCATAAAGAGACCATTCTTTCCAAACATTTCTAAAAAGACTTTTCACTCAAGGAGCTTATCTTTAATAGTTGTAAAATTTTCTGCATGAGTTATTATATTTAGATTCATTTAGTTAGCTTTTGACTTTTCAGAGCTTCCGCTGTATCTTTTGCTGGGAATTCTATGCGGCTTGGTTTCTTTGGCCTTGACTAGGTGTACTACTTTCATGTTACATAAGGTTGAAGAAATTAAGAAAGCTGGCCGAGTACCCAAAGTTGTTTTTCCAGTAACTGGTGGCTTAGCTGTTGGACTCATGGCTTTGGCATATCCAGAAATTCTATACCGGGGTTTCCAGAATGTTGATATTTTGTTGGAATCTCGACCGTTTGTAAAAGGTCTATCAGCTGACATATTGGCTCAATTAGTGGGTGTTAAAATTATTGCTACATCTTTTTGCCGAGCCTCTGGATTAGTCGGGGGATATTATGCACCATCACTTTTTATTGGTGCTGCTACAGGAATGGCATATGGAAAATTTATTGCTTTGGCAGTTTCTGAAATCAGTCCAATCCACCTTTCTTTCATTGAAGTGGCATCCCCACAAGCATATGGCCTGGTACCAGTTATTATTGCTTTTATGATTTCAATGAGCAATATATAAATGCAATTGTTGCTTTGACCAGCATATAGTATGCAGATCTGTATTAATTTTATATCAGTCCTCATGTTTGTCCTTAATTGTGGATTTGAATTTTCCGAATTTCTGGGAGCTTTAGACTCTAATTGCTTTGTGGTTTGTTGGTGTGTCTGAGATTAATGCTGCGAGTGTAAAGATTAAAGAACTTGCTTTTTATCTTTTAGGAACACAAAACACTTAATATAATTCCACAAAGAGGAACTAAAAAAGGGTATTGTCTTTACTTTCAGTAATTTTTATATGGTTTGCATTGATTTGATCGACTCTATGAGTAGTGGAAAAAGGCACTATCATAGTATTTGTGAACTTGTGTAAATTGTCAATTATCCATGGGTTGTGGTCCTTGTGGTTTTTACACCATTCTTTGTCTGTTTTTTTATGCTTAGTGTCCAGTTAGCTTACTTAGCTATCAGTCTTAATTATTTTCATAATATTAAATTTTACCATTTGTCATTCCTGTTGTTTCCTGCTTTCTTCAAACCACAGAGGGAGAATAAACATTTAGACAGGAAAATTCTTTCCTGGAGTAGTGTGTTTCTGAGAACAGACCTTTTGCAGCCATCATAAGTTGCTCAAAATTAGGCCTGTTCACAGTGATTTCGGATCGGATATCCGAAGACTCGGATATCAAAAATTGATATCCAAATCCGATTTGAAAAATTCGGATATCCGATATTCGGATATCCAAAATTTTCGGATCGGATGCTTCAGATATCCATTATCCAATATTACGTAAAATTGTTATGATTACTTTCGAAATTTCACTAATTTTACCGTTTTTTTATCGCTAAGTTGTATAAAATATTTTAACAAAAATAGTAGTCCTTTTGCAATTAATATTATCATCAAATATATTAAGACTATTACAATAAGTTAATAATACAGGGTTAGTTTTATATGAACAATTTAAAAATTATATTATTTTAGGCTTTGTATTTCGGATATCTTTCGGATATCGGATATCCGAAATTTTGAAAATTAATATCCAAATCCGCATCCGATATCCGCTTTTTCGGATCGGATATCCAAAAATTCGGATCGGTTGCGGATCAGATTATCGGATTTTCGGATAGTTTTGTACAGGCCTACTCAATATGCCTCTCTTTATCTAGTTTATGAAAGTTGCTTTTACTAAGTGGCTCAAATAAATCTCTCACACTAGCTGTCTAGCTCAATACTATCCTAGTTGGAGGTTTAAGAAAATAAGCTGTTCATGTTTATGGCCCTTTATAGATTGGGCTAAGATTTGATTTTGTCAACCTAGTTATTGTTGCTGATCTAGCTGCAAGTTTAGGCTTTATGATTCATTAATATATGTTAACTTTTGGAACTACAGGTTGCCATGGCTGCTACTCTTGCAGGGGTTTGTCAAGTACCTCTGACATCGGTGCTGCTACTTTTTGAGCTTACTCAGGACTACCGTATTATTGTACCACTTCTAGCAGCTGTGGGCACGTCATCTTGGATTACATCTTCAAGGATAAAGAGAACGGATTTGAGAGATTCCAAGACAGTTAATGAAAGTTCCCTTAAGATTCAAGAAAGTAATGGATCAAACAATAATGCTAGTTTACGTTCTTCTGGCAACTCATACCCTGTAAAAGAATCTAATACTGATAATATCTGTGAAATTGAGAGTTCAAGCTGTTTTGATGATTCTGATGCGGAAAGTGATGAAGTTGAAAGGAAAATTTTTGTGTCGCAGGCCATGAGGACAAGTTTTGCGACTGTCTTAAGAAGTACATCACTTATTGAAGCTGTGACTCTGATGCTTGCAGAAAAACAGTCTTGTGCACTTATTGTTGATGAGTATAATTATTTGATTGGTATACTATCTCTGGAGGATATTCTAGTGATCAGCAAATCTGCGCAAGCTAATGGAAGAAAATCTGAGGTATAGGTTCCCACTTCCCAATTCTTCTGTTGCATGTGAAGCTAATGAAACGAGATTATCCTTCCTCGTTAATATTTTATGCAGCACAAGTGAGTAGGTCTCCTGATGTCAAATTGTAGTTACTGTCACGCAGAGTAGCTTTTAATTGCTGGACTAAACTTTCTGTGTTAGTTCTTTGTTAAATCTACATTCTTTTCAACTTATATTGACTTATCAGTCATTTCATAATCTATGAAAAGACTTCAGTACTTTCCAGAAAGAAGGAATTCCTGAACATGTTTGTGGAATGAAGTTTCAATTTTTTTTTTTTTTTTTCCCTTTTTACGATCTTGCTATTGTGGCCAATTTCACCTGTCTTTAATTTTGCAAAAGAACAAAATAAGCAAGATGTTTAAGTGAAAAAAAACAAGGTTGGAAATCTAAATACTACGTATATTATAGCTAACAAAGGTGATGAAATAATAAAGTTTTTCTTCTGACAACGGAAAATTGGAAAGCCGTTTTGTGGAATATTCCCTAGTGCAAGACTCATGCCATCCCCCCACCCCACAAAAAAAAAAAAAAAATGCTTTCTCCATCAATTTATGTGATAGAAAGTGTATCACTTTAGATTTGTATGAGAATTGAAGTATGGATTGTCAATTGAAGTTACCTCTAGTTTCTAATGGATGAAATTGAAATGGCCTTTTCTAATAATAAATTGAAACTTACTGTCAGTTAGCAGGGATCATGCTATATACATAGTATTTACATTTTAGGTCGTGGAAGGATATTTACTGTCAGTTAGCATTTGGTACTTGACGTACTTCATCTGAAATCAAAATCCTGATGGTTATCACTTCATTGTCTACTCTCTAGTCTAACCTTTCCATGGGTTAAGGAAATCAAAGTTGAATTAGTGAGCAAGTGCAATGCTATAGAGGATGATTTTGAATAGTGCTGCTTTTAAGTGTGCTATTCATTTTCTCTTGCTTATTTCCAACCTAAGTCTGCTGAGATTTTGCTTATCCAGGAGTTCTGCATGACATGGTAGCTACCTCTGTTCACTTGTTTGTTGTACCAATGAATTTGACTGTTCTGCACATATCACAGGAAATTTTAGTGGCAGATACTTGTTCTCTTGATGGTGAAAAACATGAGGTGTTGTGGACAGTAACCCCGGACATGGATCTTCTCTCGGCTGAAATAATTATGATCAGGCATGGTTTAAGTCAGCTGCCTGTTATCTCTGAGGTTGGGGAGGGGTGCAGAGGAAAACCAGTGGGCATTATAGACATGCAGTGCATCAAGCTAGCTTGCAGGTATTACTATGCATCTGTTCTGTTACTCTGTTAGACATGCATTGCACTGAGGCTGAAACTATATGAATTTAGGATATTGAAAAATGGCTTTAAAATCAATTTCTGTCTATGCCAGGTATATGATAGTACTTCTGTCAAATTGATGACTAGTGTTGGTTTTACTGGGATAACTAGTAGTTTGTGCATTATGTAGTTTGTGCATTATGTCATGGTTGTTTTAGTGAATGCCTTCGTTTAGACATATATGTTACCTTAAATGCCTACATTATATGGAGCTTCGCTGTTTTCACCCTAAAAAATATCAAGTATGAGGAATCAACCGCCAATTAATTTAGTTTAGGGCCTAATGGCAGTAAATTCAGAAAAGAGCAGTTAGTTTAGAATAGGGAAATTCAGTCTCAGATTTACTCCATAAGACTAATAAGTTCAAACATGCTCTTATTAGCTCAGATAATGGTCCCGTAGTTGTAAAGAATGGTGCTTACGTTTGCTGACACTAGACTCTTTTTTCTCGGCATTATTCTTTTAAATGGACAAGTCGGGGCGGACTTGTTTATACAAGTATACAATATTACTCTGGGATTGCTGGCATTTCTTCCATCTAAAAATCAGTTCACGAAATCTTGGTTATTTTGATTTATTTTATTTATGTACTTTTTTGTGTGCAGAGCTGTTGCCGTCAAAGAATATCTGAACAAGAGTATTAGATCAGCAGAAATGGATCCCTTCAAGCCCAGGAGCAAGTCTGCACCTTGATTATATCTTTGAAGGCTAACCTGCCAGTCATCATCATGAAATTTAAACCTGGAAGATGACAAATAACCTCAACAAGGGTACTAAGTGGTGACATAAATAGCAGCTTCTTTACGCCTAGAGTATTTTGTAAATACGGCATGTGAAGTGGTTAAGTTTGTTCACCATATTTAAGAGCTGCAAGGACTGGTCAATTGGTCATATAATCTTTGTCGTCTTTTTGTCCACGCTTCAAATTGGCTTGTTCATCGGAAGGTTTATATATTGGCTGGCTGCTATCCAGACTGGAATACAAATTTCATACAGGAATGTCATTGAGACAGTGGTATACATTGTACAGTAGTACTATTATCATACGAGTAAGTTTTTTTTTTGCAAGGGGTAATTCACTTTGAGGCTATTGAGCTACAAAGGACAATACTCATTTTTTTTTTTTGGTTAAAATACTCTTATTGTTAGAATGTTAGGAACCCAAATATTTTGTACCAAGTGTGGTAGACTTTTTAGGCTGTAATTGGATATCTGTTATTTTTCAATTTTCATTTATAGCACTTGATTATCAAATGATTGACTTTTGTCATTAACTTTATTACCTTAATTAAAGTATAAATCACTTTGAATAAACCTTTATGCATTACATGAAACATGACCATAAATATAGAATACTAGCCTGATCAGATACTTTGAAATTATCAGCAAACATGTTACATATACAAAATGCAAAACGTTCAATTTTCTAAACACAAAATGTCTTATTGATTCAAAACAAAATGTAAATAAAACACAAAAGTATAAAACCAAATGTAATAAACGTGTCGTGTTGTGTTCCAATCCCCTAGCACAGTAACATGCCTTCGGCTGGTGGTGGGACAAGAACATAGCAGTTGCGGCGAACTGTTAGTAACTAGTTCCAGTAGTGAAAGATAGGCATGACAGAGAACTTCATCATGCCAAGGTTGCAGTGGATGCCATTGTGTTCTCCACAAGCAAAGTAATGAGGCTGCCACTTGGTGAGCTTGAACTCAAATCCGCTTCCACCTCCTTGGGTGGTAGTAGCCACTCGCTTTCCTCTGCTTAAATCACAACTTAAGTAGCTCTGCAAGTCTGGCAGTAAGTATACACTGTGGCCTGGTGCCCCGTTTACTGGTGCATTGAATTTGAACACTGCCAATAATACCATTAAGGTTAGTTTATATAGTAGCATGCATGCATTATAGTATTACTTAATGAACAGATTTGTATACAACATTTGTGATCACGCATGTACATACCTAGGACATCATTGACATAAAAGGGTCCATTTTTGAGAGCCCAATCACTGTAATTGAAGCCAAAGTTCCAATTGTTAGAGCCTCCTACGACAATCTTGTTAGGCCCGTCTGTGCGGTTTCTCTTAGAGAAAGGGCAGTCACCCTGAGGGGTACCTGCAGGAGGAGGCGACTCAGCCTGTCCCCGAGGGGTACCAGCAGGAGCAGGGGACTCACCTTGTCCCCGAGGGGTACCAACAGGCGGTGCATGATGACTCCTTCGCGCCCTTCCCCTACCCCTTCCCCCACGCCAACCCCAACCACCCCACTCCCTTTCAGGGGGAGGAGAAGGCAATTCCTGACCCCTTCCCCAACCCCAACCCCAACCTCGTCCTTCAGGAGGAGCAGGCGGTGTTTCCTGTCCTCGCCCCCACACCCAACCTCGCCCTTCAGGAGGAGCAGGCGGTGTATCCTGACCTCGTCCCCACCCCCAACCCCAGCCCCAACGTTGTGTTGTCAATGGTTTTTCCTCCTTGTTGGCCATGCATGTTCCCAACAAAGAAGCTCCTAGTATTGTAATAACTAGGATACATACTGATGAATTAACGGTATTCATTTGTGACAATTGGTGTATTTCTTACACTTTCAAGTAATACCAATAAAATGTACTACTAGCTAGTATGATTAATGTTGCAATGAACATCTCTTTTGGTACACAAGGCTTATATAGGGGATATAATGCACATTTGTGGAGCAAAGATTTACAAGTTTCGCCGAAATTTGGTTTGTCAAAAATAGACAACCCTTAGACTTTGCAACTGAGCTGAAGAGAAGTATTATTGTGCCAAATATTCCAGCATTATTGATCAAATCAAAGTCAAGAGATATACTGCTAAAGTGCTAAGTGCTAACTACACAGTTTTAGTGGGTTGGTTTGAACTGTTGGTAGAAAACAGGTAATTAAGTTGATACTGAAGTAGCCTTTTTTACCATTTGTTAATTTGAAGAAAATAAGTTGAGTTCATTTCATACATGAATGGCTTTAATTAGTGCGCATTTGCCAAATTTGGTGACAAGTTTAAGTAGTAATGATGCAAATATGCAATGGATGTATTACTGTGTAAAAGTTGACCAAATAAAAGTTTGGGGAAGTAGCAATTTACTACTTTTACTATACTAAATCCGTAGAACTTTAGGTCTTACTACAAATTTAGATTATTGTAGTGAATAATGACGTGTTTATGACATAATAATGATGCTATATTAGTAACATGACTAATAACATGGGATTAATTATCAACATCATTGTTATGCAACAATTGCATGACCAAAATGTTGGGGCGATAGCAATTTTCTATGAACAAAGTGTTGGCTCACTTGACAAGATTCTTACCTCAAATCCTAAAGGTATGAAATTCGAATCCTACCAAATGAGGCTATTTTGGGTAGAGATTTCCTTACCATCCCCTCTACTTTCAAGTGTCGCAAATACTGACTAAAAAATCGTGAGGGTTGAGATCTGGTAAAAAAAAATAACAAAATAGCTTAAATTTTATTAATTTAGTTTTTCTCGTATTACGCCTTATAGTTTTTTTTTTTATTATTATTTTTTAATGTGGCCTAGGTCTGGCACTTACGGTATGCAATGTCGTGTCACGGTTTTTTTTAGGTACCGGGCTGTACCGACGTACCGTGCCACTGCCCGACCGTATGCTGTCGGGCCTAGGATTATTGGGCTGGAATGATATCCGCTCCTCTGGGTCGGAGTCTAAGAGGGATCAGCGATTGGAATATTGGATGACTGATGTTAGAAATTTGAAATTATGAGAAAACACCACTAAAAATAGTAAATAGAAAATCAGACACCATTTTTCACCAAAGCTCTGATTTCCCCACTCATCAACCCTACGCCATTGTTGCAGCTTCAAGGTAGGAGAGAGAAAGTATGGGAGGTCCAGCGACGAAGAGGACGATATCACAAGAAGCATTCGATGAAATTGTGAAAGAAAACATTGAAGATTATGAAATGGAACCTGCTGAAGCTGTTCAAGACGCCATTGATTCTCTCACTCTTCAAGGCGTCGATCTTTCTGGTAATCAATTAATTCTTTAATTTCTCAAACATTTGTCAATCTTTGAGTTTAATTTCAAAATTTGAATTGAATTTATTGTTGATTTGTGTTGGAAAAGGTATAATTACCTGTATACCGGGGGAAAGCTCGGTGGAAGATAATCCAGTGATGAAATCAATTGATGATTTGATGAAATTTCTTGATGAATTTGAGGAGAGAGAATTGCAGAATTTGACGCCATTGTTGCGTAACCTTGCCAATCTTTGTGATCCTAATGATAGCAAGGATAAAGATTCGAATGCGAATGCGGCGATTGCTGCTAGAAATGGAGGAGTGGAATTGGTGACATCGATTTGTGAGAAGGTTTCTGGTAGTGGAAATGAGGAGGTTGTTGTTGCAGCTCTCTTGGCACTCACTTCTTTGCTTCGTGGTATGGATTTTTATCCTTTTCGTCTCGAGTTTGAATCTTCTAAGTTATTATTGATAATGTGAATGAATGTTGTTCAAATCTTGATGATTTTATTTTTCAAATGTGTTATGTTTGCATTAAATTTTGCTACCTAATTGTGTTTTGATACTTGTAGGATCACTTTTTCGCGGTTGTGAATAATTAGAATGTGTTAGATTGGACTTGAAAATTAGTTATTATAGATTGGACTTGATGATTAGTTATAATAGAATGGACCTTAGAGAACTAGATATTAATTTATTGTAGATTGGATTGAGAATTGATTGTTGATTATTATAGGTTAGACTTGCTAATTGTTGCGTTTTGTGTGGTGGATTTGTGTGACTCAGATGTTCAGACTGCTCAAACCTTTCACAAGTGTGGTGGCCCGGATATAGTCATAGGCATTTTGAATCAAGATGCTCAAAGTTCTGAGATATTGAATGCTTGTTTTTCTGTCATTGCTGCCTCGGCAACTGAGAATGAAATTCTCAAGGAAGCATTTGTTAACTTGAAGATTGATCAAGTCATGGTCAACACATTGAAGGGGGATAATAAAGGCAGTTTTCCTAGTATGTATGATTCCATACGGGTTTTACTGACTCCTGATGACTTTCGTGTTGCTGCTTCTCAAGTATGTCAGTGTAACCCTTACCTAAGAATCTTTGACGTTATGCAAATGGTGTTTGTATTTGGTTCATTTAGTAAATTATTTGTTGTATATATGCTTGTAGGTTTATAGATATGCTCGTCAGTTTGCAAAAGCTGGAATTGCTGAAGCTCTTGTGGATGCACTCCAGGAGGGCCTCACTTCACCCACTCTAGTTTCTGCAAGTGTTGCTTTGAAGGCTGTTGCTGTAAATGTAAGTATATTGCTTTAAGTGGCAGTTCGGGTTCAGCTTTAATTGTATCATCCCTTCTATAGATGTGATGATTTTGTGTTCTATCAGTAGTGGCAAATTTTCGTCTATCTTCCACTAGCAGACAGTACCATTTCTTATAGCAGCAGCCAACATATATGGTAGTTTAGTGAACTGAACTTAGCATGAAGGAACTTTGTCAAAACAATTAAGCGCATTTTTATTTATATAATAGATAGATTTCCATGTAGTTTTAGAATGACTGCAGATTGGAATGAATAAATTAGCCTGCAAGCATTGACCTTGTACTTGTCTGCGTTTGCTTTTCACTATCATTATTCAACAGCTTAAAATGTCAAACATATTTTTTGCAACTTCTCTTATATTCACTTTGACATCTGGTTTTCTGAAGTTTCCTATATGCATAGTCTCTGCCTGTCATTAATAGTAAGTTTCAGATTCTGTTGAGATTTCTATGAGTTTTTGGTGTCTTACATTGCATTTCTATACAGTATGTGTGACTTAGTGGCTACAATGTCGGGTTAAAGCGAGTCTTCGATATTAATCAATGAGCTTCACCTTGCTCACTCCTTCACTTTTGGCATTGTGTGGTCACAGGATGAAATTTGCAGAAGTATAGCCGATAGGGGTGGTATTGATGCTGTTCTCCGATGTATTGATGATAGTGGTGAACAATTGAACAAGTCTGTAGCCCGATCCTGCTGCATTTTACTGACTAAGGTGTGCATTTACTGCTTATATTGTAATATAGTTTCATGTTTTTTTCCAAACAACATAACTAGGGAAGTTGGAGACTTTAAGTGAAAAAAGACTAACTAACAAAATAAAGTGCACTTCATTGTGTTTTGTCATTATATGTAGTTAAGTAGCTTCACAGTTAAATTTATCAAATAATCATGGTGTCAGTTTTTTTCATTATTAACTTGGTAAACCAAAAAAATAAATAAAAGAAAAAAAAGATCATAAAATAAAAAATTATACTTTCCTTCAGATGTCACAACCTATGCCAGTCTCAATTAAATAGGGGTAAAATTACAGTCGTGACTTCCTCAGATTCCACTAGTATCCCTGTAGGAACTATGTTGGATAGTGTGATGTGAGTAGTGCTTTGATTGCTGAGTTTGGACAAAGAATTGGGAAGACTTGCATTTCAGTATGTGACTATTTTTCAGGATCTAGACATAAGCATCTGAAAAAAGGTGAAACCTGCCCAGGGGTTTTTTGAGGATGATCCTCCCTCTGAGGGTTGACAAGTGACTATTAAGTGAGCGTGGGTGAATTTAAGAATATACTTCAAATTACCATTAGAAGGAAAGTGTTCGCTAAAGACCCTAGAGTGAATGTCTGACAATTGTAGGGAATTGCATTTACGAAACATTGTATTGATGTGTATAAGTCTGCGTCATAGGCCCATAGCATTAATGGATGGAATATTCAGAGTTTTATAACCATACTTGAAAGGTGGGCATTACTCAATACACTTAGCATTGCCATCTTCAATGGACCTCCTTTTGAGTTAGAGACTTGACAATCTCATGGGTGTTTGACTCATGGCATCAGAACTCAAGAGGGTAGTTGACACTTTTTCCGTGCAAGTTCAGTTTATCCAGGTCTAATAGGAAACTGATATATGACATGGAGTGCCATGCACACCAGTGTGTGCATGCCTTTAGTTAGGGCATATTTGTGTGGGTTAACCACAGGTCTATAGCAGGGTGGTTTGTATTGGTTTTGTGACTTTGGTTTTCTGGTTGAGTAGTGTTTTGTTTTTACTGGAGGGAAAGGTGTACAACTGTGAAACTAACTGTTGGAATTACTTGTGTGGTTCCGAAAACGTTAATTTCTTAATGCATTCGTTCCTTTGTTTATTTATTTATTTATTTAACTCACTCATTTGACTGTAGCTTATAGTTTCTACATCTCTGTTGCTCGTTATGCATCAGTTAATGAAGCTTAACTGTTGAATATTTTTTAATAGTTGGCTGGAAGCGACTACAATAAGAGTGCAATAGTGGAGAAAAGAGGTTTGGATAGATTGATCAGCCTCTGTGGCAGATTTGCAGATGAGCCAACTGTAATACAAGAGGTGAGGAATGTGCAAAATTAGTGTGGAACTTGTATGGTCCTTCTAGTGACCAGTCATTGTTTATTAATTATTAAATCAATTTAAATGAATTCTAGTAACTCTGCCTGCCTTATTGAGCACTGATCAGTCATATACTTCCGTTTTCCCCATAATATTGATTCATCCTTTGACCTAGCTTGCAAGCAACCATTATATGCCTTTTTCAATGAGCTATCTTAAGTTGGCAATTATTGTATATTTGTTGTGCTGATGTGTGCTTTGACAGTGCACAAGGGGTTGTAGTAATAATTTTCTTGCTCTACAGGTTATGTATATAATTAGTGTGCTTTCCCTTAGATCTCCTGATCATGCATCTCGTGCTATAGAAGCTGGAGCAGGAGATCTGGCTATCCAAGCAATGCAAAGGTTTCCTTATGCGCAGCAATTGCAGAGATATGCATGTATAATGATACGGAATCTTGTGGTCAGAAACCCAGAAAATAGGTAAGCCAGTAATCATTGGGTTCACAGATTATGACATGTAGTTCCAAATGAGCTAGAAGTCTATTAGTTTTGCACTATTGCAAGAAGCATAGATTCCAAGGCTAATTTATTTTATTTTATTTTTTATTTGCCATCGTTCACAGAAAAATTTTGCTTGACAATGGCATTGAGAAGATCATCAGAAAGGGCAAGGAAAACCATCAGAGTTGTAACGCTGCTGCAACAGATGCTCTACGAGACTTGGGGCTTGATAATTACAACTTGTAACTCCTACTGATGCTGCGGCACAAGAATGTTTTCCTCTGGAATATAAAGAGAAGGCTCATGCATCCATAAGAAGTAATTTTCTGCACTCGACTTTAATCAGACTTGCTGTTATTGTCAACGTGTCTTTGTGTGATAGGATGAATCTGGCAAGAGATAGTATGAATGATCATGTGGAACCTGAAAGCCTGAAGTGGTCTTATATTGTTAGCAGTTACTAGCTTCCATACCTAGCAATAGCATGCTTATGAATAGAGAATCAGCTGTCCAACGTTTAGTCTATAGTCTCTATACGCTAGTTTTTCTTTTTGGTTCTTTTACACTTCTGCGAATGGATCGCATGTCTTATCCCTTTAGAGCCATATATTGGAATCGACCTATTTGAGAGGATTACAAATTTACAATGCACCTTCTGTATAGATTACTTAAGCACCTCTTTGGTTCAGAAACTTTCTAGGTGCTCTTAAACAGAAAAAATGTCATGTTCTGGTTGCTTCATTTTAAAGTTTTTTTATTTTTTAAAAGTTTATTTGTCATCTCTCTGTTAATGAGGGTATTGAACATTCTCAATCATGTTGGTGGGAGAACAACTTCCAGGGTCTACCACCACCACTTGACCCACTATTACCCATCAGGCCATCACCAACCTCCGAATTCGACTTGTTCATGACCCATCAACTAAAACCTGGCCAAGGATTTGAATTCGTTCATGGCTAGATTACTAGATAAGTAGATATGGCCAGTGTGGGGGGCTAAAACAGCACCCTCTGAGCTGAGAGAAAAGTAGATTGTTGGATATAATAATTACTTTGTATTATACACTGCCCTAATTTTTACTAGAGAAAATACAAGTTCCTCAACCTGAGAAACATGTATTGTATCTCAAAGGGGTAAATTCATCATTTTCAATCCACAAGTTGGGTAGTATTGTAATTTTGTCTAATAAATAAAGTAATCTAAGTTACAGCAGAGCAGTTTAATGGAGAGCCAAAGAACAACTTACATGGATATATGACTTTTTTTTTTTTACTTATGGTACCAAACACCAAATTTGAAGTATCAAATCATTCAATAATTTCAATTCTTACCGATTTTTTTTCGAGCACCCTGTCAACCAAATCTACTCAAAGTCTTTGCCAGAGGTTAAATTTGAACAGCATTCAGTTCATATTAACCCTCCTAGTATGATACCTTAGTATCTAAGGACTAAGGTAAACAATGTAAAAAGGAAAAAAAGCACTCATTTCTGTTACTGATTTCTGAAGAAGTGAAGAGTGAAGAATAAGAGAATGATTATTGCATAGGGTTAGTTAATGATCTAAATTGTCGGTTTCCGTGACTTTAGAACCTATATTATATAATCCGGAAAAGTAATTAAAAAAAAAAATTTGAAACTGAAAAAATGAGTTCAATTTCATTTCACCAGTTTTAATGGCATGAATGGCTATCACCATTACCAGTCTACCAGTCACCACCACACATCAATTTAAATGGAAAGACAAAATTACAATAAATTTCGACATTTCGTTTTCAGTATAACTGTTTTTTGTAAAAGAACTGAACTCGTTTGTCCTCCAACCCCCCCCCCCCCCCCCCTCCCTATTTTCCCTCTCAAAGGCTTTACTGAAACAGAGTTCTGATTTCTGAACTTCCCCAGCAAAACCTGGCTCATGCTTTGTACTTTGCAGGCAGCACCCCTATGTTTTCATCAGCATTTCACCACAAACTTTACGTCGCTGTGATGAGAGAGGAAATTTTATATCAGATTAATGGATAAACTAATAATAATGCTTAATCTAAAAAAAAAAAGCCTAATAAAATTCAGTAGAGCATAGACCACAATGAACATAAATGATACAAACTTCACATAATTACTGGCATTATACAAAATGTCAACTACCTCAGTATAAAAGGATCTGAGCGATGTTCACTAAGAACAGAACAAGAAGCTACAAACAGGAGACTCTTCACTTGTAAAATGTGTTAACTAGAGCATGTTCATACCTCATTTAAGATGGAACGAAGCCTGTAAAGAATGCCTGAAGCCGCTGACAGCATCAACCGTGATATATTTATTCAAAACATTAGTTATACAACCCAAAAATTAATAAACCAGAGTTTAAAAGATGGTACAGAGTAAAAGTCATACTTCATATCAACAAAGAGAATTTCCACATACCAAATAGTGTAGGAGAGCTATTGGAACATCTTAGAGAAAGCTTTCTTCTCCCGGTCACGTCGATCAACAATCTGCATCAACACAGTATCGTTTGAATTCTCCCTCATATCTTAAGTGCAGTATCACGATTCATAATTAAACACACAGATAACACTCTTACCTTCTTTCTTGCTGCTGCTAGTTCTCTCTTTATTCCAGCTGAGCAAACACAAACATTTCAAGTATATTTAGTGATAAGCAAGTCACAATTTTTCCAAAATGAACAGCTTACAACTCCAAAACACAATACACTGATTCATAGTTATCAGGAATAAATTTTACTTACCATCATTAGGTTCCAGATCTAATGCCTTCTTGAAACTTATAACCGCAGCATCTATGTCGTTAAGAGCCATATGGGCCTGAGGAACAGACAGAATGACAGATTACATCAGGTCAAACATTAACTTGCAGTTAATACAGTTGCTCTGCAGCCAATGTACAGTTTTTGTTTTTTAATTTATAAATTGAGATTAGAGACTAATATGGTGCCCAAAACAAATGCCTGGAGTCTAGGCGCCTAGCACTGTTTGTTACTGCCAGACTTCTAAGGTAACTATGTACAAGAACAGAGTACTAAACACCCGTTTTAAGTCGGTTAATCTGTCACAAAGATAAGAAAAAACCCCTTTAGAAGGAAGTGAACACCCCTGTTTTAGGAACTGAAAAAATAATTTTGGGGTATCTGAAAATCAAATATCAGACAAATGTTTTCAGAAAGAAATGTTGTAGAGGAAACCACAGCAATACAACATCTTACTAGTTCAGAAAAGGTAAACTTTCGGAGTAAAACACCAACCTGTCCTTGGCGAAACAAAGCCTTGGCATTATCCTCATCACGCATAGCGAATTCAGTGTCCAACAAAGCACCCTTTAAATCTCCAAGCTTCAACTTACAAGCCTTGAATATCATAGACAAATAAACAAGTTCAAACAGATTAGTACTCCTTACTACTACTTCAACATGAGGATAATCAATCCTATGTGAAGACTAGATACAGATTTTTTCCCTACAATCCCTCACAGTAAACAAACTTGCTGCTTAATCACTGATAGTTAAGACATGATATATTTCAAGTTCAGATAACTTCCCATAACTCTAAATTCTTACATTTCAACAACCATGCTTAGTGCCCGGGAAAAAAAACAAGATATATCTATGAAAAGCTAAACACTACAAAAGAACAAGTGAGAATGGAAGCTTACAGAACTGTTTGTGAAAATCTGTGACTTAATCTTTCTCAAGGCTGCACTTTTCTCTGATGAAAATAAAAGGAAAGCGAGTCAGATTTTAACCGACAGCAAGTAGGTTGCTGAAGCACCATAACAACTACTCTTAATCACAATGAACATCAATAAAGTCGTTCACCTTCATCAACCCCATCTTTCTCCCAGCATAAATCCAAGTATCGTTGTGCTTTCCTATACTTTCTGAGAGCCATCTTATAGTCTTGTTTCTGAATATAAGAGCAAAATTTAGAATCATAAAACACTGTAATAGCAAGTAAAAGACAATCATAAAACCAGCTCACCTTAAAATGTTCATTTCCAAGAGACTTAATAGAGTCAACAGCATCAGTCCACCAAGAAAGTTCATCAGGACAATGGTCAAGATCAGCAGGCCAATCCGGATAACTATCGCCATCTTTATAAAAATTCGAGACTCCATCATCAGTCCCCTCAAGAATTTCTCCACAATCAACAATAACAACATCCTTGGAAGGGCGTTCTTCATCATCATCATCGCTATTGACATGTTCAATGGATCGAACAACACCCATACCTTTGATCACTCTACCAAACACTACATGTTTTCCATCTAAATGTGGAGTCCTAGTAGTAGTAATAAAAAACTGAGACCCATTAGTATTAGGTCCACTATTAGCCATTGACAACATTCCTTTCCTTTCATGTTTTAACTCAAAGTTTTCATCCTCGAATTTTAATCCATATATAGACTCCCCTCCAGTACCATCCCCAGCTGAAATGTCTCCTCCTTGAATCATAAAACTCTTTACAACACGATGAAATCGACATCCCTGCAGCAGTGCAACATAAATTTGATAATTCCCCTTACTATTATAAGTAACATATTTGATCCATACTTTTATTTATTTATCTCAAAGTTCCCCAAATTAGCAAGAAATGAAAATTAGTACAAAAACCACCATATTTGATCCATTCTTTTATAATTTTATCTCAAAGTTACCCATATTAGCAAACAAAACCACCACAACAAACAATAGTACCAAAAAAATAATACTTATCCTACATAAAGTTGAAGGTTTTAATTCACAAATTATACTAGAAACTTAGAAAAATATGACAAAAAATAAAGAAAGAATTTGAAGTTGACAATGATAACAATTAAAGTACTCTTTGTATTTTTTAAATGACAACCCATAAAAAATACGAAGTATGTACACTACATTTAAATCAATGGCTCAATAAGACAATAAGTCTTCCACCTAAGGCAAACTCCATTCGAGTCAATCTTGTACCCGAGTACACCTAGCGTTACAATATATCCTTGGGTACACCTAACTCTAGAATATTTAGCCAGTCGAATCGATTAAATCGAAAGACGATTCGCTAAATCAGAAGATAAAAACACTAAACAGAATCAAATTGAGAAACAAAGGAATAGAAAGAATACCTTGTAATGAAGTGGGACGCCGGTATGAGGTCCGATGCCTTTTTCGCCGGTACAAAGAGCTCGGAAATTCTCGGCGGTTTTGGGAACGACGTCGTTGTAAAGCTCAACGACAATCCTACCTTCGAGTTCATCGCCAATGCTTACATCAAGGTAGCATCTATGTCTTGCCATTTTTTCTCTGTTTTTTTTAAGTTGCAGTTGAGAGTTTACTTTTCCTCTTCTTGGAAGTAGTTAAAACAAAAACAAAGGAACCTTATAAAGTTGTATGACTGTATGGTGTGGAGTTGTCGATTATATATTCGGGTGTATCATGCGTTATGTATGTTTGTCATACGAGTACATATACGCGGGAGTAGATTACTCTGTAATTTTTAAGTGAAAGGGTTAGATACTTAGATGTAAAACAAGTGGAAGGGGGTTTGGACTTTGGAGTAGTTAGTTTGATGGGTTGGTTGGTCCCGCTTTTTATTTCAAAGCTTATGTAGTTATGTACCAAATATGTCCCTTGCTTACTGTTAATCCTGTTAGATATTGACTTCTGGTTTTGTCTCTTAGTTTCTTTCAAGTTGTTCATTTGTCATTTCATTTCATCTTAATTTTGACAACTATGTAGGGTGTAAACTTGTAATTATACGTTTAAAGTATTATTACATGTAAAAAATACGAGTACAAAGAAATATAACTACAAAAGTATAAAGTAACTTATAAGTGTCATCGTATGTTTACATGTCCAACAATTCAACATGTACATAAGTCTTGCTTTCATGGATTACTTCGAGCGTTCATATTTCCTTACCTTATATAGTTGTGTACTTGTGAAGTCATGGATGTCGTGACTCATGTGTGCTAACATATGTAAGTATATACTTATGGTTTGTTCACATTTACTGAATTGAGCTGAACTAAACTGATTGAAACTGAACTGATTGAAACTGAACTGAACTGAGCTAAAATGGATATTTTATGAGAGTGAGAAATTATGAGCTGAAGTGAATTGAACTAAAATGAACTGATTGGAGCTGAACTGAACTGAAATTAAATAAATGTGTAAAGGCCCTTAGTAACACGTATTCAATCCAAGTAATTCGAGGTTGTATAATTGAAATTGCAATACTATTGGCAAAGAGAATGGAGTACGGAGTAATACTTCAGCTAACTAGCCATATTATTACATTTGGGATCTGTTGATCTTTTTTAGCTTCTAATTAAAGCTAACTCACAAACAATTTTACTTTTCATGAATGGTTCAATGATCAACCTTTGTTTATCTAAAAAAGGGTGCTAAATCGTCGGGTCAATTTACAAATTGCCTTTTTTCCTTTCTATAAAAATGTTTGAGAAGCTTCAAGAAGATTAAACCCCTGGCCCTAGCCTTCCCCACAAGTGGACCCCACGGTCTCCACCACCCTCACTCTCCAAATTAATCACATTGGTAGATGGTGCATGATATAGAAGCTTCAAGATCACAAATACTTACTCCTTGGTCCTCATTATACCTCGGATAGGTCTTGTATACAACAGACTTAACCAGTTACATCATCTCTGAACACGTCAAAAACAAAATTATATTATATGATGTTGTTCACACAAATTATTTTATTGTACACGGAGTATTATACACTACACTACTCGACTACCTTATTGTATACATATACAAGTTTTTGCCACTTGTTTTCTTATAAATTAATCACGTTATTTGATATTGTTAAGGCAACTGAACTTATTGTAGATTTTTTACTCAACTACTCGGACACTCGTGTTATTATTATTATTATTTGTTTTTTTGAAAGACTATTCAGACACTCGTTGTATACAAGTTTTTGCCGATTTTAGTTTTAAATTCTTAAATTATTCCAAGAATTATGTTTCCTGAATTCACACTCTAGTCTCTGGCATGTAGTCAGTGTTTGTTTAAGAGGGGGAAGGATGGTCGTTAAGTCAATTAATAAATCAGAATGGGAAAATACAAAATTTAATCTCAACTTGTTTTCTGCTACTACTCTCGTATATCTGTCTCATTTTCTTGACTATGTCCCTGCTTTTTAGTTCATGATATAGTCACATTGGAATTAATAGTTGAATAATTAATTAATGCCCATAAAATAGTTGAAGAAAAGTAATAATATTACAAAAGTGATTAGACAAGTTCATTGCATTATCCTTATAAACAATGAAATTAGCAGTTTTTTGTCTTCAATTTACCTTTTTTTTCTTGTTAATTGACTTAATTAATTCATGCATCATATATTCATATTGAATTAGAGCAATAGTACATTAATTATCATTATTGAACCAAATTTCATAATGTTGACATATCACATATTTATTCAAATGTTGTATAGATAAACTACAACGACAAAATTTAAGTTTTACGCATAAAAGTACCTTTTGCAATTTATTTAATTTCTCTACTATAAAAAATTTTGTTTCATTATTAAATTAGTGAAAAGAAGATGCTTGTATGTTCATGTAGCATCATGCATGGTATTATACATTTATACTCCTTTATTTTTTTGACAAAAATACCATTTAATTAAAGTAGAAGGAAAATAGTACATGCTACGTACATATCTTCTTTAACTATTATAAATCTTCGTTATGGTATTGTGCAGTTTATGTAGATTGAGGAATTTGAGTTCCAATATGGTGAGAGAGATTGTTATGCTCATATCCATAGATTATAGTTACAACGTTTTCCTAAAATGGAAATGTCATAATAGTTGAAATGCACTATAAAAGAAAGGTTTTTATGGTGAAAATTGTATTACTACCTTTATTTAAAGCTCATAACTCACTTTAATTGTATTGTACTTCCTTCGTCCCTTAATACAATGTTTCTTTCTCTTTATTATGTGAGGAATAAATGCTCAAAACAGGCATTGTATTAAGGGACGGAGGGAATATTATGTAATGTCTACGATTCTTGATAGAGTGTGTTGCAATTATAGGAAAACAGAGGAAGTATTCTAAATAAAAGGTAGCAACTCCAATCTGCAAGAGAATATTTATTACTTTGGGGTACCACGGAAAGTGCACTAGTTAGTAGTTTAGTGTCACTAATTAGTCTTTTCTAATTGGATCTGTGGACCAACTTTCCCACTAATTTAAATGATTAATATCAGGACCACCAAAAAAATGATAAATAATTACACACTTAGCTTGTGAGTTGTGACACTTCCATTATATTGATCATAGAGGCATTGTTCATATGAAGTATGTTCGTTTATTGTTGCCACTAACAAAAGCAATTTTGTTTCTATCATTATTATGAAGCTTATAAAATTGTGCGACTAAGTAGTAAATTAATAAGTTGTAAATTTGTAATAGGTTTGCTTCTTTCCTATTATGTGCGTGAGGACTTAGTGATGGTCCATTTAGGGAAGTTTTTTTTTTAGTTTAACAAGAGTGTGGATACGGGCTTAACAAATCTAACAATCACTCTCACCATACCGTAACTCAAATTCCTTAAATTTGTACTAAATTAATACTTGTAAGTTGTAGTAAATTGATATTATGTCAAGAGATATTATAATTATGTTGGTCTTTTCCTTAAATTTTGGGATTTTTTTTTTAGAGTTTAATATCATTTTTTAATAGTTATGAATTAATGTGCTTTGTTGAAATGGTGATAATTTAAATTACTGTATGCAGTATGTCATAGCTAAAAATAATATGGTGAACATGTTCTATTAAAAAATTGGGAAAAAAATTAGCATAATAATCTTTTAAAATCAGAAATTTTTAAAAATAAGCCAAAAAAAAAAAAAAAAAAAAGTTGTTCTAAACCTGTTGGATTGACGCAACCCGAAACTTTCGGTTAGGGTTAACAATGTGACCCGACGGACTCAATTGACAGATTTGATGACTAATAAAAGTAAATATGACTTATCACATAATTATCAATATGAAGAATAAAAATAAATAAGTATTACTACAACATAACTAGCTAGCTCGTTGTTTCAAATATACTTTAGTCTTTTAACACTTTTTAACTTAATAACTTATTGGCTAGAAGATTGCACCACAATAAATGGTTTTAAGAGAGATGGGTTTTTATGCCAATAGCTCCATTATTTGATTATCTAATAAATCTTTATTCTTTAATCTTTACACTTGGTTCAATCACTTTTAAGATATAGTAGTTCTTAGGGCCGATGTCAATAATTATTTAAAAAGCCTATTTAAAGCATGATCGCCATTATTGCAACCAACATTGCAAACGGCATAGATTCATAACATTTCAAAAACAATAAAATTAAAACACCTTAAAATCCATTTTGTACGACTATATATTTGATTTTTTTTTTATTTTTTTTGACAAGGACTATATATTTGATTAAAAACATATAGTATGTATAAATTTAGTTAAAGTAGCTAGCTTTATCAAAAATAATCTTAGCATCACTTTATAAAAAAAATAAATTTATTGACTTGTAAGTAGTTTGTATGCGCCTTACCGGTCTTTTTAGAGTTTTATAAATAGTCGATTACTTGCTAGTAATAATAAGCAATAGTGCTTAATTTTTTAGGATGGGAACGAGCCTATAAATAAAAGTAATTAAAAGACAACTAGTCCATAACTTATTTAGACCCATACAATTTTTAAGAATGGCATCAGTCTTAACATGAGATTTATACTCTAAATAACCTCTTATTTGATCATAATATCCTAAGATTATTAACTTAGGGGCAATACTACTAGGTAATACTACGTACCTACTATCACTACCAGTATCTTTTTACCAATTGGATGAATCGTGGACCAACTTCCCCACTAAATGATTAAAATGAGGACCACCAAGAAATTGGTAACTATTAGTCCAGGCTACTTCAATTCCTTTAATTTGATGATAAAGCCATTATTCTTAAGTTTATTGCTGCACTAAGATAAGCAATCATGTTTTATCACTATGCACCTTAATAGTAAACTATAGGCTTATAGGCAAATAGCATATAGTAGGTGGTGCTTCTTCCCTTGATCCCTTGTAGTCCCGTAGCGAAAATGACACCATCTTTTATTTCATTTAACTTGTGTGACGACAAACAATCAAAATGAACACTAAAGAAGCACATTTTGGAAATAAATGAAGAAGTAACATGTTACATACCACTCGTACTATTAGTGACTTGGTTATGAAAAGAAAAAAAAAAGACTCGATTTCATCCTTAAAATTAGGTTACTAGGCCGATTCTCAATTTATTAGAAATTGGCTTGGTTCGGCACCATAATAATTTGGCATAATTTGTTCAGAGTTAGCAACACATTGATTGAATTAGATTGGATTAACTTAAAGTTGAAGCAAAATGAATTGTATATTTCATCCTCAACGATCATCACAAAGTAAGCATAAGCATGCACCCGAGTGTGACCACTCCAATCCCATCATCACTAATATATAGTCATACATGATCTTTCTTCTAATTGGGTGAAGAAAAGAATGAAAGCAAAAGTCCCATCTTAAGATTGATGCCCACCATGGTGTGGACCTTGTATGTAGCAGTGGTCGTCATACTCTAGAAGACTAGGATCCAATTAGAAGGTATGGTTCTTTTTCTAGCATGTACTCACAAAGTCACAAGTTATAGCTACCTATATGATAGGTCGGATCTCGGATGTGTGCTGTGCCAACGAGCCTCGTGATTTAGTAGACCGTGACAAAATTGGGCTTAGGTCTAAGGATATTTTGTGTTGTGTCAATCTTTAATACGTAGTAAATAAGTTTCAAACACAACCCGTCATTTTACACATCGTGTTGTTCTAGTAAGCCTCTTAATAATTTTAGAAATTTTATTAATTAGTTAAAATGTGCAAATCGACAATCAAGCCGACCCCTTAGGCTCATGCCACAATTTAAAATTGATCTGCACGCTTGACTTATGTAGTATGGGTTGTATGTTCTCTTCAGCTAATTTTCAGTTCATTTCAGCTCTAATCATTTCAGTTCAGTTCCTAATTTCCTTATCTCGTAAAATATTCAGTTTAATTAATCAGAATAGACCCTATGTCTCATCAGTGTATCTCTTATGCAATTTTAAGCTCATTATGGACTTATTTATGTTGGGTCTTACCAATTTTGTACTAGCCTGGCCATGCCTAACTCTAGATAGGCTGAACTTATATCATAAATTTGTCCAAGTGCATAGTATATACATCTAATCAAAATATTGATCTTTCTTATTTATTTTCTCATTTCCATTTTGTATAAATGGGTAGTTAGTTATTTATGTAGGATGAACAATTACACACTATATATTTGTCCCTATATTTCAGATGAACTTTTTTTTGTGTGCATTGTTTAACTGAAATTTGAGATAATCAAAATATATAATCGATCAATCGAAATTGTTACTTTGTATCTATCACATTTTCACTTGGTCTACTAAAGTACTACTCTACTACTGTAGTACTGTATGACTTAAGTTAACTCATCTTTGGGCCCCCATCTTTGGGCTTCTATATGAATTCCACCTCAAAAATAGAAGCTAATTTTAGAACTCTCAAAAATTAGCAAGAGAAAATTTTTGGTAGGTCACAAGACTTCAAAGGATGAGCATGCAACTAGAGAGTACACTACAGTTTACATGAGTAAACCAGCTGTAGTGCTAGTAATTCACCAGTTTCAGATGTTTATAATGTGAATGGGGGACCTGTTAGATCAGGTGCAGATTGTCCTGGTAAAATTTATGAAAGAAACAACATGATTTTAGGACACCAATAATTTTGGCTTCTCATAAACATTATTACAGTGGATTTTTGCCAAACAGACCTATCTTACCTTTCTTGCAACTGTTGTATCGAACATATTTCAAGGAAACGTCTAGTAGCATAATTGTACGCGTTCTAGGTCATAGAGTATGCATTACAAGAAAAACGGGCAATTTTAAGTTAATGTGACACTATCTTACTAAAGACTTGCTCATACGTACCATAAGTATATCACACGGATGGCCTAGATACGAATCAATAAGATCTATCATGGATTAAATTCTAATTCCAATTCTAAAATATTGGAGTAATCAACAGTAAATTAAAAAAAAAGGGGGGATGATACACACATACACACATAAAAATTGGGTTGGTAAATAGACTAATAATATTTGTACCCCGTAGTATTTTCACTTGGTTTTCTACAAGTTGACAAAATCAAAAACTAGTATCACCAATTAATCAACAAATCAAACTACATCAATGCGGTGGATATGGCTGTTGTTGTTGTTGTTGCTGCAGCCGCTGCTGATGCTGCTCTCGTTGTTGCAACTGCTGCTGATGTTGTTGCTGCTGCTGCAGCTGCAGCTGATGTTGTTGCTGCTGCTGCAGCTGCAGCTGATGTTGCTGGTGCTGCAGCAACTGCTGATGATGTTGTTGCTGCAGCTGCTGCTGCCGATGAAGCTGCTGTTGCGGGTGCTGGTGTAATTCGTGTTGGTGTTCGTGTTCATAATCGTGGTCATCATGGTCATGGTGACACTCTTCATCTGAATGATCTGAAAAATCACTCATATCATCCTCATCCTCAACACCTTCATCCACTTCCTTTCCACGCTTCTCTTCTTGATCCCTTACTACTCTTATCTCATCCTCCGAACGCCCAACAGCCCCCTGTTGAGTAGGAAGCGGTCGCAACAGCACCTCCGAATGCTGCTGCTGCTGCTTCTGCTGTTTCTGTTGCTGCTGCTGTTGCGGCCGCAACATCACCTCCGGATGCTGCTGCTGCTGCTGTTGCGGCCGCAACAACACCTCCGGATGTTGCTGCTGCTGCATCCGCTCCACTTGCTGCGGCTGCAACCCTTGTAGCTGCAGCGAAACATTCTCATTATGACCACGACTACGACCACGACCGTAATCATGATCACCACTGCCAGCAGCGCCGTGAACAGCAGCAGGAATACTCTCCATAGCAATGTGTGTGTTCATATGCATATGCGGCTGCGGCCGATGCGAAGGAGGAGCAACATGACCATCAAGACAAGCAGAACACTTAGCCTCTAACCAAGCCTCAACATCGAAACGCGGGCCATACCCCATTACAGACCTCCCACCACACAATCTCCCAACCAACCCAGCTAAAATACCCAACACTGCAATCACCGCTAACACTCCTATTACGGGCCCCACATGCCCGCTTGGGGCCCGGTAATGGCCCGCCGACTGTTGGTTTATCACCGTCACAGGCGGCCCTTGTTGATTTGTTAAATACCCTGGTGGGGCCGTGCTTGCTTCCATCTTCGCCGCCAACTTTTCAATCGATAATGATCAATTAACCATTAATAGCAGTGATTTACACTACCAAATTAATAAACCCATTAACAATTTTATGGGATAAGTTTGGTTTTTTCAGCTTATCTTGTTTTTCTTCCATTTTTTTCTTTTGGGGTTTTTGTTTAAAATTGATTATTGGAAATTAAATTGAAGTTGTTTGTAATAATTTGGTGGGAATATGATTGAAGAAGAAAAGGGGGGTTAGAGAAGAGTAAATGGAAACTGGAGAAGAAAGTAGGAAGTTGCAGAATACAGTTTTACAAATGGGAAAGGAAGAGTGAGTGACTCGTAAAGTGGCTAATTCGACTTCAAAAGGAAAGGGAAGGAAGATGGGGTAAGCAAAGGAAATACTACCCTTTTTCATACCTTAGGTTTTTACAGATGGGATTTTCTTTTTTTGGACTGGGCCTTTATCATTATTATTGTAAAATAAGTCTTGTCGTGTCGAGCTCAGGTCATGTGTGGGGCCGTGGGGGGTTAACTTAGTTGTTAGAGTTTCCATCTCAGTTTAAAGGGATCTTAAAATCGATTTTTATCATCTGCTCTTGTGACAAGGTTAAGTAAGATTGTTTATTATAAATAAGTCGGGGCAAGTCGCATTTGTATGCAAACACTAATTTGACCCACTTGTTTAATGGAGTCAATATGTTTATCCATTATAGTAACAAAGAGTTGAAAATTTCCACCACTATCAATGTGGATCGGGCCCTCTAAGAGCTTGATTTGAATAATAATGTAACAACAAATCAATACTGAGTACGAAATAAGAGAGTAAGTTGTACAAGTATAACAAAATAGGGTCACTATATTGCAAAAGTATCACCTGACCTTCAATTTCTACAAGTAAAACCTGTTGGACTAGTGGGGACTCCATACTAGTAATGCCAATTTCAAGTATCATCCTCTGTCAACTATTAAATGTTCTTTGCCAACCTTACTAATCTTAACTGTTATATACTCTCATTTTTCGAGTATCCGATGTTGCTTCTTCCTCTTTGGAGGGTGTGAGTGCCTCTAAACTTAAGCACGCACATATATAGTCTAGACACGTTATACTCGATATATTTAGTGTAGATATGTCATTATAATAACAGATCTAGGGCTTGTTCACATTTACTTAATTTCAGTTCAGTTGAGCTCCAATCAGTTCAGTTCAGTTCAGTTCAGTCCAGCTCTTAATTTCCCTCTCACATAAAATATTCATTTCAGCTCAATTCAGTTCAGTTCAGTTCCAATCAGTTCAGTTCAGTTCAGCTCCAATCAGTTCAGTTCAATTCAGTTCAACTCAGTTCAGTAAATATGAACAGGCCCCTAGTACATTGTATGGTTTTCCTCACGAGAAAAAACATCTATTTAAGACATGCAATGTCACTGAATAATAATTTAAGTATGCGACGAGCTTTTCAAATAACACCTTTAGCTAGTTTAACTTTTAATCGATTGGAAGGAACATGAACATACTCAACCTCAATAGAAAACAACCTAAAAATTCATGTAAGTCCTTAAAGTTTTTTACCATTCCAGGGTTATAAAGAAAGAAAGAGCCCAAAACATGAATTATTGCCAACCGCACTATGTTTGAACCAAGAGAGGTGCATAGGTCCCAAACACTATCTAAGCATAACTAAATTATTTCTACCCATAAGTTGCTTTATTATAAGTCAAAAAAGTTGCAACTTTATGTGCTGAAATCGAGCTCACCTCAACCTTTTCTTCCTTTTTATTTTTTTAGGGTTTCTTTAATTAGTCAAGTTTCTTTTATTTGATCTATAATTAATGGGAGTCGTATTTAATTTGGCTACATTACATATTATAACAAGTAAATTTAATTAGGATAAACTATAGAAGAGAAAGGCCCATGTTTTAGAGAAGGTTAATCATATGGATTCTTTAACAAATGATATTATACTTAAACCGGTCTAACAATAATAAGAGAAATCTAAACCAAACCTGACCGATAGACAGATTAGTCTAAAAAACACATATTTGGGGGTTTTTATAATTTTATGATTACAGATTATTTAGCATTTTTTCCCCTTGCAGTTTACTTTAATATGAGTAGACTTGATAGAATTGACCCTTATTTAATTAACCTACCCAAATATCCGGTCAAGACCCAAATTTTGTCCGAAATTATTGTTTCTCCTTGATTCATAGCTAACCTATTCCGACCTATTAATTTTTTCAATTAAGCATATTGTTGATAAATCAGTAAATAACTAGGCTTGACCTGACCCATAATAAATTCAAACAAGCCTTACCCGAAAATGGCCCGACCCAAACCTACCCAAATGATCTGACTGCAACCTCTAATCATGACTCGAAATCGATCATTAACCAAACCCTAACCTCACCCGCTCACATTAGACATTCACTCCAATCTTCTACGCCATAGGCAAGGAATGAAAATGGAGGTCCAAGAAAAAAAACACCATAGACAAGAATCTGACAAAATGCAGGCTGAGAAAAAAGAGGAAAATAAAACAAGTAAATTAAGCATGGAAAAGCCAAGCATGAGTAAGACAAGGGTTAGAGAAATCGAGATGTCTTTGTTTATGTTTAGTACACACTAGCAAGTCGTTGGTCTCAAGTAGCTTTGCTTTTTACGCACTCCTTTTTAGCCCAATTAGCCTATGTTTTGCCGGCTTTTTTTTTTTTAGCTCGAATATTTAGCTAATTCTTGCCATTTCTTAGGGGGGAAAATATACCTTTTTCAGACATTTGGTGAATGATTGTTCAATCAACCCAAGAAAAAAAAATAAATGAATTTACTTTAAGGAGGATGTCTTTGTTTTATGATTATTACTTAAAATACTAATATTAGTTACTTTAATCGCAAAGTCATACATAGAACGGTTTCATAGAGAATTTTTCGTGAAAGGCAAATATTAGATGATTTCAGCCACCAAATAAGTCTCTTGGGTGTAGGAAGAAGCATCTCGATGCCTAATACTACTGAGTTTCAAAATATTTATTAGAGGCAAAATTAAGTCTTTATAATACAGTAATACACGATATCCCTTTTTGGGGCTTTTATTTAGATTTTCGAGATTGATGTCAAAAATTCAAGTGATGATAGAGAATGTTTTTTTTAAGATTATCAAAATTTATTTGAATTCATATACTAGTTGGTCACATAAAGGCCTAAAATGATCTTGAATCAATAAAGCACATACATACTTCATAGCAAACTAGTTAAAAGGCAAACTAGATTTAAAGTTCCAACCTCTCAAGTGGCATTCTAGAGTCTCTAACTTATGAGAAACACACCAACCTTTAACAAATATACTTGGTTATGTTTAGCCTTTTGTTATGAATTACAATAAGTACCATATAAAATGTTACGCTTACTATTATGTGTATTAGTACATCAAAATATGATTACCTACACATACCATTTCATTAAAAGCTACAATCGATCCCGCGATCCACATATTTTAATTCACCCAACATATTTTAATTCACCCAGCATATTTCAATCCACCACACGATTACATATAACATATCAATTGCTAAATCACTTATGTTATGCTCAAGTCATTTACTCATTTGGTGTGTGATGATACATTACATTATTCAAATTAAAACTCCAATTGGCAATACATAACCTGACTTAGCTAATATACAAACTTAGCACTGACTTCATGGAGGAAATTTTATTAGATGCTCAAAGGTCATATATATGTCAGAAGTTTTTGTCAACCAAATAGCCAATATTTTGTCTTAGTTTGGGCAATCGCCATCAAATAAGACAAGGTCAAAAGGACCACCTGCGCATTTGTCCAACAAACCAAGCACCGACGTACTCTTTTTGCATTGCTCCTTAGCTTGAATAATTAGCATGCAATTAAAGATGAGAACACCATGAATATGATAGTATGATTGATTGTGATGTGAATATATTTTTTGACTTCGACATTAAATATATGTGGTTTTTGTATGATATTTAATTTGATCGACTTGGACATTAAATGGTATAATAAATTGAACATTTTAAGCAAGATCTGGACACTTCATTGACATGGATACTCTATGGTATGTATATCCCTCTATAGTTCATATTAATCATTTTCGCCTTGTAATTGAACCGTTTATTTTAAACACGTGTATCAAAAATTGTGTTAAAAAAAATTAAAAAAATTGGCCCATGCAGGGGTCGAACCTGCGACCTTGGCGTTATTAGCACCACGCTCTAACCAACTGAGCTAATGGGCCACGTTGTATAATAGTTGAATCATTTAAATATTAACCTCTTTTTTTTTTAGTACACATCCTAATAAATACGTTCCAAATGACATTATAATTAAGATTACAAATTTTGATTCCATAATTAAATATCAACATACAATGTACGAGTATCTAAAGAAAAAATATGTAAATGCAAATAATTTGTACATAATTTTCTAAAGGACAAAAATGATAAATGAGCAAATTAAAAAGGATTCAAATAATTTTGCCTCTTTGATGGCTTGAGTGTTTGACATGAGTTACATGACATATTATTGCTGAGTTTCATGCATATTAAGATTTTAAGATTTTGGCCTTTGTAAAATGCTTTAATTTTAGTCTAAATTTAACGAAATTTAATGTTTTTTTTTTTTTTCTTACGCTCTTTCTCAATAAGGTTGACTCGTGCCCTTATTTATATGGTTCTTTTTATGCAACAGAATCTGTCAGTAATAATGATGACGAAATTAAAAATCATCTGTTAGTATTCGACCTATAACATTATCCTTTGATTCTAGATTTTCTTAGGCTATCGACCTATAAGATTTTCTCAAGCTATTTACATTAGCTGCGTGTTTGATGCTAGATGTCAGTTAGGCTATCGATCTTGGTGTTATGGCTTAAAGCAACTCAAAGTACAAATGTACTAATGGCTTTCTACAGCCACTCTATAATTCGTCTTAATATTCGACAAAACACTTCACACCTCTTTTACCATTAATCAAGCATGGTATAGATCAAGCAACAACACCAAAGAATTAGAGCAAATAGAAAGAACGTGAAATCTTATTATCAAGTAATATCAGCCCTAGAAGTTCTTCAAGAACCCTGTCTTACAAAATGTGTTACATATTTTAACTTTGTTTTCATTTTTTTTGTTCTTTTTGTTTCTTTTTTGATGAATATATAGTAATCAATCTCAACATACTCGACTAATAAATGGACTTCGCAAACAAAAGAATGAACCAACAACCAAATTACATATCATTATTGTTGTCTATGTTTCACCCCACAGGTGAGCTTGGAGTCGAGGATGTTCTAATTGGTTTCCCTCGTCCCATAGTGAAGCCTCTAGTGCCATCAGGCATTCGCGGTCCCTTGTTGATGAGCTTTGTTGTTAATGTATCACATTGCGAGACACCAATTGAATGTGTAGGAGAAGAAAGCAAGCCACGATCATTTAGACTTTGATGAGCAGCTCGTCCTTTGGTTTTAGCACGCCCTCGTGGTGATGCCAATTTTTTTGTGACACCAGAACTTTCTTCACCCTGCAATCAGAGTATGTAACTAATCATCTGTAATGTAAAAATTACTCGAAATTTTATCTAAGACAGTATTTACCGTGTCTTGTTAGGTTCTGTTCTCCTCGGCTTATTTAAATAACTTTTAGTTCAATAAATTAAGTTCAGTTCAGTATAACTAAACTGAAAACAGAACATTATTATAGTACTGCAGTTGTTTAATTGTCGCGTATTTATGATGTTCTTATCATTATCTATAACTAGTAAAGGAATGTTACATTATTACTTACAAGACTGTTTTCTTTAACCAATTCTGAACCATTTGGTTGGGAGATTTCTTTAGGCGATTCACCATGTGTCGATTCATCATCATCAGTAAGCAAATCAAAGTCCGACTTTCTGGTCTTCAGGATAGATTTTGGCTGCAATTTCAAGTTCAGAAATTGTATAGTAAGATATACTTGTACATACCATGATGTATCTATACATTTGTAAGATTTTTGAAAGTAAATAATAGTGTGCTGAAGCTATTGATCAGCATACATACCGTGCGTCGTTGCATGACCCTAACTCGAAGTCCTTTTCTCCAATCTCTCTCGTCATTCAACTTCTCAGCCTAGAGATGTGCATCAAATAATTAGTATATGAGGCAGAATGAAATAGGATGTTACATACACTATACAAAGTAAGGGAGTATAAACATATACCGCCTTTTCTGCAAATTCGGCATTCTCATACTCTACAAGTGCATGAAGCTGTCATTACAACCACAACAGTCATATACTTAGCCATATCCTTATATATCAATAATCTCTTGAATTAAGCATGTAGCAAAAATTATCTCTACCTTGTTACTAATGATAATAGCTTCGTTTTTGGACCGAGAAGGATTAGCTTCCGGGGGGTGGCATAGCCTGATGGCCTTCACACTGCTTATGCAAAAATCAAAGAACCATCATGTGTGTACTAGTACTAAACATTGACAGTAAAAATGTAGCAAGATTAACACATAGTTTGGTACTGACCTGCCAACTACACTAAATATTTTCTCAAGGTTATGGTATGAATGATCATCAGGCAAATTCTCAACCATTACAGTACGACACTGCAAAAACAAACCCCGAATCATAAGCTTCATCTATCATAGGGTCTACATTATTCAATATGTAACTAGAAAGTTTATCGCGTACTTTGCTAATCAAGATTCTGTAAAACAGAATAGCTAAAGTGGAAACATAGACAAATCCTTACAAACATGGAAAATATGTCGAATTAATCGTTCAAATTCGATACATTTATAGACAATCATATCTCTACAGGAGGAAATATACAATCAGTACCTGAAGCTCATCTCTGTAAGTTTCTGTAAAGGGGCTTCTTCTTTTGACCTTCTTGTTTTCCTTAGTTACAACCTTAGAAAATATTCCATATTAATAAACACCCAACCCAAAAATCATCAGTACATAAGCAAAAAAATCAAAGAATTACTTAAAAAAATAATCTCTTACAGTAGATTTTCTCAAGCTATTTACATTAGAACAGAACATGCATATGCTAAGTAGGAGTGAGTAATGAGAGATTAAGACTAACAAGTTTCGTAGATGAGCGAAGTGCTTGGACGAGCATATGGTGGTCGGTAACAAGGGCTTTAATCTTCTTCATAGATGCAATGACAGGAATAGGAACTACAATATGTAATACATGAATTACTTTAAGAATTGGCCTTTTCTTAGGAAACCAAAAAAAAAAAAAAAACAGGACTAATTTTGTAATGTTGGTGCTTACCATAACCTTCAGGATCTTTGCTTACATGTTTTGCCATTGTATCATTTGCCATCAAACTCAGATCACTGAATAGGTATTCTACCTGCCACATTCAAATAAAAACACGAATTGGAGTACTAAACCTGTAAGTTTTAAATATCATGCACTATGTTCATCAATATTTCGCTGTTTAAAAACTTATGCATAACCTTAAACAATACTATTGCCAAATGCAACATTTATGAAGAATTAAAATCATTAAAACCAGGTCTCCTCTTGAAATGTACATACATAGCGTATGAAAATGTTATACTTTGTATGATCAAATTGTTATATGTTTGCCCTAACAATGAATAAAAATAACAAGATTGTACGAAGAACAAAAACATAACACTCATCATATAAATTGAACCAATGTAGACGATCAAACATAAATTAAAACATCATGTAAACACTCAAAGGACTAATTAAAAACGTTACAAAATTAATTCTAACCTGTTTGACGATCTTTTGATGTAGATCATCATTGAGGGAATTCGACCGAGACAAGCTAGATTGAGATTGTGAAGTTGGAGAATTGGAGAAGTTGGACGGGTGTACCGGACTTAAATCGTTACCATTATTGTTGTTATTGTTATTGTTATTATTATTATTATTATTATTTGTGTTACTATTATTGTTACTAGGGGAAGGAGGGGGCGAAGGACTAACATAGTACCAATCCGTAGACGGGGTTCCCATAACATGATCCCCGTCTTGTAAAAATTGCACACACGGGTAAAAATACCCCGTCGATAACATCTGATGATTGCCATAACTACTACTAGTAGTGTATGACCTTGGCACGAATTCCGCCGCTTGTGCATTGAATTTGAACCCCCCGCCTCCTCCTCCTCCACCTCCGCCTCCTCCTCCACCACGTCCGTTATCTTTGTTATTATCACTACTAATACTAACACTTCCTCCGCCACTTTTTATTTCTTTTTCCGGAATCCTCTTCATTTGTTCGTGTGCCATTCTAACTCCTCACAACTTTTTTTTGTGTTATTAAGGGCTTTTTTTCTCTAATTCCTAATGAATGATCAAATAACGCACGTACAAATTCGTGCTCTTAATCTTAACTATTGTTACGAAGGATTAATAGTTCGGGACCATACAATAATTTTTCGATCTAGAGGGATGCCCATGAGTTTAGTAACAGTAATTTCGACATTTCATCCACGTTTCTAGTCCGATTTATAAGCATCTGTCATCTATTAGTTCCCTTACATTCTTTGTGTGTTTTCCTCACACACAAACCCCCGTAACTCTTGCCTAATGAGTATTTTGACCACTCATTTTCATCCTTCTATTTTTTATTTTCAATATTGCTATTTTTTTATCAAAAAATTCCACTAATGAAACCAATTTCGATCACTCCAAATATATAAAGATACAAACGCAAATTCTTGATTAATAACAATTTTACAAGTTTCTACTCGTATTAAACTTTAGCCATTTTTTTGTGTTTCATAACTTATTCTCACCTATTAATGTAGGCAAAGTTTTCAAATTTTGACTATTTATGATAAATTATAAAAAGTAACTTTAGATTCCATCATATTTAATTTTATATAATATGAAATGTTATTAACATTAACTCAAAGCTAGAATTTAAACATATAGACAAATATAGACTTTTTATTCGATCCATACATTGGAGACACAGATGGTGTATTAAATCCAATTGAAAAGAATTATATACACGATAGATGGAAAGGTTGAAAAAATAAATGATTAAGTCGTAGAAAAATTTCATTTTGCAATTTTATGATATTTTATTATGTTAGTTAATTGAAAAACTTAAATACATCACACGGGTCAATTGTCAGGACTTGTTACGCTTTTTTTTTTTTAAGGCTTGAACTTATAATTTCAATTCACAAATTGTGTTCCCGGCCTAGCCCACCATCCACAAATCTTGATTGGTTCACACTTCAAATAGTAGAAATTTGTATACAAGTGGATGGATATAACATGCGTAGGAGTGGAGTCATTTAGCAATGTATTCGAAACTATTGATGAAATTATAGCCATTGAAATCAAATTATGGAGACATATACAAGTAGTTGATTGATGGTGTAAGAATATCTACATTTAAATACATATCCAATCAAACGGATATGTCTATAGAGTTCAATAAATCTAGACCCTCCACAAAAGATCAATGGCTAATATTCATCTTGCATGCATTTCAAAATAAAAAATAATTTAAAACTCTCACTCTCACTCTCACAACTCTACAACTCTATAATTTTCAAACTCTAGAGGATCTCAACTCGTCTACTAAACATACAAGATCTCCCTTTTTATTTAAATCACCAAATTTCTAGAATATATACCCATTGTAAAACCTTAGCACTTAGGCAAATCAATCAATCATATTGGATATATACACTCAAATGTATAAATTGGCTGGTGTACTTGACGCTAACCATTCCCTCATTTTCTTCTCATATTGATTTGATTATTAGTAGGATACGTCTCCTTTCATATAAAACATGACGGAATGGGCCAGTCGATAAACTCATAATAATGTAATGAGTTTATGAGTCCAACTACCTGAATGATATCTTAGTGAACAATTCATTCACTGTATTATTTATAGAAAACCCATGACTAAATAAAACTATAAATGCAGGAAAAATCAATTTGAGAAGAATGTAGTGATTATAAATTCCATCATTTTCATTCACATGTTTCACTCTATATTAATTATTGTATTAATGGCCCCTTATTATCTTATATATTTGTAGGGTCCATTGTATCTTGTCTCAAAGATTCTCCAACCTCCTACTACCCATCATTAAGCTTTGTGAGTGTGATTGGTTTGTCTTGCATGATTCATTTTTAACGTTTTATATCCCTAGTTAGGTGTAGTAACTATTACAATTACGTATACTATTAAAGAATTGGAAAAGTTGTTAAAAATCTACAACGTTTCTTAGCTTGATTGATTAGATTTCCGTACATATCTCTACGTAACCTAGCTAAGTGATAGAGAGGGGGTTGGATATTTTATAGGTACGCTACCATGGATTATTTATTACGAGTACGAAATATAATAGATAATTATGTATATTTTTGTCATAATCTTGACTGTGTGAGATATTGATATGTTGTGATAACTAATTCTCGATAGAGGAAATAAGTCTTGTAACATTGATTATGAGCTTTATAGGCTTGTAATAAGGAGTGGATGGATGAATAAGAGAAAAACCCACAAACTTAGGGTATGTTCTCTTCAACTTAATTTCAGTTCAGTTTAGTTCTTGATTTCCTTCTCTCATAGATCAGTTCATTTCAATTCAATTCAGCTTCAATCAGTTCATTTCAATACAGCTCAGTTCAGTAAATCAAACAAGCCCTTAGATCAAACAAAATTTCATATCCAATCAGTTGGCTTGGATGTGAAAGGAGTAGCCAATTTGATTCAAACTAAAAGTTATTGTCTTCATTTTTAGTATAAAATGGCATACTGGATAACACCTATACGACTGTATCTAACTGTATACAGCCGTGATTCTAACAATTGAACAAGCATACTAAAGTTTATTACCCAAATAATTAAGATACATAAAAATGCATATAGCTTAAACCTATGAGTGCTTTGTTTGCATAATTAGGATAGAAGCATCACAATTTAATTATCAAAGGTTTATTCATAAAACATCCCCCGGATGCTCTTAGGTAGACAATGATGTTACTTGTCAATTACTTTAGAAAATAATAATGCCTTTTAAGACATGCTTTTTTATTCATCTTCTTTACGTGTAGCTTTTATGATGGATGATTTATTTTCAATGAGATCTATTAAATATGATTAAAAAGGTATAATAGTCAAAATGAGATTGCTTTGTCTTGGTGGTATATGGTGTCATAACGTAAACTTCTTATTCAAAATTTAGTATTTTATACACTTGTATATAATTAATTTATTAAGGCCTCCACACAATAGGCTTAGAAAATAAGGGTTATATTTAGGTCAATTTTTAAGAGTTTCATAAGCTATTTTTTTAGAATTTTCTCTTTACTGAATTGAGATTTTCACAATGAATAATAACAATAGTTTTTAATTGAAATTTAGTTTCAATTACAAATACGATTTTATTAAAAAAAAAACAGTTAAAAATTTATTAAAGATGGTTCAAATTATAAATATGATTTTACTTAGAAAAGGTTCATAATCTCATAATTCAGTAGCCAATTATAATTATAATTATAATTATAAATATGAACAGCTCAAATTTTCATGTAGTAACCAATTATAATTTGATTTAGAATTGGTTTAAGATATCATTATGTAGGGACAAATGAATCTATAACTATTTAATTAATATCTTATTGAAGAAAAACCATTTTTTTTTATAGAAAGCAACTATGGGAATTAAAATTACACCCTTCCAATACAAGTTAAACTTGTATGCATCATGGGGTTGGTGGCTATTCAAAAGGTATAGAGAATCCGATCCACTCAATGCAATTTTCAGCCCTCCAACACAAGAAAGGAATTTAGCATATTGACACTTTCTAAATTCTAACCGTCTTGTGTGGCACCTAAATAATATGAAGTAAGATTTGTACAATAAATATTTCACTCGAATTCTCACATCAACCCCTAATATTGTCATACGACACATGTTATACACATGCTAATATTTTAATGGAGCGAGATACAAATAGTGTCCTATGTCCATATGATGTAGACAACTACCGAGTATTAAGTGAATTATTTTCCGGTATCACTCTCAAGTAGTAGTTTTACAACTTCTAAATTTTTTTGAATTTTATAGAATATGGAGTACTTACAAGACTAATGTATGTGATATTGTGATATACTCGGTACAAATATTGGGTTGCACACGCAGCCGCATAGGGCATAAAATATGAAGATAGTTTAGTTTTTTTTAAGGTCCGCCCCCTTATAAAAATCTTACACTTTTTAAGTTTTAATTTTAATTCTATGGGTTACCTAAAGTCTTACAACTTTGAAGTGTTTTTTTTTTTTTTTTTTTTTTTTTTTTTTTTTTTTTTTTTTTTTTTGTGACAAGACAACTTTGAAGATACTACAGAGTACTAGCAAACAATAGGGATTCTATCTAACTCAAATTGAAAATAAAAAATACAGGTGTCAACTGTATATAGTCAACCTCTAAAAATTGTCCAATTCTATTCTATTCCACCTATTTCACGCCAATAAGTGCACTATCACGCATCATGGACCTCATGGCAATCTCCTATTGGCTCGAATACCTTTTTTATCAACCAGAATTGACATCAACCAATATACCATTGCTCAGAATATCTGACATAATCCATAGAAAACTATCTAGATCCCATTTGAGTATAGAATTCTGTAAACTAAAATTATTGTTAATTTACGCGGAAAATATAACAAGTGTTGTATGTACGTGTATATCCAAACTTAGTTGTCACATTATCGACTTGAATTACACCGTCGTGTGAAACAGAATAAAGCATCATACACATGAGCAAAAAGTTTGATCTATACTTGTAAAATACTTCAACAATGCATGATCCGCGCCTTAGCCGCCCCAACCCCCCCACCAAAATGTTCTGTTTTCACACTAAACTCTGCTAGTTCGCACCTGGATCTTGAACATTAAGCCGGCGATATTACAAAGACTAAAAACAATGACTCAAGAAGATACAGAGTCAAGATCCAAGGGAACTACACTCCTAATCCTGCAAAAATTCATCAGTCCATCCCAGATTGCCCTCTATCAAGTATAAACTCGAACCCGGGTTATTAGGCTGTAATAATAATCAACTTTAAGTACTATGTTCGTTCTTGTTTGGAATTCTCCATGTATAATTATATCTGCCAAAACTTGATCTAGTAGTAGTTGTTATACATTTACTATACATCATCCTTTCCTGTTTTGTGGGCATGACCTTTCCAGCTATGGCTTTCGGATTTATCATCGTCTTCATCGTCCATGCTATCACCTCCAGTGGTTGAGGTACACCCTGTAAGCCCTGGAAACTGTAGAGGACCCTCGGGTGAGGCAGACTGCGAGCTGCTTGGCTTCGAGGATTCGCTGTACTGGTCCTGAGCTGTCCATGAACCACTCAAGGCCTGCCCATTTTTGTTCCCTGAATCACTCGGGACTTGTCTACTGTGAAGCCTGTATTTCTGCACATTGTAGGGTAGACAGCATCTTAGTGATATGCTCAACAACACATCATAAGAGATTATCACAAACTACACAAAAAGGGTTCGAAACTCACTTGCAAATGGCTCTTAACTTCATCATTTGTTAGCCCATCCACCCTCATCAGCTCTCGAATTTGCTTCGGAGTTGCCACTGCAATCATATATCACAATCA